TAATTTAATAAAATGAAAAGTCACTGTTTAAAAATTTGTTTGTTGTGGAAAGACTATCGTTTTGAAGCACTTGTATTTGTTCCATTAATTGATGAATTGGACGGATCAGGAGGTAATTGTTTACGTGTTGACGGAATTGTACGTTGTTTAGCAAGAAATGATTGATTTTCATGAGATTTTAAACGTTCTTCAAATTCACGTCGTTGAAATGTACTACCCTAATATATTCATTATTCGTTATAGATACATATATTATTAAAATTAAATTACCATTGAATACCAAGCACTAATTAATAATTTTTCTTGATCTTCTCTTATAATTTTCATTTTTTCATATTCTTTCTATATAGACGAAAAAAAGAAAATTTTTATCAAAATAGAAATAAATATTATATACTTCAAGGTCTTTCATTCGTCGATCTTTTTCATCGATTTGTTTTCTTAATGATTGTATTTCTTGATGACTTATAGAATTACTATTACGTGGATCCATTTGACGTAGAACCATTTTAGCTTTTTCTAAATATTGAACATAACGTTCTTCCATTGCATTGATATCATCTGTTTTTGTTGCTATAATAGCTTCTTTTTCTGTAAGTTTTTTTTCTAAATAAAAAATACAAACAACAAGTGAATATATAAGACATGGTTTTATTAAATACCAGAATGATCTAATCGTTTTTGTAATTCATCAATTTGATTTTTTGTTCGTGTTGATTCTTCTTCATGTCGTGTCATAGCTCGATTAAGTGATTTTTTAAGATCAGTTATTTCCGTACTATTCTCAGCTAATGATGTTGTATCTTTAAGTGTAGCTTCTAATTCAAGTATTTTTCGATTTGACATCCTATGATTTAATAATAAATAAATAAAACAAAAAAGAATGAAAGAGATAATCTAATTACCATAAATCATTAGTTAATTGATTATTTTGATCTTTAAATTGTTCACAATTTGCTTGAAGAAGTAAAATTTGCTCATTATTTGTCTCTTCTGTTTGACGTAATTTAAGCATTTTATTCTCATGTTGTAAATGAATAAAACGTTCTCTGAAAAAATAAATAATATACAAAATTAACATATGATCAGCGCTGTCGCGAGTGGGGACCTGCACGGAGTCGCCGTCGAAGTCAAGTAAGTTGCATGTTAATAATTCAACTTTAACGTTAAAAATTATTTAAGCTCATAGTTTTGTTGTCCGACATTTTCTCTATAAAATTACGTATTTTGGACGATTGGTAGACTTCTTATCGAGTCTCACAAACCAAAATAAAATACAGAAAAAGGCGGAGTCGAAAGTGACTCCGGTTTTCTTTTGTGTTGGTGCGGTTCAACAAAGCATCGACTTAGCCTTCAAAATACATAATTTGGTAGAGAAAATGTCGGACAATAAAACTATGAACTTAAATAATTTTTAACGTTAAAGTTGAATTATTGACAGGAAGTTTACTTGACTTCGTACAGGTCTCTAGTCGCGAGCCTTTTAAGATTGGAGGAGGGGATCAATCCTCCTCCCTGATTCGCGACAGCTGTGAATATAATTATGATTATATTTTTTTTACCTGACATCTGCTGGTAGATTAAGAAAATTTAGATCTTCAAGTGAACCAGTTAAACGATCTTTTGTATTTGTTGTTCCACCAGCTATTCAAAATAAATTGTTTTTTATATATTTTCAATTCTATTTTCCTATTACCTTCATCTAGGTTTACTCCTCGAAGTCTTTCATTTGTTTCTCTTAATAATTCAATTTCATTTGTTAAAGTCTATAAAAAATAAAACTAGTTTTTGTCTTTTTTTCTAATTTAATATATACTAACAATTTTTTCAGCATTGACTGCATTCAAACGTTCTTCTGCTCGACTTTTTTCAAATTGTGCTTTATCAGCTATACGTTGTAATTCACTTATTTTTTGATATAATTCTTGATTTGTTCGTTTTTGAAATTCAACTTGTGTTTGTAATAATTTCGCTTGTTTATATTCTTGTTCAATATTAGATTTTTCATCAAATAAACGTAAATTTGTGTCTTCTAAAAATTTTATTTGTTGTCGAAGATCTGACATTTCTTCTAGTTTTATTTTATACGCATCAATAGTTGATTCTAATTTAGTCTTTAATATTCAAAAAAAAATAATATATTATTTTGAATTTCAAAAAAATTCAACAAACCATTTTTTCACATTTATTTCTGAGAATATCTAATTCATCTTTAAAATTACGGGCATCACCTGCAAGTACCATTAGATCATCATTCTAAATGAATTATTTTAAGAATAAGATTTATTTGTTAAGAAAAATTTACTCGTTTAAGCAGATTTTCATTATCTTCACGTAATACATCTAGTTTAGCTCGATAATCTTGTAAAGCTAAAAAGATCAATTGAGTTGTATGTATAAAACGTCGGAGATTCTCTTACTTGTTTCAAGTTTAAATACTTCTTCTTGTTGTGCTTGAATTTTTTCTTGTAGCGATTTATAACGACTTCTTGGAATTGCTCTTGAATATAAAGAATTTAATAAGATAAAATTTTAATTGATTTGAATTTACTCGGAATCTTCAACATTTTCATATTGTTGTATTCGTTCATTTAAACGTCCGGTTTCTTGAACTAAACCAAGTTTTTCATCTTGAAGTGTAGATATTTGTAAATCAAGTTCACGACAGCGATGTTCAATTTCTTCTTTAGCTTCAACAACTCGATTAAGTTCTTCTAATGCATGTTTTAACTATAGAAAAAATAAGAAAAAGAAAAAAAATCGATAAATTTAATTTACTTGATCTCCTAATTCTGAATATTCTTCATTCACTTTTCGATTTTCTTTTACCATTAACTAGAATATCAATTTCTAGGATATATATATTTATTTTCTATATTTATATATAACCTCTTGAATAGCATTCATTAAGACATGTTGGACGGATTCTTCCAATGACATAATATGTTCAATATAATATTGTTTTCTATCACAACTAACAGCACAACCAAGAACCAGTTGTAAAAGTCGACTAAGTTCAGTTTCATCAGTACTTTCAGCTATAGAAATCAAATTTGAAGTCAAAAATTTATTTTAAATGCTTCAATTACCTATCATATTAAGATCTGGCATTTGAAAATCAATAAGTGTTTGACCGAGTACCTATCGATTAATTGATAAATAAAAAAAGAAAAGTATGTATTTTAATATGAACATACTTCTGAATAATAATCAGTTATATTCTTCAGAACCTTTTTAAGATTATTTGCCTAAATACAAAATAATATTAATTAAATAATATAAATATATGTACATGGAAATATACTTTTATTCGATAGTTATCTCCAGCATCAGTACGAATTTTTTGCACCCAAGTATCATTAAAATGATTTGCATCACTAAGAAGTAGAAGAATATATTTTAAGAAAAAAAGAAAATAATATGTTAACTAACATATTTTTTAAGCACATTGCTATGAGAACACCATCGGATAGATCACCAGCACCGTTAATCGTTCGATTTAGATCGAATGTTTTCATCTATATATGAAGAAAATTTTCTAAAGCAATGATTTTATTTTCACGTACCCATTTAATTAAACTATCGCATAAAATACGTCGATCCATATCTATCTGAAACTATTCAATTTCATAAGTAAAATATTTCTATTGAAAAGAACACGATCCGAGAAACAGCAGGGCATGTAAGTTTATGTAAAAAAACTAATAGGCGAAATGCTAAAAAAATACTCGTTATGTGTGTCTTGAGAATATATATCTACTCTTGATATTTAACCTCGATTTATAACTGATTCAGACATGAGATATATATTAGACTATGACCTACATCATTGAACTCAAGAAGAGAAAATGGAAATTACAGATTTATTAAAATATGTGTACTGATGTATTCTGTCCAGCGGTTAAAACCCGTCTCTCTCTCTCCTTTCAAAAGTTATAGCCATTTTCTCAGACCATCTTTTTTCCAAAACACATGGATACTGTTCTATTAAACAAAACTTTTGTATTTAAATTGAAAAGATATTTATATTATTAATCATTGAGTAAAAAATATTAATTAATTAAAAACTTTTCTTTGATGAAATATAATGACAACATTTCAAAATAACGTCAATCGAAATCTAGTATTGTTAAATAGATTCCGTCTTTGTAACATGTCTAAATTTGATAAAGTATTAGCGTTCAATAAGAAGTTAAAACAGAATCGTTGTAATGAAAAGAAAAACTAGTCAATGCCGGAAAAAAGCATTTCCGTTAAGAATTTTCAATTCAAGTGGAATGTAGCCTTTTGTCTAGTGGCATTACATTTTCTTTTAGATCAGAAAAAATTAGAATTGATTTATAAATATTATAGAATAAGAATACTAAGTACTTATTTTATGGAAATAAAAAAAAAAGAAATGTGATCAGATTGAAAGTTAATAAAATATAATCGAATGTTTATCTTATATTTCCTTTTTCAATAAATCATTGATATGATTTTTTATGAAGAAAATTCATCATCCATAACGAGATTTAATATTATAAAAAAAATTTTGAAAAATTCAAAATCAAATTGAAAATATGAATCATACATCTTACTATCTATGACTAATATTAATACTCCTACTTGTTTTTTTCTTAAAGAATATATACATTATTCTATAAATCATGGTGTTATTCAATAAAAAAAATCAATCATAGCGACGAACGATCATGAAACTCCTTGTTCATATCAATGATTGGTTGAAAATCTCCATTGAACTTGTAAAATCTTTCTCATCAACTAAACTGTTCTGTTTGTCGCTAGTATCTCAAAAGCTATAAAAAAAAATCCCCTCTTATGTAGGAAAACATGACAACAATGCCAATATGGCGTCATTTCTATTTAGAAATTCTCTCAAAGTTTCATTCGACATTTTATTATTGTTTTTTTTTCAGACTTATTTCTTATTGTGATCAATAGACAATTAATTACACTATGTAAATGTTTTATTTAAAAATTCATTTAATTAAATAAATATGAATGTTAATAATAGGGCATCATCATATGAAGCTCCAGCTCGTTCAACACAATATCAATCAACAAAACGAATTGACAATCTTCAAGCAGATGTCAATCAAGTATTAATTAAAAAAAAACTAATAATAATCTCGTTTATTCCAATTTTTATCGTTCATAGGTTGTAGATATTATGAAAAGTAATGTTGAACAAGTTCTTGAACGTGATGCTAAATTAACTACATTAGAAAATCGTGCTGGTATACAAAAAAAAATTAGTAATTTTTGAAATAAATAATTCTTTGATTAGATGTTCTGCAAAATGGTGCATCTTTATTTACGCAAAATGCAAGTAAATTAAAAAGTAAATATTGGTGGAAAAATGTCAAAGTAAGTTATTTTATTCCGAAAAAAAAAATAAAAATAATTATTCATCTTTATAGATGTGGGCTATATTAATTATTGTGATTGTAAGTAATTATTTCATTTTAATTAATATATATATGTTTCGTTTTTATTTAGATTGTTCTGATTATTGTGATTGTTGGTAAGAAATTAAAATTTATTAAAAATCATAAAAATAATGTTTTTTTGTTGTTGTTTAGTTGCGGTTACCCAATCAAATAAAAGTAATAATAGTGGATAATCAAAATATTATCGGTACAAAATAAAATGAAATCGGAGGATGGTAAGTAAATCTCTTGAGACATCATTTGCCTTGTAGATATTATGGGATTGAATTATAGCTTTATAAAATCAAATTTCGAAATTATTTTTTTTTTATTTTAGAATGCTCTTCAACGAAGACACTATTTTTCTCGGCTTATTTCGTTTCTCAAAAGATTTCTTTATTATGTGTTTCTACGTCTTATCTGCATTCCTTTCATTAACAAAACGCCATACTTTTGTCCATGTCTGTTATGATCTTTTGTTTTTTATTACTCTTTTTATGTATACTAAGTTTGAAATGATCTAATTTTCGTCCAGCTTTTTATGTTTTGTTCTATTAACATATATTTCAGTTTGTGTACCAGTGACAATTAATTATTAATATGGGATTATATTTAATTGAATTCATTTTTCTTCTTCTTCTTCTTCTTTCAGATTTTTCTATTGTACAAGTCAATTTATTTTATAATATGTCAACTAACGGTGGTGGTCCTCCAGCACCAGGTGGTGGTGGTTCAAAACGTTTAGCTCAACAACAAGCACAAGTTGATGAAGTTGTTGATATAATGCGACAAAATGTTGATAAGGTGTTAGAACGTGACAAAAATTTGTCACTTCTTGATGATCGAGCTGGTATATTTAATATTAGAGAAAAAAAACGAAGGGTTTTAATTCTTTATTATGAATTTTTATTTAGATAAATTACAACACAATGCAGCTCAATTTGAACAACATGCAGGGAAATTAAAACGAAAATTTTGGTGGAAAAATATGAAGGTAAATTGAAAAAAACGAAGCTTCCTTTTTTTTTTGCTTATCATTTTTTTATAACAAAAAAAAACTCAATCATATTTTTTCTAATGCGAATTATTAGATGATGATTATTATGGGAGTAGTGGGCACTATTTTTGCTATAGTGGTGATAGGTAAAAATGAATGTTGTCATGGTTCTTTCTTTCATTGTATACAATTGCTTGCGTATTATATTTGCTTTAGATAGTTATTTATTGAAAATATGAATATATATGTTTATTTGTTTATTATTTAGCATGGATTGCATCAAAAGTCAAAGCAGTTGCACCCGCTCTTCCAGCTGGTGATGTAGTAGCAGCAGCACCTAGTCCGTCGGTAACTGAAGTAGTACAAAAACCAGCCGGTGGTTCTGTAGTTTTAACAGATACGGTAAAACCTGCGCGTAAGGGACGAAAGAAGAAGAAAACAACAGTTAAAATAATTAGTACAACACCTGCACCAGTAAATGATGGTGAAAGATCGTCGAAAGGAAAAAATAATAATGATGATGATGATGATGACGATGAAGAAAATAATACAAAAAGTCGTACAAAACGATTTATTCGTGCACTTATACAACAATGAACAATGATCATCAAGCAAAAGAAAACATCTTTCTTCATTCCATCACCATGCACATTCATCACGACGACCCTCTTTACACACTTTTCTTTGCTTTTGTTCTTACTTCTCCTTTTCATGTTGTTTGTTTTATTTGTTGATTGTTGTTCGTATACCAAAATGATACTTATCTTTATATCCATAAAAAAAATATATATATTTATTTTTAGCGTGCATCATCCTTTCACTCTTAAATAACTTTTATTCTTTAATATATAAATAAATTTCATTTCATTCCCTTTATTTCTTAATTATTAATAAAATTTAGTAGTCGTACACATAAAAGAAATAAATATCTTTTAATTCTATTCTCGAATATTTTCTTTTATAATATACTCAATTAGGAAGCCAATAGTTCCTGCAAATAATAGAATAGAACTGAATTAAAGTTACATTTCGATGAAAATACATATTAAAAGAGATAATTATGGGATTTAATAGAACTATGATCTATTTCACATTGCTAAGGATTTCATTCATTCTTAGAAATATTGTCATGAAATATTACGTTATATGTACTGGAAAAATCAGCCATGCATCTAATATATTGTGATAAGACAAGGTTTGTTTCTAAAAATAATCAGTCATATATTTATAAGAGTAAAGAACAATATCTTGTAAATAGTAGTGTAAAAGTCTCTCTTATCTTCTAAATTTTACACACTTTGCTACTTATATCTATTTTTCTATGCTACTAGCAGCGTTCCCGATTGTTTTCAAAAGTGGGAGGGGATAAAATTTGCCAGAAAGTGCTGTTATATAATTTTCTGATACATATAACGTAGAAAATACTTAAACTACCCACTTTGTGTAGAATTTTGCCTGAAAAAGTGTTTTATTGGAGTTTCTGGCAAAAAATGGTGAAAAGAGCATAAAAAATAAGTTTTTAACCAAGTTTACAGCAGAACTTTAAAATTTTTGGCAGAAAGACAAATAGGTTTTCGAATTGTTTTTTTGGGGGGGGGGGCGGGGACGCTAGACCTCCCCACCCTGATCGGGACCCCTGGCAACTAGATCATACCTCAACTAATATTATGATGCTAAATTTTCGATAAGATTTGTTCCAATGTCATTTGTATTGCGGTTTTCAAAATATTAATACATTTGTATTAACAACAAGAAGCGCGACCATATTTCGCTTTCAATATGAACAAAATTTTGAGAAAGTAAACTGTGACTGAAGGGAAAAGATAATTTTTTGTTTTTGTAGCGTTTCCTTACCGGATACGCTTTACAAAAAATACTATGAGGTACAGCGTGAAAAACTACGCGCTTCACACAACAATACTTATTGTAATTATTTTCGAAAAAAAGTAAAATTCTAGACGACTAATTTTTAATATAACCTCTTACCGGTTTGAAAATTGTGATACAAAACGCAATCATTTAGTTTATACTATTAGTACAAATGATAACGAAAGTCATATAAATGAAATATTTTAATTTTATTTAAGATTGAAATTTTTCTCGATAAATTCTTAATCTATCTTTAAAATTATCTAAATCTGTATAGCATCCTTTTAACCATCGATTACCAGTTGCTGTATCAAATTCACGTCTTGCATGAAGAACTCGACGATTATGAAATATAACACATTGATCTTTTTCTAAAACTAATTCTAATTGATTATTTCGATCTTCTAATAAATCACGAAAATATTGTAAAGCTTGAATAAATTGTCGAAATTCCGGCTTTGAAGTATCGCTCTCAAATGGAGCTTGAAATGGTGGTGAATAATTAATATGATCAATAGGATTATCAGACAAATATTTATTTAATACAATAGTTGAACGTGTAAAATGATAATGTCGATCAATATTTCGATAATGAAAAGTAACTGGATATGAACAAAGCATTTCAAAAGCTTGTAAATTATTTTGACGAAGAATATTTGCTGCATGAAATGAATCAACATAATAGGCTGCACCACCGTTAACACTATTGGCTAATGAATGTAAAAATTGTAAACCTGGTGGTGCTTCAAAATATAATAAATCCATATGAAGTCCAAGTGCTTGTGATGTATAAGCTACATTAATAGCTTGTTTCATACTTTTAACATCCCATGATTTACCATAGAAACTATGACGAATTGAACCAATTCTTTCTGTAAGACGTTCAACAGTAAATTCACCATGAACATTATCAATAAAAACAAGACCATAATCATTGAGATGTTTTAATACAGTATAAAGTCCTTCATCGGAATTTAAATAATCATCACATTTAACATGTAAATTTACTTGTTGAATAGTATTTCGATTCCAATAAATAGGAGAACGATCATGATATCTTGCATGAGCAATATTTTTTGATGATGAATATGTTTGTAACCAGGCATTTGAATATAAACTACGATGTACATTCGTATCTGTTTGATTTAATAATGACTGATTCCAGATTATTTCAACACTATTATTATTTAATATATTAAAACCTTGATGTTGTGGAGAAATTGTTAATGGTATATCTGTAGTATTATATAGTTTTTGTTTCGTTGATGAATCAATACATTGATCACACTGACAAGAATCTCGTAAAAATATCCAATCGTATTTCGTTTCTTTATCATTTATAAGTAAAGTTGCATGTGTATCATTAATAGATTTTAATTTTATTTGATTATTTTGTTGTATTTTCGTACTAAATAATCTATAAGAAGAAGGATACTGTACGATTCGTCTTACTGAATTATTAGTTAATAAACGAATTATTCGATATGTTAACATTACAGCATAAATATAATGATAGAAATCTACAAAAAGATATACTAATATGTTGACATATAAATCCAAAGTACAGCTATGTGTAATAGATAAGAAAGAAGTATGTAAAATAAATATCATGATAAGAGAAACAATAGCGACATATGCTAAGAAAGTAAAAATGTACCAATTTTATTTTTGAAAATCATACCGAGTGTGGGTGTGCGAGTGTCGGTGTAGATGTGAGATAACAACAAGACACACACCCATATCCACACCCACACCTACCGTACTGACTCCATATCTAGTTGAATTAATAATTAATCGAATCGAAACTCAATAGATTTATTCATCAAATGTATCTCGTGAATTGAATGTAAATATTTATTTATACCTGTATTTGAGTTTACATTGACCTTTTATGAACAAGTAATTTCCTGTTCTATATTTTTTTCAAATTGAATCTAGGTTTGCATAACAGGCAAAATAATCTTAATGAAAATTAGTAAAAAAAAGAAAAACAAAATTTTTTCACACATATCACACACAAAAACACACACACTGGATATTGTCATCAATATTAGTCACCGTTATCAAAAGCACGTAGAAAAAACACAAAAAAAAAGAGATGACTAGTGGAATGAGAAAAAATTGATATTAAATCAATGAAGAAAATAAATTTAAGTTAATTCTTTTTGCATGGAGGTGTTTCAATACCTATATCATCTTGATCTTGTATTAATGAACTCATACGAACGATTGATACTCGACCTGATATACCATTTGGTACGAGTTGTTCAAGCTCATGAAAAGCTTCAAGTGTTTTCTGTTGAGGTGATAATGTTTGCATTTCATATCCATCAGTACTATCAGTATTTGTTAGAATAAAAGGTTTTTTTGTTGAAGGTGCACTTAATATAGAAGATGTTGTACATGAAAATTGATCATTACGTTGTAATGAATGTGAATAAGGTGTAACACTTGTTTGTCGAGATTGTACTGGTGATGATCCTTTAATATTCATTGAATGAATTGATTTACTGATAGATGTACGAAGAGCACATGAGAATGAAATACATCGACAATTATTATAATTAAGAATTTCAAAGAAAGCATTACGAAACTCTCTAAATTAAACAAAAAAAAAAGAAAATATTTAGACAGACTAATATTTAAAATGTTTTTTATTTCTAATGATTTCAAGGAAATCATAACTCAAGTTGAAATAGGTAATTAATGCATTGGAATGGTGATATCCTGAGAAAATTTAATTATTTTCTCTGCTACAATATCAATAGATAAAACATTGGGGACAAAGACAAAACGTACTCGGTGTCCCATGCACCTGGTAGTTTGTTCAGGTGTTCGGATTCGACTTTTTTTTAACCATTTTTACCGGGAGTCCGTAAAACATGTTGGTCAAGGGGACCATAGCTTAAAAAATACAGGTAAATCGGAACGAAATACTCAACAGTATGTAAAATATTTTCAGGAAATGGGATGCCGGTATGACTGTGGATGTGTTTTATGAGAGAAGAATGACGTATACACTCACACCCACATCGACTCTAACACCCTGCTTGTTTTAAATCTTTGTGATTCCGAAGATTTTGTATGTTTTTATATGTCGGGAAGTCGTGACGAACATCTTCTCAGGGAAACCGTAAAAAAAAGTTGGTGAGTTATGTCTCTTACCCAAACATTGTGCATATTTTCAGCATTAGAAACTGATTGTACAAAAAGTATAGAGTAATAAGCACTTAGATTTGTTTATTATCATTATCATTTATTATAAATTGATATATCCTTGTATGATTTTTTGTAGTCACGAAGCCTTTTTAGGTATATAATATAATTAAATCAAAGACAAAGAGTTTATTATTGAAGGATTATATTTAAACCGTACAATGATAAGTACTTCATCTAAAGTCTTATTTCATTCATATAAATAAAATAGAGATTTATGAACAAAGAAAACCATACTAAGCTATTTACAATGTGTATAAAATCCTTGCCAGTATTCATAAACAGGAACAGCTTAAAACCATTGATAATAAACGGAAATAAGTGCTTATGATTCTATTCTTAGTTTTCAATATAAACTATTATCAAAATCTCTTCTATTACTATAACATTTTAGATCATATACTATTGTATTATTAACAAGTGTGAAGATTTCCTAAAATTTTATATTCAAACAATTCGTAGATGTAAATAAATCTTAGAAAAAAAGAGAAAAATAACACAATCTTGTTATGACGAGATATTCTGCTAAATATCAACATCGGATGTCAAAAAAACTGATTTTTTTAATGTAGTCAATAAAAGTTCATTTGAAAACATGATAATGTACGAGTGGAGATTGTTATATTCTCATTTAAAACATGTCAAGTGTTATAATTAATGTTTAATGAAGTATTTAATGGAAAAAAATGATATTTTTAGTATTCCAATCAGAATTTTATTTTAATATAGAACATTTCTTAGAAGTTTTACTATAGTAGTAAATAAAATGTCTCAATTAACCCTTTACCGCCGGCTACCAGAAGACAACAAGTAAAACGTTATCTTTCTATATATTCTTTGTTGTTTAGTTATAGGGATTAATTTTTCACGGCCGACTTTTTAGAAAATGCCGTACCCCCTACGGCAAAATTGTTACCTTTTGGTAACACCCGGCCGTAAAGGGTTAATATTATGATGATCGTACTAATAAATTAGGAATAAGAATAAACAGACAATAGAAACATTGTTTTTTTAACATTTAGTTTTATTATCTATGATGTTTTAAAAAGAAAATGAAAGAATAGAGTATTATTTTTATTATCACTCCATGTAGAAAGAAAGTTTTTTTTCACGGACGTCCTATACGGAAATGAAGTGTCACTATTATTACTTTCAATCTATTCTAAGTAATGCATGGTTAAAAACCCATGCTTTCCTCGAGATTAATTAACCGAATAATATTTTTTACTAAGTTTAGACTTACATTGGAGATTAGTGGGTAGAATTTAATTAATAAATAATTTAGATTTGAACAAAAAAATGAATTCGAGTATTCTACATGTCAAACTTGTCAATTATGAATAAAAATATTCTTCTCATACGACAAATAATTAATTCGTAGCTCAATATTACCTAATAAATATATCAAAAACGAACTCTTTGTATTCTACTAAATTATCTTTCAAATAGACTTGTTTACCTTACCAAAAATAAATTTTATCTTTATATTACATATATGTTGTTATTATCTCGTAATCAACGACATCAATTTACACATGATTATTTTACATAGACAGATTATTATTTTCCTAGACATATAATTAATAAAAGTAACTAGATCTATGTTCTTTTAGCATAATGAAATATAAATTTCAACGAACATACTTATTTGAAAATGCATAGATCATTGGATTGCAAAATGAGTTAACATAGCCTAAAAGTACCGAGAAATTGTCCTTGAAATAAGAGACAAAAAATAAAATTCTTTACCAATCCAAGTTATATAACGTTCTACAAGTGGATGAGCACATGTGTAATTACAACATGCTAATACAAGATACATAACAAAAAAAGGTAACCAACAAGCAACGAATACACCAACGACAATACCTATAGAATAAATATAAATTTAATAAAGATATTCATAAATATATATTCTTCTATACCTAATGTTCGTATTGCTTTAAGATTTGTATTCCAATTTTTATTTTCTAATAAAAAATTGTTATCACTATGTAAACGTTGAATAATAATTTCAAGTTTTCGTAATTCACGTGAATGTTTACGTGCTGTTATATATATTCTTCCATAAAGAAAAAGTATTATTATAAGTGGGATATAAAATGATGTTAATGCTGATATAATCGAATAAATTAAATTAGGTCTCATATTACATTCATCCGGATTATTTGAAGTTGCACCACCAGTTCGAGATTGACTATAAACACCCAATAGAACTGGAGCATAGGAAAGTAAAACACTGATTAACCATATACAACCAATTATAATCAATATAGTACGTTTAGTCATTTTTTGTTTGTATTTAAGTGGATTTTCAATCGCAACATATCGATCAAAACTAACAGCAACTAAAAAATAATTTATATATAAAAACATAAATTATTGCTTGTTTTTCGAATATTTATAAAACGCAATATTACCAAGATGCAAAATAGATGCTGTACAAAATGTAATATCATTAGCTACCCATATATTACAAAATATACGTCCAAATATCCATTTTTGTTTTATTTCAGATATAAATCCTGGTATCATAACTGTTGTTGTGACAAGTAAATCAGCAATAGCAAGTGACATAAGTATAAAATTAGTTGGATGACGTAGTCGTTGCACACGAAGTATAGCTGTTACAACAATAACATTTCCGATAATACTTAATATTATAATGATTGAATAAACCTTAAGAAGAAGAAAAAAGAAATTTTCTGATAATAAAATGATATTCTCTAACTTACAATAACATTAATAACAAGTTCTCCAGATCCAGAAACTTGTATATCAGTATGAATTGTTGATAAAGTATCATTTATGATTTCACTAGTATTTCTTGTTTCATTAATATTCATCATGACTTGATGACGAATTTTTACACTATAATAAATCAAGAGAATAAATTGAACAATTTCATATACTTTTCCATACACTTATTCTATTAATATTTATAGAAAATATATGAAAAAACAAATCCGTAAGCAAATCACATAGATTATAATAAAAAGAATAAGATCTCATTGAATAAGAAAAGAATCTCTTTTTTTTACTAAAGAAAAAATATGCTATGCATATTTTTAAGTAACGAACATGAAGTAATTTCCGTAAGGTATCCTGATATAAAAACTAATAGATATATATATATACACTTTTATTAAGATCTTTGAAATTCTTTTAACAAAAAAACACTATATGATTAATAATTTTATTTAAATTTTCATCTATATTATTTACTTACTGTCATCATTTCAACGACACTTGATACCAAAAAAAGAAATATAAAAAAAAAAGAGAATAGAAAGATAATTACACTACTCATAAGCTTTTTGATTCTTTTTTTTTATATTGTCAAATAAAAAAAAAAGAAATAAATAGTGAAGTGTCTACGGTTCTTAATGAAGAAAATGAATACAGTATTTTTTTCGTTTATAAAATAAAAAGAAAAACTTTTTTTGTTTCTGTAATAAATACGAATATATCAAGGATGAAATATGTCTATTTGTCTGATTGATCATTCTGTTGTATCAGGGACAAAATATTTTTTTTATGTATTCATTCGCAAAGTGGTGTCTGAAAATTTTGCTTCCTTCTTTTTTTTTTCCTTTTCCTCTGTAGACTATAAATTAGATGACACGAGCATTGTAAAGATAAACAGTACTCTAAGATTCGTTAATTATACAGGTTAAAACCATTAATGAACTTGAAATCATGTCAAGATTTAATATTTTCCGTAATACTAGATAAGTAAAAATATTCTCTTATTAAGTAATAAAATTTATTATGGAAAATTTAACAATTGATAATGAATATGTCAAATGTTTTCTTTACAACACTTACCAATACTATTATATAAACTATCAATAAGAAATAGTATCATGATTATTTGTGAAGTATATATAATCAAATAAATAGATGCGAGTTGTTCGCAAATATGATAACAGTCGTTTGTATTTGATTTGGATAGAAAATTTTCACAGCTAATTCATTATAATCTTACTGAACTATTGTTAAAATTGATGGTCTATTGGGAATAGAATGTTGTCTTTAGTATTGGATAAAAAAAATGACACACACTAAAGGAGAGAAGAGAAGAGAAGAAAGACATACAGAGAGAGAGAGAGACAGAAAAAAAAGAATATTTTGAGTAAAGCAACGAGTAAGAAAAGCTTGATTCGGGCGAAAATTGGCAACCAAAAAAACAAAGAAAAAAAAGAAAGTGTTGACTCGAGAAAGAGCAAGCAATGAAAAAGAAGTCATCAAAAGTATAGAATCCATAATTATAATATTCTTTATATATATATATTGAAATCATGTGTGAAGCCCTTACTATACATATATAAGATTACGAATTGCTTTGATTCTATTATGATCATATTGTTAAATTTAGCAATCTATACAAAATAATATCGATCAACATCATTGCGATAAGATATTATATATATATATATATATATATATATATATTTATGTGTTTGCCACTCTATTCCACAAACATTGATGCACATGTTTTGAATAATGAATAGATGTGATCATGAGTTTTGATGTTATTTAACTTTTATGTATATAAATATTCGAAATCTATTTATAGACATCTTTTTTACATTTAGATGAGTAAATTTTCTTTTTTTAGCTCGTGCTTTTACTATTTATTGACATATATACTTATGTCACAGTATTAGTACGAATCAGTCATTATTAAATTCTATTATATTTGACACGAATTTCTTTTTGATTTTATTTTATTTCTTATAAATTTTCTCCTTGTCAATCTTCTTCATATTCTTAGATTAGTTTTTAATATAATGAAGATTAAGTTTCAAATTATTCGACTCTAATAGTATTATTTGACAGGAACAATACAATTAATAATTGTAGAATATGACATGCAGAACATTCACTTATAGTATAAATATAAAGAAATATTCTATCTCAATGAAAGAGATATAAATATATTCATTTCTTCTTCTTTTTTTTCTGATAATTAATGAAGTTACATTAGGTAATGTAAATATACAAGCTAATCTATAATGCCTGAACAACAGGAAATAGGATCGACTCTATTGAAAACACTTGAATAGACCCTGTTGGAATTGAATAAACAAAGCATATATATATGAGGTATCTTTTAATAACTATGATAAGAATTCACGTGGATGGAAGCTCTATTTACTCGTGCTTTTTTTTCTTCTATGAATGTCTACATTCTTCATGTAGACGTTTTCTTAGCTCGTTAGTTTACTTACTATTGTTTCACCATTATTTCTCGACGTTTTTCTCTCTACTGTTGTTTCCCGTCCTGTTTCTAGCACGAGTGTTTATCTGGCTTCGTTGAGAAATAAGTGAACAAGGACTTCTTTTTATTTCATCATCTGCTCAATGTTTGATTTGTTTTTTTTCTATGTTGAGGAGAAAAAGAACAACAGATATAAAAAAAAAAAGAAACAATCTTGAAATTGATTTAGCTTTATATTTATTAATACATCCAATTAAATCGATAACGAATGATTTAGATTAAAATAAATAGAAACGATTTACTTATCGAGTTCTTTTTAATACAATACACTAGAGTATTCTCATCATTAACTTTCACAGCAACAGAACTATCATATACTACATATTATCATCATTTTGCTCTCACCAAGTGTTTACATTATTATCGTTCGGATTCTTCTCTAGTTTGCCCTAAACATGCAATTACTTGCCAATCATACTGCACCTGTATAAATATTACTTCCCGGAATCAAAAAATGTACCGAAAAACTGTTGTATTTATATAATGACACACTAACATCGATAGTTATATTTTATCCCGTTGTTCTTTTAATTAAAAATGATATCAATTAAAAAATAATGTTTCAATAAATGCAGATCTATATTTCTATTGTTTTTTAGTGATTGATAATCATACAGTAAAAAATAATAGATCACCAATATTTTGTGTTTTTTGTCAATCTATTTATGTAGTTCTTCACGGAGAACTTTACCAAAACGAGCCATACCCTATACAAACAAATGTAATCTAATAATAGAATAAGAAACTAAATTTACTGTTTCAATTTGTTCCGGTGTACAAAGTGAATAGGAAACTCGAACATATGGATAAGTTTTTGATTGATCAGGAAAAAATGCACTTCCCGGTAAAAGTAATACTTCTTGTCCAAGTGCTTTTTCATAGATTAATTTTCTTGTATCATCAATACCATTGACTTTCATCCATATAAACATTCCTGCTGTTGGTTCATTAAATGTAACCATATCTATAATTTAAAAATTGCTTGTCAAAACAAAAAAAACAAGAAAAACTCGTTTCCGATTTGTGAAATAATATGTTATGTTTAAGGGCAAAGATGTCTAGAATATTTATTGACAAATAGATACGAGGCAAAAATAATCACTATACCAATTTTATCAAGTAGAAAATAATATTAGTTCGCCTTCATATATTATAGATATGTAATGAATGAAGCAAAAGTTGTATTTATTGATGTAAAAACACATTGTAGAGAATCAATTTGCTTTTTCAAAGGATACTTCAAGACTTGTTCAAAAACTTTTCTCTTTAATTATAAGAAGATCTCTTCAGTTATTTTTCTAAAACATATGTGTTGATGGTTTTGTTTCTTTAAATAGCCAAGGCAGAATCTCTTTCGAAAATGAACCGATCGTACCTCCTTCAAAAGGATTTAATTAAAAATAGATGAAACCTCTAACTATTAAGATTTAGAATTACTATGAAAGATTGTAAACAACAGATTCATCTATCTAAACTCTGAGAAATTCAATTTGTACAGAGAGACAACTTGCGAAGCGTTATTTTACAAAATCAATATTATATAAGGCTCTTTTTCTTCCATTCTTCGTTGGTAAAGATGAAAACTATCTCGTTAATTTATTATCTAGAGATTTGCCACTGTTTTTACATGTTCCTTAGGTCATTCGTGATATGATAAAAAGATTTCCAGTCGAGTTTATATCATTAACGCTAAGAAAAATACAAATGATTATTAAGCATTCTAGATGCCAGATGAGAAAATCCAGAAGGGAATAAAAGTTTTGATCGATTACATATATGGATAAAGTATCGAATACTACATAGAAAAAAAAGGTTATTAAGTATGTTTTCGATGCACCTGTTATCAACAAATGATGTTTTTGTAGGATACATCTTTGATAACTCAGGAGGTGAACTGCTGCTGAAATTGGATATAGTTATCGAGTCAATACAACTAAATAAGCTGTTAATTGCACTCTCAATCGAAATTAGTTTAAATACCGTTTAAATGTTTTTTGATAGCATTAACCATTAATACTTTTTGATTTTCATAAAATTTCGAAATTCTATAAAAAAATAACGAATAAAATGTTTTTGTTGTTGTAAAAGCATTTTACTGTTCTGTATGTTGATGAAATCCAGATAAACCCCATTTTTCCAATAATTTCAAAGCTACCATCTATAAATAATATTTTTTGTTTTTCTTGAAAAATGAACATCTTCTTACTTGTGAAAGAGAACTTGCGTGCATACTAGTTACTTGCTGATGATAAACTAATTTTTGCCATAATGGAATTGGTGCAGTAAGAAAACCAAGACGCATTCTAGATAAATAATTCTCTCTATTTTTTGTTTTGTATTAAATTCAATCTTACCCAGCGGATAATACTTTCGACATAGAATCAAGTCGAATAACACGACCATCTGTATCCATTGATAAAAATGATGGATCTGGTTTCTAAAAATATTTTCTTTGAAGATTATTTCTATAATTAATTATTACCTTAAATTGAAGAAAATAATATGGATCATCTTCGATAATTAAGAGATTATATTTTTGAGCAATCTAAATCAAGGGAGATTTTGAAATTGAATTATAATATAGTAAATTATATTGTTTACAGTATAAATATCTTTTTTTCGTTCGTGACTCATTGATGCTCCAGTAGGATTCGAACCATTTGGAATTGTATACAGAACTCGCGGTAAAGTATTTGAATCAGACCAATTTGAAAGAATGTTATTTAAATATTCAGCATTCATTCCATTGGAATCTGTATTCACACTAATTATATTAGCTCCAAATCCACGTAACTTAATTTAGAAGATTAATAGAATAAGAAAAAAAGTTTTTTTATGTTTTGATAGAACCTACAAAATCTAAAGATCCGGAATAGCAGGGTGAATCAACTAAAATTGGTTCTGTAGTATTAAGAAGAAGTTCAAAAACTTTGCTTAATCCTTCCATAGAACCGTTTGTTACACATAGTTCATATCGTTTAAAATCAATAGGAGAATGATAACGAATTTGTAATTTTCTTAACCATTCTAATAAATCTGCTTGTCTATATTTCAAAATAAAAAGAAGAAGAAGAAGAATAAATAAAATTTTAATATTTTAAAAACATACCCAGGCGTGGGTAGATATTGCAATGCTTTAGCCATAGCAGAAGAATCAAGTTGAATTGTTGTATCATCTCTTTAATAAATTAATTTTCTTTTAATGAAGATGAGAAAAGAGAAAATATTCACTTTAAAGTTATAGTTGCTTCTTTAAATGGAAATAAAGATGCATTAGGACTTCCGGAAGCAAAACTAATAGTTGAAGGTGGTGATCGTGCAAATAATTGAGCTAAAATAATAATTGTCAAATTATGAATAGGATTGTAAATTAATTTTTACTAGCTTCTCGAATAGCACTAGGTTGTCTACGAGCAGCAGCTCTACTTAAAAAACGAGCATAATCAAGGCAATTTGGCATCTGAAGTACAAAACAATGTTTTTCATTTTATTCTTTAGTTTTTTTCTTAAATATTTTAATTAAATTTTTAACATTGAAACAAAAATCTCCGTGAGTTTTTTCAAGAGCTACAACTAAAAAATGAATTCTTGAACAAAGTGACATGATTAATATATTATAATGAACATAATTTCCTCGACTACATTCAAGTCTTATTCGATCAACAGTTGTTTTTGATAAACGTTTGATTTTTGTTAATAATAATGATGATTCTTCTAGATTAGTAAGTAATTGATTGATTGTTCCACGTGATGGTAAACTCATTTTAATTTCATCTGATTTAAATTCAATTAAAATTTGTTCAAGATTTTGTTCTCGTTTTAATAGAAATTGTTCGAGTAAACGCACAGTACGTCGACTTGCTTGAATACCAAGTTCAGCACGACGGGCATTCCAGTTTTTATAAACACAACGACTTAATAAACGAGTTTCAAGATTTAATAAATCAATTGATTTGTATTGTTCAATAAATCTGACTAAATAAGAACGACATTGATCCACAGACGATCGAATTGGACGTAATTCATCAAGTGTATAAGATATACTTTGAATTTTACCAGTTTTCACCATAGTTTATCTAGAATGATACCTGTATAGAAAACACAGTGATATTAGACTAACAGACTATTTATTATCATAGATATGATTGAATCGATTACTCAACTTTGTTTACGTTTACTCTATCAATCCTATACTTATTAGGTTGATTTTACTGTACCCCTCCCGTCATAAAAGGGCCGGTGCCTTCTGTTATGGTTCTGCAACTTGCACTTTTTTGTGGAAAAATCCCCTTACCCCCTAGGGCGTTTTTCCGATTTTGCTTCAGAGGAGCTTACTATTTAGAGGAGACCTTCTATTGTGGGCGGGAGGGAGGTTACTTCAATTCAACTCTTTTTTAGCAATAAACAGTATCTTGAGTATGTTATCACTCAAAACATCTGTTAAAGAACTGGATGCGAGATAAACATTTAGCAATGTTGGCTGAATGCAGATTAAGCTAACTCCAGATTCATGCAATAGATATATGAATATAATTTAATGTATTTATTAAGATACATTATCGAAAATGATGTGCGAATTGTCTTCCACTATTCATTTCAAGGGAAGTACGTTCTTCTCATGTACGAATGATTATGGAAAAGAAAAGAAAACATGAAATATTCAAGTAGCTTGTATATTTCATAACAAATACAAAAATAGGTTACAGTTTAGTACAAAAAAGAAAAAGCTTAAGATTTAGTTGATGATTCTCCAGCTGATTTTGGTTTAGTTGGTTTTGGGATAATGTAAAAGTTCGAATACAATTGCTCTGGTGGTTGTTGAAAATTTGTTTCATGTAATCGACTCGATAAAAAAACAAAAAATATTCCAACACTAAACCAGATAGCTACTAGGGAAAATCTCGTCATTACACTACGATTCGCTTTTTCTTGACGTTTAGTTTCTTGTTCCTGTTGTTCTTGTCGCATTTTTTCCTGTGCTTGTTTTCTTGTTGTAGTCCAATTTTGAAAATCACTATAATGAGCACGATAAAATTCATCGAAATCATATACAGTTGAACGTCCTTTTGGTGTTGGACCACGATATCGACCAAATGCTGAATCATACCGTTCTTTATCAAATGTACCATAACTTGTACTTCGACTACTTCCGAATGCATTTTCAGATCCTTGAAAACCTCCACTGGAAGAACTACTACTTGATGCTGGAGGTGGTTTCCATGACGAAGGACGATGAGCACGAGCTCGTTGAGCATAAGTACTTGTTCTATCATAGGTAACATAAGGATCAGAAGCTGAAGTTCGAGATAATAATTCGTTGTCATAATCACGTCGTTTAACTGGATCACCTAATATATCATAAGCATTTGAAATTATACTAAATTTATGTGCAGCATTAACATCTTCAGGATTTACATCGGGATGATGTTTTTTTGATAATTTATAAAACGCAGTTTTAATTTCTTTTGGAGAAGCACTGGAATTAATACCAAGAGCATCGTAATGATTTGATGATGATTTTCTATCAGCATAGAACCGTCGATGTATAATACAATAACAAGAAAATGATGTACCAGTATATTTAATAGGACCGATAGATCGAATAAAATAATTTAAATAGACAGACATAATTTATTGCAAGTGAGCAAGAATAAAAACATGCTCACATCTAAAAGAATTATCTAATATAGCAGATTTATTTGTTCGATTCATTACGTCCTAAAACTAAATTTATTTTCATGAAATCATTTCTTCTATGTTATATCGATTCAAATAGAAAAAAAAATACAAAAAAGACAAAATCACATAATTTGAATTACAAAAATCATAAAAAAAAAACGAAAACACAAAATCTACAAATAAACAAGATCTTCGATCAATAGAACACTGTTCAATATTTTCTGAATTTTTATTGAGCACACACACATATATATATATATAAGATATCTGACAAAAACATATAAATAATCATCAATTAATTGCCATTAATTTCTATTAATCCATGATCATATGCATAAAGAACGGCTTCACACGCAAATTGATATTGACTCTAAAGAAAAAAATAGGAGATAAGTTGTTGTTTTGTTCTATAGAAAATTCTTACAGCTGTTTGAATCATTCCTAAACGTTGTTCACGCATTTGTCGAACAATATTAAGAGGAAATACAGATTGATTATTTTCCATAAGACATAAAGCAGTTTCCATTAAAATTAATACACCTGTTCTACCAATTCCAGCACTAAATCAATAGCGAAATATAATCTTTACGAAAAATTTCTCTTATTTTTACCTGCAATGAACTAGAATTGGTAAATGTTTATTAGCTTTTCTTAATTCACGAATTTCTAATACAAAATCTACAAATGATGTATAATCATTTGGTACACCATGATCGGGCCAAATTTCATTTTGAATTTGATAAATAATTCTTTCTTCATTTATTTCTTTATTTAGAAAAATAAATTCTCGATACATTAATTCATTTTCTTTTCTTTCACGTGTACATCGTATTGTAAATAAACCATAATCATTTGTTTCGGAAACATTTGGCCAATATTGATGACATTTTATTCGACCACTAAAAAACAAGAACAATATTTTTGTTATTTAGAATTCTCAAATTAATCTATTTACCTTTCAAATAATGTTGTTAACATTATAATTAATGTACATTCTTGTTCCCAAATCATTTGCCAAAATGCTTCACATGTTGTTGGTAATGGTCCTTGTGTTGCTATATAACGATTAACGATATCTGTGGAAATAATTGGCATCTAGAGAGAATAATGAATTAAATTTAGATTTTTAAATAAAAAGATTAAATATTACGTTAATATAATTCGCATTGATATAATCAGTTTCTGTATTAGTTTTAAGTATAACACGTGTTTGGTCATATGGTAAAACATCTTTATAACGATTGTAATAATAATTTGTCTGATTACTACTTATTTCAAATGTAAAACCGTTTTTTCGACGTTCAAGTGTCTTAATAGAAAATAGAATATTAATAATAAATACTGATAATAGAGAAAATTTGGATCACGATAACTCTTTGCGTGATAAAAAATGTTATTACAAATTCTTATGTCTATGATTGAGTAGAATCACTCGTATATGAAATAGGATTAGATACTTTCTATTCTTGTGTATCAGACTACGGTTTATATATATTTCAAAATCGATTATTTTTTATAAATATTTTTCTACGGTCTAATTTTTTGATTAAAAAAATCTAGAATTGGCGATGCCTTATCAAGAATATCAATAAAAATGATAAAAAATTTGGTAAAGATCTTAGGACGATTGTCATTAAATTTTCAATGAGATTTATTCATTGTATCACAAACAAAGATGACATCAATTTCATGATATTCACTGAAATTGCATATTTCTATTTAACAAAAAACATTTTCATATCTTCATAGAATAATCTCAAGAGTATTCAACTATGATAACATTATTATAATTATTATGATGTACTCTGTACAATTGAAGAACATAGAAAGCTTGTCAAGGTTTTTATATCAATTATAGAATTAATTTTACATATTGATTACTATTACTTAGATAAATGTTTTACAAATAAAAGAATGATTTCTAAACGTACTTCATATTGTTCAGTCAAACGATTTGTTGTAAGATCATTACGTAGTATTTGTAAAGAATTCTCTAAAGAATTATTTTCATCTTTCGATTTTATAACAAGTTCTAATTCTCCAAAAGGTCTTTCACGAGAATATCGAATCATATTAATAATCTAAAGAAAACAAAAAAAAAGAAATTCCTCTTATTCATTGTTTTATTTAACATACTTCTTCATGTGTATGATTTCGAATATCAATATTATTAATTGCTAAGATAATATCACCTTCATGAATTGATGCTCGACTTGCTGGTGTATTGTATGCTACTTTTGAAACAACAGTTGGTGTTTGTTCATCTTCACCACCCTATACAATAAACAAAACATGTGTTTCTTCTTTTTTTCTTTTTAAGATAAAGAATAAAAAATACTTTTATGTTAAAACCATATCGACCATCGACATCTGGTGTTAATTTTATTAAAATAGAATTCGTATTAACACATGACATTGATGAACTATTCGATAAAAGATTTTGAAAACTAAATAATAATAGAAAGCAATCTTTAAATACTCATTTTTTTACAAGTATTTTCTCAAGGGAAATTAACATCGCATGTATTCTACTAATTTCTTGTGTTGACATCGTAGTTTATTAGACATCGAACAAAAAGTTTACACGCGTGCAAGATATCTTTCCGTTCTCATAAAATATACAATTGGAGTGCGGACGTGAAATAATTTTTTCTTTTCTTCTCAACCTACGCACATCCCCTTTTAAATGAATTGAGGAAGAATACAGAAAGAAAGAAAGAAAAAAAATTGATTTTCTTAGTACTTCTCTCGTGGTAATGTGGCATTTTTTGGTTTGTATTCATTAGCTTCAATAAGTGCACTATTAGTTAATGATGATTTATAAGATTGTCGAGGAGGTTTCGGTGGCGGTGATAATGGTTTATCGAATTTTGGTATTGATAGATTTGATGATGAAAGAGATAAATTTGAATTTTTAATTATAGAAAAATTATTCGTCATAGATGTAATTGGTAATGTTGATGAATTATTTCCTGAACGACTGCTTCGTCGACTTGATATTCTACAACAAAAAAAAAAATAATAGAATTTTTTTAGAACGTCTATTTCTAATAACCTTTGAAATTTTTTTTCTCGTCTTTCATTTGTTTCCATTAATAATGTATTTGGTACAATATCGGTACTAAAAGAGAAAAAAAAATTTCTTAGAATTCAATCTACACATTTTATAAAACGGACTTAAGTCTATGCCGAAGTTTATTAGTAAATGGAAAGAATTTTTTTGATGATGATGGTACCGATGTTAAACGAAAGAATGTATGATGATCAACACATGACTTCCATAAGTATTTACAACAACGATAATTACGTAATGTAAATACAATGGAATTATCATCGGATGAATCCTGAAAAAAAATAAACAAAAGAAAATTTTTTTGATAAGTGTACCCAAGTACGTTCTCTAATAATGGAGACAATGTAAAATGAATTTTAGATTAATATTTGAAAAGAATATCTTAATGACAGAGTAGATATGCGTGTGTATGTAAAATGTACTCATCGACATCTTCAATATAGATAAAAATTTGCTCTATAAATGGTATATGCGCTTTGAATTTTCTCATAAGTCTGTTGTTGATATCATTTATAATATGTAAATAATAACTTACAGGATTTTTAATAAGTTGAACGTAAAATGTTCGACGTTTAAACGATATTTTTGTTATTTGATCCCTATTTATAAAAAGAAAAGTAAATAAAAAAAAAGAACTTGATTTTTCATTTTATTACCAGAGAAATGTATTAGCTTTGGTAGAATTTTGAAAGACAGATATTCCTGAAGCACAAACACCAATATATAATTCAACTTTTGAATTATGAAGTTTATCATTTGTATTCGATACCTAATGATAACAATTAATAAAAAAAATTATTTTAAATATTCGGTTAATTACTTTAACAGATGCTTTATGTAATTCTACACCGTACATATCCAATGAACTAGCTACACGAAGATAATTATTTTCAGCATCAGCTGGTGATTGACCTCTAAAAAAGAAAAGTAAAACATTAAAATATCGAATCATTTTTTGTAAAGTCAAGATTTAGCGAAGCTAGTTGATGTCATCTTTTATAATGTCAATGAATGTCGTTTATAATAATACTTCTCATGTGAAAACAGAACAAGCAATGTACTGTGTTAATCTTTGGAGTTCCAGTTTTTTTTCTAGAAATACCAATTGTTAAACAAAATGTATCAAAATCAATTTTACAAGTAAGTTCTATATGGTCGAAAATCTGAGCCAAATATTAGAAAGTACATGTTCGAAGTCCAACTTATGGATTGAATTACATCTAATAATTAGATTTTTTATTTTGAAGTTTTCATATATTATAAGTAACGCTCGTCCGAGAACTCGCTTAACTCTTTCTCATAGGAATGTATTATCTTCAGATTTACTGAAAAAATAATTGAAAACCTTACTCTCCTTTGTTGTTCCCTACTCAGTGGTAAACGGAGATCAAAACATGTAAGGGCGGTCGGTACCATTGGCTTGTCGAACTAGCCTTTAACAAATAAGTGAAGTGTTAGTAGGCTTATACGCAAGAGAGCCACACTCGGCAATACAAGCAGGGGAACATTTGGATACCCATAAAAATGCATTATCAAAGACTCGGTTTCTATCAGTCCACATCACTTCTCCCCCTTCAGTAGTCTGAGCAAATGAGGCCCACATTTGAATTTTCAACATCGAAATACCTCAAGAAATGACTTTTTCGGAAAATCGGTCTTCGATGTTCTTTTGACCCTGCGGACATACAAGCAAGAAAGCAAACAATTTATTCTTACTGGACTCTTCTCTACGAGAAAGTGAATAATTAGAAAAATTCTGATCTTATGAAAAAACATATTTAGATTCTAACTGTTAATAATATGGAGAAATAAGAATGCTGAGTGATTGGTTATTTTTTTTATAATGCGAAATTGCCTCATTATTTGTTAAGTAGTCTGATATTTTAAAAAGAATTAAATACTGTTCGTTCTCTCTCTCTCTCTTAGATTCTATTCATAAATAAGTCTTATCATCATTAGGATGTCCTTCAAGCTTCACTTTAGATACAATCATTTCCAAAGGTTGTTTGATATTGTCAACGTAGATATCTGAAGAAAAACATATTTGCTTTCAGTGATATTTTTAGGACATCCTAATGATGATAAGGCTTATCTATAGACATAATGACATATCAAAATAGATGATACCCAGCTTATTATAAAAAAAACTAGACAGTACGATGATTAACTACAAATTGAGAAAACAAAGTCCAATAAATATTCACTTCTTTCATAGTTTGTTGAATTAATCTATTTCTTACCGATGTTGTTTATGATATTGTTGAACTTCACTTTCAAAATCTGAATTTTGAAATGGTACAAAACGAAAATCATTTAAATATCCTGTTTGGTGTTCATGTATATCATAATCACCAAGTTCACCTAGATATATACATAACAATGATTAATTTTCTAATCGCGAATTCTTCTTACTTTGCACAATATAGCTAGCTAGAATAGTTGCAAGTGTTCTTGGACACCATATTTTTCCACTTAACAATTCTTTTTTCAATTGTAATACATATAAATATTTTGTAAATTCATCATCAATTTGTATCCATGGATCAGTTACAAAAAATCGTACTTTAAAATATAAATGGTATGATCCTATATTTGTTGTTAATTGTTTTTTAAGTGTTTTTGTTGAATCTAACCATCGATATGCAAAATCTTGTGTTAAATCTTCAATAAGTAAACCAAAATATTTTTTTTCATTTGATAAATCCAAATAATCGAAAATTTCATTTAATAAAACGATTCCTTTACATTGACGCTATCAAATATAAATTGACTATATGTTTGTTTATTAAAATCTTTCTAAACTTACATCCACATAAAATGTTCGTTCAGTATCATCAAGAAAATGTATTATAATTGAATAATGATCATGTGCAATTTCAAATGCACGTAAATTATAAGAGCGGTATACCAATGATTTATTTTTTGTTGAACGTTTTAATGATATCATACGTTGAATTAGATGTGTTTTATTTGTTGAAGTATCAGATTGTTGTACTGTTGATGAGTCATCTGTTGTTTGAGATGATGATAAAGATGCATTAGCTTGTATGGCTACTGATGAAAGAACAAATGTTTTATTGTTCAATCTTGTAGAATTTTGTTGCTGTTGAATAAATGAAGCCGCCAGAGTTAAAGAAAAAATTGATTCATGGTTTTGTTTTTTTTATCTTAAATCAAAAAAGAATGAATTCAATTACCTATATATATATATATGATTAGATAACAAATGATTCGGTCAAGTAAATGTCTTGCTGAATACAAGTCAATGTTTGCGGGGAAGATGAGCAAGTGTAGAATGAAGAAAGCATATAGATTCAAAAGCTCTGTCTCTCTCTCTCATCGACCTTTTCTTTTACTCTTATTACGAATACGATAAAGAAAGAATAAGAACAGTGATCATATAATAAGACATAAGAAAGCTCCATATGCTACCCACTAATTATCAATCTGTAAACGACGTTTTCTTTTTTCTTTTGTAATTATTGTTAGGACAGCTTATCTCTTAGAAGAAAAACTGACCAATTACTCGAGTTTATATCATCTTCAATACACTTAACATATAGTGTCAGCACTTCCTTATCTCTCTCTCTCTACAAGTAAAAGAAAACATGAATGTATATTTTCTCTTTCGTAAATAATCTTCTTGAGAACAAGTACAATTTACATACAAGTGAAATTTGACGAAGCAATAGGACATCCAATAAATAGTTGTATGTGTAGAATCAATATACAATAAAATTATATAATCTTTACTATAGAAGAATAAATAATAAAGTTCCCATTAAGAAGTAACATCGATTATTCTTTCGTTCTTCTCTAGTCGCACACAATTTATTCTTACTCTTATGTCAGTGTTCATCAACTGTATATACTTCATTTGAAGGTCATTACCATGAATAAAAATCATTATTTCTTCTTCTCAAATATGAAATAAACTGAACTTACGAACTATATATAACTTGAAATAGAAACAAAAAATAGCATTAATAGTAATTTTTATCAAAAATACATAGATAATCCAGAGAAGTAGAGAAAAAACATACACAAACAAGATATCCTAAGAATTAGCGATATATATATATATGTCTATATATAAATTTATATATTTATAAATCTGACTTGTGAAAGTTCCTTTTACAAGAGCCGGCCTCGACAATTTTTTGACCCACAACAACATTTTACTTCACGATCGGGTAATAGTTCACAATTATAATGCCAAGTAAGTTCTAAAAAACAAAAAAAAAGCAATAATTAACCCAAGAAGAGAAAAAAAAGAAGTATGTTTTTTTTGTTCATATAAAGATTACTCTGATGACTTAATATGACTGATAATGTTACAGAACGCAATAGGATTAGCCAGACAATCCATTTACTAGTTATCTGTCATGAATTGTTCATCTATACATATACATGACAACTTGTATAAGCATATGGATATTCTTAAACAGACATACCATATGGAAAACTCTACATCAATGAACTATTACGCTCTAAATATAGACGAATGTCTGTCTTAGATCGGGAAATAATTGAATAAGGTACTTGATTAAATAGAATACAAATTAAGTTGTACTATTAGAATCAGTTTTTTTCTTGTAATGTCAATCGCTCATGTTATATCATATAGTTCAATAGAAATAAGAGAACATCATTAGGACAACAACGATCGATGTGTTATGAATATCAATCTATTTCAACTTGTTAAATGTCGTTTGATATAACAATCTACGATACTCAATCAAGTACTTTATACATAAAAATGTCATCACTAAATAATTGATGTCTGATCTTTCAACAAAAATACTTGTCACAATTTTATTTTTTCTAATCATTACCTTGACCAGCTTTAATATGTGTTCGAGTAAATAATGCAAGATTTGGAAAATGTAAATCATGTGATTCAATAAATACATTTTGAATAAACATATTTGGATCACATGAATGATTGAAATATTTTCCTACATTACTATATAAACTTCCATCAATCACATATGGTTCACCATCATCATCATCACTATCATCAATATTATCTTCATCAGTAATTTCATATCGAACTAATTTAACTAAATCAAGACTTGTTTGATATTTATCATCCATAATTTGTGCACGTTCATGTCCTTGATCTGATGTTAATAATTCTCCAATATATTGACAAACAAATGTACCACGTGGTAAATCATGTAATGTACGTAAACCCCAACCTTTTGATTTATCTTTAAATAATTGTATATGTACAAATAAACCTTGTTGTACAAGACGATTTGAACAATGTTCACGATGACATGAACATTTTGAATTACATTCATAAATACCACTTGATATTGGATTAAGTAAACGTTTTCGTTGATACGATGTTGTTTTTAATAAATTCGATTGTGTATAACGACCTTTTTCTTTTTCTAGAACTAATGGATCTTGATTTATTTGAGCTTGAGTTAATGTTTTAAGAAAACAAGCACATTTCATTCGATCATTGCAACTTAAATAAATAACATGAAATATAAGTTAGATCCATAAAAGATATCTTACTTGTCAGTACAATCACAACATGATGTCATGTTTGTATCATTAAATGCAGCCGATATACGATTATCAATTGGTCGAATTTTTGTTATGTAAATAAATTTATCCAATTTTTCATTGTCAATATCATTGTATACGGATATTTGAACATTTTCTTGTCCTTGTGAAAGATCGTTAAGTTGAATATATTTTTCATTATGATTATCTATTGGAGGTTGAAAACGTGTTAGAACACCATCAACAAAATATTTTATCGATAATTTTGATTGTGTTCGATAAAGATATTGTTCAATTTCATCAAGAGAATAAAGTGTACGTCGACATGGTGTACGATAACCACGTGGTTTACTTTCAACAATAGACCAATGACATTCGAATGGAAGTAGAAATGGATTTGTTTGTATTTTATTAGATGAAAATTTTTCTTCAGCTGATAGAACACATTGTTGACAACATGTATGCATTGTCGAAGGTAAAGCATTTAGAACTCGAAATTTTGGTAAGAGAATATTTGTATAATAAGTTGTTACCATTTTATTACGTGATTTGGATGAATTCTTTTCATTCGATGATAATGATGTCTGCTGTTGTTGTATTGATGATGATGATGATGCTGCTAGTCTCGTATTAGATCGATCATGAAGTTTTTTATTACCTATAATAAATAATTTATAAAGATTATATTTATCGATATTAATGTCTTTATATAGCATTATTTTAATAGGAAAAAATACATAAATTTTGAAAAAATCTTTTCAGTTATGATTGTCCTGCAAAGCATTATAATTTTTTATTGTTGTTAACATAATTTAAACATGCTGTTTAGACAAGAGGAAAAAAGAAGCATCGTATCTCACCTGTTAACACTTCAGATAGATTTTATCATGCATAAGATATATGAAACTAAATTTTTATATTAAATTATTCATTGAGCAAAAGTGATAGTATGAATAAAACTATAAAGCTGATTTATGTGTATCTTGTGCAGAGATGAGCAACTCCAACTCGGAGTTGGAGTGGAGTTACATCAAAATTTTGAAATCATGGGTGAAGTTTAAGTGGAGTTGATGTCTGTTTGGAGTGGAGTTGGAGCAAATTTTTGAAAAAATGGGTAGAGTTGAAGTGGAGTTGAAATCTGTTTGAAGCGAAGTTGGAGTGGAGTCGGTTTTTGTGATTTTTTCCAACTCCGATTTAACTCCTGTTAAATCTGTACTTTTTCACAATCGTATTGCTAAATCTCGATTTATCAAATCGGCGTGGAGTTAGATAGAGTTGAAGTTGGAGTGGAGTTAGACTGGTGTACCTCCGGAGTTGCCCATCTCTGACCTTGTGGATTCCCGAATTTTGCGAACTAGCACTTGTGTCAGTATCATTACGCATGTACGAAAATAGCTCCTAGTAACTATATTGAGGAGTTTAAACTACGATTTGTTGATTCTAATAATATTAGGTTAATTTATTACAAGCATTCTATGTTAATCTGATGTTAAACTAGAATCTAGTGAATCGTTCGACAATTTTGATTGTAGAATGTCATCTCCGAATATGAGAACCCACTAGAATATTATTTCCAAAATAGAATAAAACCTACCGAATAATATAAGTTTATCTAAGTGTAAATCTAGAGAAATTCAAATCGAAATATTTCATAAACTCGATTGATAATTTTTTATGTTTATCTAGGTAAAACTTACCATTATTTATATCAAAATCATCATTTTTTCGTTTTCGTAATCGTGATAAATCCGAATAGGTAGGAACAATCTCTTCTGGTGGAGTTTCAGGTATTGAAAGAATGGAGAATATAGATGGCTGTTCTTGTTCTTGTTCTTGTTCTTGTTGTAATACTGGTTGTGACTGATCAATAATTGATGATTTTGCATGAATCCATATTTCTGGATTTGATTTACGTTCAAAAAAACAAATTTTTATAAGTAAACAATCAATATCAATAATACGAGCATTATGATATTGTGAACCAAATTTTCGTACACGTATTATACTGTTTAATTTATAAATTGATGATGTAGATTTATTAATATTTTCAAATGCATTTTGATAATGTAATTGTAATTCTTTATAATCAATATTTGACAGATGTCTTCGATAGTCTTGACATAAACAGAGATGAAGTTCTGAGTGTGTATGATAATACGCTGTAAAATTATCATATAAAACAAGATAACGATTATTATTTTTTCTTGCACAAGGTGTTTCAAGTATAAAACCAAGTAAAGATGTTGCATGATGAAATATACGTGTTCGAATAGGTAGATCTAATGATGAATACGTTTCAATAAGATAGAGTTGTCTTTTTGTGATATATTCCGGTGTTAACATTTGAGGATTGTGAACCTTATGAAAGAGATTTATTTTAGTTTAATTTCAAGAATTTTTTATTTACTGTAATAATATGAATATCTTGAAGTTTTGGGTAATCCACAGCTGTTCGACATTTTCGAATAGGTAAATTTGGTTTAATAACGATTAATTCAGTATTTATTGCAAGTTTTCCAATTAAATTTTTTATCATAAAATTACCATTTAAAGTTGTAATATTTAATTCTTCTTCAATTTCTATATCACTATCATCATTAACAATTATAACAACATCATGTTTATCCTAAGAAAATTTACAAGTTTAATTTTTATTAATAAAAAAAAATGAACTTACAGACGTCTCACTTGAACAAGGACTATCAAAAACGGATGATGACATATTCCCATCATCAATTTCTATTAAGAAAAAGACATCATAGTAATTTTCTTTGAAATATTTATTACGAACTTTTTAAGTTATCTAAATTTGTAATCATTCGATTAGATGGATTACTATTCTCTTTACTGTGCTAGAAAATATAACTTTAACATAATAGAAATATACAGAACAAATAATATCAAATAACAACTTACTTGTTTAAAGAACATACCCGTGTTCTTCACCAACGTATGATAAAATATCTATGTATTACAAACAACAATTTTCTATCTAGAAATTAGAGAAAATAATTGTTGAAAAAAATATATGAATTCTAATGATAGATAATTGTTATAAAATATCTTTAGTTGGGATATTATGTGAACTCTGATATAAAGATAAACATTTTTATCGATGTTTTTTCTTTTTGTGTCTCTAAAGAAAAAAAAAGTTGCATACATACTTTTTTCACAGGAACAGACGTAAACAATTCTAGAAAAAGACACTTGATTATTTGTTTAGATGAATCATTCATTTATCAAATTTCTAATTTTTCTTCTCGTCAATGCTCTATTATGTCTGAAGAGCATTTTTATCAGATGAATACAACACATGTTGGCGTTAATATGATATTTAGTTGTAGAGTAATAAATCAAGAAATGAGGAAAAAAAAAGAATGAATACGATACAGGTCGTTTAACATTCAAGCTTCATTAATTGAATATTGCTCGATCTTGACACATTTTTTTCTTCGTTCTCATGGGTTTCATAAACAAAAAGAAACGTACGTATTTTTTAATTCAAGGCTACCACTATATGAGCGATTCAACTTGAGGAATAAAGAATACACAAATAAGACGGTAGTATAAGAATATATTGAATGTGATTGATAAGTAGATATTCTTGTAGCAACCATACCCCATTGTATACATGAATTGTTTATTTTGTATATATCATAACTTGAGAAGTATTTAACAGCGAGTTACTTCTACTCTCTTGAGAATATCTGAATCGTTCAATTTATTGATAAATCTCATTCTTTGTAGCATGAAACAAAATGAACATATTTTATATGAGTATATATAATCACACTTGAATTTTGATTAATCTGAAACAAACGAATATTTGTAGTTTATTTAACATGAACAGGAAATTATTGTTAATTTAGCATTTTAAAGCCATGTACCTTTGTAAAATATTAGAATAGAAATCTAATTAGATCCTAAAATCGTATGATCTATGAAAATATTTCTCTTTTCAAAAATCTTAATTCGCTTGTCTTTGTTGATTAAATAACATGATCAAATTTTTGTTTTCATCGCAATTTTTTTGAAACATATTTAAGAAAAATTAAATAGGTAAACACTACAACGACAACAACAAAGATATTTATTTATTTCACAAAAAAAAGAAAATGTTATATATCACCAAAAGCAATAAGAGCAAAATTTTGCTATATGAGTTAAGCGAGATTCAGCCGAATAAAATATTATTTTTAGTCAAAGTCATTGTACATGCGATCTTTATTATAAACACTAATCGATTGATATAAGACATATAGGATTAGTGCAGCAAATGCTATACCTAATATTAAAATATTTGAATTACTATTCGATTTTGCTTTCTCAGCTTTGGTTGACGATTGTTTTGTATCAGATCTACGTTGTTGCCGTTGTGATGTAGCCATTCTCTTCTCAAGAATTATAAGATCTGCAAATGACATATGAAATAATTTTAATTATATAGAAAAGAATAATCTTAAGAGAACTGAATATTTTAAATAGATGTTCATAAAGGACATAATTGGTTAAAAGATATGTTATTTTATACGGAAAAGACAAAGTTAAAAAAATCTATTCTTACAATTGCGTTCTTATTTTTCTAAGTAAATAAATAAAAAATTTAAAGAGTTTTTTTCTATTCTGAATAGAATAAATTCTAATTTTCTACTACATTAACCGCAAATAAATTGATCTATACTTGAAGAGTAAGTGAATATCAAAATTGCAATTATAATGAAGTTAGATAAAATAAGAAACAAACAAAAATGAGGTTAGTGAATATCATAAATATGATTTAACAGGAATATTAATGATTTTTTCGATTATTATGTTAATAATAGATGTAGTAAAGATTTAAAAAAAGAAAGAATATGTTTACGTGTTTACTCTAAAACTGTATGAATCAACTATTCGATTCAAAAATAGTCAATAAAGTTTATTTAATCGCTGAGTTTATTTGTTCAACGAAGAGTCTTTTTCATTTCTCTGTGTCAGCTTTAGGTAATAGATTTGAAATAACCAATCAATACATAGCGATAGAATATATTTGAGTATATTACAATAAATCTTTTATTTAACTAAAAATGCTTATTATTAGAAAAATAATTCGTTTTTATTGTCATAGATTTTTGTTTTTTGATATATGTACAGATGTCGCTAGTGGCATTGATTTGTAGAAAGTTGATGAACGTCGAAATACTGAATGTGATTTCGGAGGTAAATTTGATGTTATGGCAAGAAGACTGTTTAATATCGATCGTTCAAATTCAAGACGTTTTGAATCATTGACGGGGACATTTAATGCATGAAACTGCTGTAATCGACGTTCATAAACTAAACGAAGTAATTGTAAACGATGATCATGCACTAATCTATGAGATTGATTAAATAAATTTTCAATTTGTTCAGATAATGTTAATTCTATTTTCTAATATAAAAAAAAACAAATAAAAGTTTAATAAGACAAAGAAACATGAATATACATACATTTGGTTTTCGTCGTAAACTTGCTCGTAATTTATCAAATAGATGCATGATGACGAAACGAAAAGATTAATTAATGATGCCGTTATTGACAATAACGTTCATATAGATATATATATATATAAATCATCTTCGTTTGACTAATTAATGATGAAATGAAGCTTTTTCTACTCAATTTATCTAATTAGTGAAACAAATTAGTTCATTTTGATGAAAGAAAATACTTCTATCTAAATAGATGTTGATGCATCGCAATTTTGTTGTATTATAGAGGTTAATATCAAGTTACCAAATTTCAAATGGAATCATGTAAAACCCATAATTTTAGAGCTTGAATCTTGTTCTTTATATTTCCAGGGAAGTTTCATATATATATGAATGTCATAATCTTATGATGGGTTAGCTTACACTTGACTTTTATGTCTAATTGGAATTTATTAGATTCAAAATATTCTGATAATTCTTCATTCGTAGAAACTTTTAAGCACTAAAGCATGTCAAGATATTTTATAAATACTTCTTAAGCTATAATATACCATTAACGGTCTCTTCACATTAAGTTTGACATAGATAATTACATCTATGATAAACACAACAGTTTTTTGTCATGATTTTCAGAGTTACTTGATACACTATTGAGCAAAGCGTACTCTGAAATGTACCAAAAAACTTTCTAATTATCGGTAATCTGTACGTTTCATTATATCTGTCAAGTTTTAACACAAATTTAATCAGCAAACGATGTAAATTCTCCATCGGATCTGTATCAAAACAGTCTAGTATAAATATAGATCAGCTTTAAATAACGAAGACCATGATAGTATATACATTTCTGCATGACCTTTAAAATAATAATAAAACTTTGTTTTCCTATAGCTCTATAGGAAACAATTCGCGTAACACTCGTACAAACTGATATACTTTCAAATATTTATCTTGGCATTCTACGAACATTTATTATTTTAAGAATGTACAATCTATATGAATGGGGGAAAAGAAAATCTTGATAGATATAATTGAGTCAACGTCGTTTTTCAGAATATGTTCGATCTTCAAATGCTTCATTGAGTTCACCATATTTAGACGCAACATATTTTGGATTGATAGCTTCTTTTCCAATTTCAATATTTGGTTGTTTCATACCAAGTAAAAATGCAAGAATTGCAAGTATTAATATATTAAAAAATGCAATTATAGCTAATATATATGCCCATCGAACTTGACATGTATCTATATAAAAATCATTAACATTAGATCCACATACAGATCGAATTATTTCATTATCAAAACCGGATGGATATATAATAAGAGCAATAAGTAAACAAATTGCACAAATAATTTGTATTAATGCACAAATAAAATAAACCAATCGAGCATTGATAAATAAGAAAAGTATAAATAATCCAAGACATATGAGAATAAGTAATGCTGAAAATCCAACAAAAAATGTAGCAACAGCAAATGGTGCATTAAGAATTGTTCCAAAATTAGTCCATGTTCCTTGACAATCAAAATCATAATCACTTATTGTACTTACACAATAAGAATATAAACCAAAATGACCTGCCCGAGGACTTGCTAAAGTATCACCAATCCATTGTGGTTGTACAAATACAAATATATTAATAATAGCGAAACAACCTGTCAGAAATGCCCAAACAAAACCAACAATTCTCCATATCCATTTAAATGATGGACTTGAATTTTGTTGAATTATCATTATTACCTACGATACAAGTAGATTATAAATGATTTTTTTTTACTTTTGTACTTACTATGCAATTTGCCTTTCTTAATCCTTACTATTTCGATTTCCTCATTCGATTCATTGTCCTTCGTATCTCACTTTGCACGTGTTTAAAAGATCTATGCATTTAAAATTTGTTGTATAATGAATGAACGAGTTTATCGAGAAAAGAAAGAACGAATGACAAAAATGTTATTCTTCTTTTCTTACATTGTTTGGTTTATAATGACATTTTAAATATTCACTAGTCGAAAAGTTCAGGGATTTTCTATTCATAATTGAATTTAACAAAATAAGATGTAAAAAAAATAATGAAGAATATACATGCATACTATTAGCAATGACAAAACAAATTTATTCGTAGCTTATCATAAGGTGTTTATAAAAGAAAATATATATATAATAACGAATAAGATACAAGTAACGCTCCTTCTCGTTGAAATGCATCCTCTTCACATTTACTGAAAAATTAATTTTCGATGTTTTTTTGACCCTGCGGATACACAAGCAGACAATTTATGTTTACTGGACTTTTCTCTATGAGAAAGAGAATAATATATCGATATTTGTTCTATCAATTTTGGAGCAATAAGTCTTCAATCAAATTATTCGATTCAACAAATACTATCTCATTACTAATCAAAATAGTGTAACTTCATTACCTATTATTATTCATTTATTCGCTCATGGTAAGAAAACTATGATTTCTGTATAGATATACATGTAGTTATGAAGTAAATGAAACATTATCAATATCAACTAGGTGAAGTTAATATTCTGATTTATCATAAGCAATTAAAAGAATGGTAAGAAAATCTTCAGTACATCAAACATCATTAATTCTTTCAAAAAAAGAATTATTTTATTTCATTTTTCACTTATAAAATAAAGTGACCACTTCAGAATAGTTTCTAATGATGCATGTGAATTAAACATTATTGATTCGGTACATTCTATCAGTATACAGGTCGTGTAAGATGATTGAACTTTACAATGTCCGTTGGTGATTTTGGAATAAGTCCACTTTATGTTAAGACATATTACGTAAACAATAACTAAACTTTAAAAAGACCTTTTGAAATTGAACTTCATCACAGCATGCTACATTATAAAAATCATCTTGATATAATCGTGTAATATTTCACTGAATACTTTGCTTATATGAGCCGATACATTTCTATAAGTATTTGATTTGGCACGTAAAGTATCGTATTCTTGTGAAACTTATTATAATCGATTATGTCTTGAATGACCTCTAATCATAGATTCGATTTGCATTGTTAATCTTACACCTATACAAAATGTAAATGATGTTTTGTTAAGCAGAATACAAGAAAATGTATAAAACTAATGAGAATATAGAATAAGTCATTAAAAATATTCTCAATAACGATTATGTTATCATTTCACTGATATTGTCTGTATTATCATTTTGATAAAGTTTAAAATAACTATTTAACGATTAAAACTGAATGAAATAATATTTGAATACATAGAAGTTTTTCTTTATGAGACTAAAAAAAACAATTCATAAAAATGTTATTCTATTCAAAAATACATTATACAAATCGAAGTGAGTTCTTCGACAACATAGATCAATATTTTCATTTGATACAAATAAACTTTTGTCAAGAATTTGTTTTTGTATATTTATCAAAAAAAAAGAATGTTTAGAGTTATTGGATGATGAATTGTATTTAGATATGTAATTATTTTGGTATTAAACAAATGTCTATGACAATTTCTATATTTCTTTATTCTCAACTATAAACTATGTGAGATGTGGTGGTGCTCGGCAACCGACGACACATACACATATATTCACATAGAGATGTTGATCAATTTTTTGTAACAATCAGTTTAAAATTTATTTTTTCTTTCTTTTCTTTTCTTTTTACTCGTGCCTTATTTCTCAGTTTGAAGAATAGAAATAAATCTTGTCGGCAAACACCTCAATAATAAGTGTTGAGATCTGATTTCATCAACAAAGTACACACACGCTTGTGCAGTCACAAAAATATTTATAGAGACACAAAAAGGCAAAAAGAATTATCATAGAACAAAATGGCGGATTTGCATGCTTTAAGAACGATACTACATTCGAAAAGTATCGATGCCAAGACTATCAAACCATATACCGGCTTTCACTACAACTCGAAAGGTAATAAAAAACATTTATTTTTTTTTTTGAGTCAGAAAGTGAGCAAATATATAAATTAATTGTTATTATTTATTTCTATTTAGGTGATTTCATTTTATCAACACCATCACTTGAATCATATCGTGTTAATAATGATCCAATGTATCGATATGAAGGTGGTATGCATAAAACTCTTCCTAGCGAATTGGATAATCGTATTTTATCATATAATGCACTTGAACTTCGCCGTTATCAGTCTCTCCGAATGAAACAACCGGATTCACGTTATGTAACTCGTATTTTTGAAGAACGATGTAAGTTTATAATTTAATATAATGTTTTACATGTATACGTATTTTCTTTCTAGTTGGTCAAGCTTCTACACCACGTTCTGAACCGAAACGAACAATTCGAGTTAATAAAGCACCTGGCTATCGATTACTTTTAGATCGAATTGCAAATCAAGATCAAACTATGGTTTCACAACGTTTTAATAAATTAAGTCCATTCGTTACAGAATTCGGAAATAATCCTAATGCCGATCCTGTTCTTCGATCACTTGCTGCAACTTAAACTCCTCCCTTTTCTTTTTCATTAAATTATTTAAATACGTATTGAATTGAATAAATAAACTTGACAAGCAAACAATATTTTACTCTTTTATAGAAAATATGTTTCTTTAACAAAACAACATCAGTTATTTGTAATATGAAAAAAATATGTATTTTAATAGAATAATTTCAGATTTTAAATTTTTCGATGAATAATCGCAATATAAAATATTACATTTGAATAGCAGATTTTAACTTCGAAGAAGAAAAACAAATATTATGCTACATTCTGTATGTTTTTGTTCATATTTTCGTTTTATGTATTTCTGTACTTGATTATCTGACTTTAATAATTCAAAAAATATATATCTTGCTGCTTTTAGTGTGATTACCTAAAGAAAAAGATTCCATTAAATAGAACAACACAAAGACAAAATAGTTGTTTTTTATTGCTATCTCTATAACAACTAAAATACCTTGAAAACATAAAAAGAAAGAGAAAAAAAACGACAAAGAATCTCTCTACTGATTGTAAATATATGAAACACTTGACAATCAGTGTTTATCACCAATAAAAGGAAGAAATAAAATAACTAGTTGTTATTTAATTCTTTTTTTCATAAGTTCTACTGAAATATTTCAATTTTTCGTCTGGATTTGGAATAATTGTATCAGCACCGGGATGCCAACCAGCAGGACATACTAAAATAAAAAAGAATCTTATTAATAAATCTAATTATTTTTCTTTCTTTTTACCTTCGCCATGTTTATCAGTATATTGAAATGCTTGAAGAAGTCGAAGTGTTTCATCTGTTGATCGTCCGACAGGTAAATCGTTCATTGTGATTTGACGAAGAACACCTTGACCATCAATAATAAATAATCCTCTAAAAGTATATATATATATACAAATAGATTTAAAACAAACTTTTATTTTATACCTTAATGCATGACCAACATCTTGTAAATATACACCATAATCTTTTGAAATTTGATGTGTTAAATCAGATAAGAGTGGAATTTGAATTTTACCAAGACCACCTTGTTCACGAGGTGTATTGATCCATGCTAAATGATAACATATTTCTAATTAGAAAACAAAAAAATTTATTTCATACCTAAATGAGTAAATTGTGAATCAACAGAGATTGCAACAACTAAACATTTATTTCAAAAAAAATTATTTTATTTCAAAAAAGAATGAATAATTATACCTTCGGTATTAATATTTTTAAATTCTTGGATACGATCAGAAAAAGCAATAATTTCGGTGGGACATACAAATGTACTAGAATAAATTTTGAATATTACTAGTTCAAATTTTTATTTACTTATTAGACTTACAAATCTAATGGATAGAAGACAAGTACAAGATATTTGCCTTTGAAGTCACTTAAACTAATCTCTTTAACTTCACCGTTGATTACAGCGAGACCTTCGAATGAGGGTGCTGGTTTACTAACTAAATAGATATAACAACATATTTATATATTAGTCAAATAAAATAAATAATAACAAACTTTGAGCTTTGTTATATTGTAAACTAAGTGGTTCTCGACTTCGACGACTTTCACAAGGATAAGCTGCAACACCATCCAACGGTTCAACACATGTCTGTTCTTGTTTTTTACATAAAACTAATGGACTACTGATACATAGTAAAAATACGAAAGTAATAAATGACATGATTGAATCACTTCAATCGAACTGTTTTCAATCTGGATCTAAAATAAACAATTTTTTGTAATAAAAACACGTTTGTTTATATTATTCATTTATTGATATAAAAACATTAATGTAAATATGTAACACATCAAAGAACCTGGAATAAATATATGACACGTCTTTGTCCTCCCTTTTCTCTTATTTTGATCGAATAAACTGTAGCTAACGTGTAATACCTACGAAACCAATGAATAAATAGCGCTACTGTTATCTATCTGAAATATTTCGTTCTCGGTTACATCAAATATATATATATACACTATTACTAAATTGATAGTTCAAATAAATTTGTATTTGAACAACAGACATACAAAGAAATTTTAATATAAAAGATGCAATAATTACCATAGATAGACGCTATTGATCGTCAGCTTACAAACAAATCATTCTTTGTCAATATATTTAAAATTGGAATACATTGTCAGATGTTCTATTAAATCGCTGTCTTACATATTCATTTGTTTTTTTTATGAATGAAAAACTCTAGTTTTTATCACAGTATATATTAACGATAATCATCGACAATGTTTATATTTAATTAAAACAATAAAATGAAACTAATCTTGATTATCAATATATTGAAAAACTAGACAATAAAAAAAATCTACATATTAAATTTGATATTCTATTAAGATGTAATTCATTTTTAAATTAATTACAACTATAAACATATGTTATAAAGACTTAAGAGAAAGTAGAAAGATTTACCTTTAGATCTAAGGATTATTATGTGTTACATCAACAATAGAAAACATATAAAGTATAAGTAAATTAGTTTTAAATGGTATTATCAAAAATTTAATGAAGAAATATATTTAAATTTCGAAAGATGAAACAATTGTCTCATCAATTTGTATTTATTTAACTGTTTTATATAAATAATCAAACATAGACAAATATATTTTACATGAATACACTTTGTATGCAAACAAGAGTAAGAGGAAGATATGTTATCATCAAGTCTACTGAAAATGTCAATGCTTTTTTCGTTAAGTCTATTAGATTGAATGAACAAGCAAGTGTTGTACTAAGTATATATATATGTATATGTATATAGTTCTGTCCTTTGCTTCTCTTTTTAATTATAATTCAAATATGTATTGAACTACACAGTACGAGATCGATTAACAAGACATTAATTCATTTTGAGACGGCGGAGAGGTGGAGAAAGAGAATGGAATATATTCGTTAGTGTCTCATTTTTAATAGACAAATGGTCAATGATCGTAATAGTAACAGAGATCAATCAATAGATTGAATTTATACAATAAACAGGTCAATTGATATTCATCCGAACAAAAGACTATTGAAATTAGTATTGGTTCAATACACATGAATAAATCAATCAATCTAACAGATAACCTTCAAAACTAGGTGTAGACGAAAGTTTCTTCCTTCTTTTTTTTTCTTTTCATTAACTGACACCTACTTTTTAATTCAAAGAAGAAGAAAAAGAAAGAGAGAACTAGATAGAATTATACTACCATCAATCGTTACGTTATAACAGCTTAATTCTCTATTCAACATGTACTAAATTTTATGACAACATAGTATGCCCATAATTTAAGAACACTTATATGCACGAATAGAGAGAAAAAAAGGCGTTCTGATACACATGTATGACACAAAAATTAAAACTATCGAGAAATTTTATTCTTCATCGTCATCTTAATTTTTTTTCGCTCTTGTGCTATACCAGTATTAATCATTGGACAAATGATTCGTTCTGTCGATGTTAATGTTCTTTTCTTGGTCAGAGTAACTGAACTGCGCTTGACTGGCTCGTTCATCACTGTAAAATCTGAACCTTATTTTGAAGTATATATATATATATATATATATATGTATACGTGTGTTGAAGGAGAACGAAGAAGAAGCCGCACTCCTTCACAGTCTCATACTTCTTTTTTCTTTTCTCTCTCTCTCTCTTCTCCTCTCACTCAACTCTTTTATTCATCTATTGATGTGCTTCGCTTTTATTAATATTCGCAGGTCGGTATACTCTTGTTAGATATGTGTTAAAACTTACCATTGGTTCTAGGCAAAAGGATATGTGTGTCAGCGCGACGCAATAGTGTAAGAGAAAGTTAGTACACTCTAGTATGGCATACAAGTTTATCTTATTTCATTTGATTTCTTATCATTTGCAATGTACCGTTTGGTAATACAATCAGTTCATGTGAGTATTGCAAATGAATAAATAGAAATTGAACACGAGATATTTTTATTATTATAATGATAAATATAAAAAGGCAGGAAATATGTTGATTTTCTCTTTGTCTCTCTCTCTCTCTCTAGGAATCTCTCTTGAGCTTTACTTCCTATGTATTCACTTGTGCTCAGGTGAGCAAAAAAATCGATGATTTAATGCCATTCAGAACAAAAAAAAGAAAGAATATGTACTAAAAGCAGTAGCAGCAGCATTATTTTCTATCATTTAAATTCTTCGATGGTTTCTTCATTTGTTTTATCTTCAATGAAGACAGAAGAATAATAGTTCATAGTAAGTAACCAAACAAGAATATCTACAGATGCACTTATTACAGTCAAAAATAACAATATGAAAAAGAAATAGAAAAAGCGAAGAGTACACGAAGTGATTGTAATCGTGGATTAGACACGAGCAAAGGTAAATAGAATAAAGAGAGCAATATATCAGAAAGAAAAACAATTAAAACAATATGAGATTTTTTTTTGTTCGTGTTCTTTCAAGAACAAATCGAAAACAGATCTTAATCTGTTATTCTTTTTTTTTCCTCGAATAATAATGATAGAGAATCTCTTTAGGTTATGTCTATTCTTTCGAATAGAGATGAAAATGTTTTCAAGTGATTTATTCATACTTTTCTTCTTTTTAAGCTATTGAAATTTGATGAGAATCATCGAAGACATATATAAAACACGAATACACGCGTTCAATTAAGATTATTGTGTATCGATATAATCATACAGTAAATTTACATCATTGATGATCTATCGTTTTACAAGAACCTCAGTCTTTTTTTTAGTAGATCATTAATTGTAAATAAAATTTTTATTGTAGGGATTACCTTTTGTTCATCTCGTCGATAGACGATGAACCAATTGGAAACAAATTTAGCTTTATGGGCAATATGTTCCATATTATTATTTGAAATTTTAATTATCATCTGTCTATGTCGTTGTTGTTTTAATCGTATTAGACCAAAAAAATTTTATGTGAAAGTAAAAAAAAAACTATTTTTTTTTATAGAAATAATTAGTTATTTATTTATTTTTTCAGCGAGAAGAATATGAATATTTACAAGATATTCATATTGGTACACAATCAAAATTTCAATCAACTATTTTACGTCCACCACATGCTGATGAATTAGCACTTATTGGTACGATTCGAGGACAAAAATCTCTTATATCATATAACGATGGTTTTCAAAATATTGGATTTTCTCGTGATAATGAAAATGAACGAATTCTTCGATTACAACCTTCATCATCTCAAAATTGGATTGAATTACAACCAAATATGTTAAAAACTGCACAATTACCACCGGCTGATTATGAAATTCATTCCTATCCAACAGATGATTATTATTATTCCCAACCACATCCATCTTCTCGTCCGAATATTCTCGATGTTCGTCAAATTCAACAAGATTATATAGATGATACGAATGAATTAGAAAGTTTTCAGTACCAACCTCTTCGTCGCCCCGATATAATTCTTCCACAAGCTCAACGATTAGATACGTCAACGGAATTTTATGGTATACATTTTGCAAATACTGTACCAAAATCTATTCTTAAAACAGGTACAAATACAACTCCACCTATTGATTTATCTTCAAATCCATATTCACAAACACGTGATAGTCGTACATCATCGAAATATGATGAATCACCCTATATTTCAGTTAAAATTAATACAGATCAATCAATTCCGATTGATTATCCAATGAGTGCAATTGAAAAAAGAATTTCGAATGAATTAATACCATCACCAAATCTATCATTATCATCGAAACATCGAATGAAATTTGCTAGTGTTAGTAAATTAAATGATATTGAATGGGAAGTTCCAAGAGAATTTCAAAATATTATTCAAGATAATCAGACATTTTATTCCGATCGTCAACGAACTTCGTCGGCTATTGTTGATTCCAAATCACATATTTCATGGCAACGTGAAATGAATATTACACAACCATTTCCTTTATTACCAGATGATCTAACACAACAACAACAAGCATTTGAATATTAGTATTATTCTCTCAGGATTTTCCGTTCTTTTTTCTTTTCTTATTTCTTTATTATAACAGTCTATATCTCAGATCAAAATGCAAAAAGAAAAAAAGGAAAGAAAGCGTCAATATTTGTGTATTTGTCTTAAATGTGTGATACAAATTTGATGAATTATAACATTGTATATCAAATATAAAAAACCTACGTATATTTGAGATTGAATGATTATTGATTGTATTAGATTTCTATATTTTTTTAAAACCATCTTTTCTTTCTACATATTTGTTGTTTTTTTGTCTTTTACTGTTTATAAGCTTTTTCATATTTGATTAACAAACAACGATAAATAACAGTATATATGAGCATTTACATATTGAACTAATAGAAAGAAAAAAAGAGAATGAAAGTTATAATTATCTTTTTAATGTAATTCTCTATTAATAATCTGCGTACTACAAACAGAATATAAGAATTTTCTTATATAGATATATTATCGATGATTTTAATTGAAGATCATGTCATATATTGAAGGATGTGATTTTATTTTATAAATCGAAAAACTGTTTCGAAAGTTGATTTTGTTGATCGAAATAAGAATATTTAAAGTGACTTGAGTCTACTCTATAGTTTTAGCACTATACGAACTGAATATCGTTTCACATTCTATTTATTATTACAAGTAGTCTTCTTCATTTTATATTAAATTCTAGTCAACAATAGTCTTTGGTACAGCATCAATGTTATATTTACTTAAGAAATTAAACAGTTTTAACTGAACATGAGGGTATTATATCAGTGTTTTATCAAGGTTTTCCCTTTCGAGAGTGCGACAGCGATTTCCGGGCGAGCGAAACCCTATTTTCTGAAGGGAGAATACAACGTATAGGCACGAAAATTGGAATTTTTCGAAGGGCAAAATGGGTCTCCGGGAGGATGCCGTCATCCTTGCTCTCCCTCTAGATAAATCACTGTATTATATCTTACCGGGCTATTAAATAATCTATGGTAGTCATACGCTTATGTTTTCAATAAATAATATAATCAATCTGATTTCCTATATGCATATATTTCGATTCAATTTATATAAAATACGAAATAGTTTGATACAAAGTTAGAATTTATCGATGTATTAGCATTAGAAATAAATGTTAACTCTACATTTAGTTTTGATTTACATTGAACTTCAATTATAGTTGTTGAAACCACAATATTTCTAGACATATCGATATTCATTTGATAGTTAAGATCTATTGATGTGGATTGCAACCCTTTCGAAAATATATTTTGTATAATCAATGGTACTGGTTAGTCAACAAATCGATTGATCATCACAAGCATATTGCTCATAAACAGTTTTACTAAACTTCTAAATATGCTGATATTCTATTTGCGTCAATCCTTTTTTCAAATATACTGCTATTAAAAACAAGTCGAAATTATTCATTCGATATATAACTATACGAAATATTCGTAAACGTCACAATTTATTTGATAAAAATCAATATTAATCTTTTGACTAGTTATCTTTAATTTATATATTTTTCCTTCAAAATCAAGGGCAATAGAGCTACTATATTAAGACTTAAGTTAATAGAATCTCTATCATATGCCTTTTTTTTATTAAATAAAATTAAGTAATATATTATCGGGTGACAGTTGTAAGAAATGATTTCTTAGTATTTTAATGAATAGAAAATAAAAGAAAATCGAGTATATTAACATACTCTTCGTGTTACTACTCGAAATTATTTTTCTAATTTCAACAAGATAGAATTGCATTGATAAAAAGAGATTTTCTTTATATATTTATATGAAATAAGCTTGATTTTTAAAGAATTATTGTGTGACATGCATTTTCTTGAAAAAAAAACGAGTGTTAAGTGTTTGGGTAGTCTATACGAGCACGCACAATCTTCTACTACATCCTTTTAGTATATGATGGTGGCCAAACTGCTTCGCTAGCGCGTCGACGCACAGCTCTCTGGTTGGTTCGATGTTTTCGCTTGTTCTCCTCTTCTCTTTTGCTTGTTTCATTCTCTTATTTCTCTTTCTACCGCTGTTCTCGTCCTTGCTTATTCCGTACGCTCACTGCTTTTGGTAGCGCTTGGATAGCAACAACATTAACGCATAGACAACAAAGAATAGCCGGCGTTACATATAGCGTACGACCGAGATAATACTTATTCATTTATCTATTGATTTTGATTAAAAGAAAAATGAACAAAAATTTAAATAAAAAAAAAAATTCTTCATTATACTACATATACTTTTTTTAAATATATATATATATATACATTGTGAGCAAAAAAAGAGGAAGAAGCATATAAAAGGTGCATTATCTAACTCGCATTTCTACATGTGTTCGCCCTTCTCCTTTTTTGTTCGTCCTTTTTTTTCTTCTTCTACAAGTCGGAACACAGCAAGAGAGAGAGAGTGTGTGTGTGTGTCAGAGAACAAGATATCCTGATCGTAATTGACATGGAGACATCTCCTAGTATGTAAGTAAAACAAAAATGTAAAATACAGTTGCAAAAATTTTTCGTTGTGAATAAATAATTTTATATTATGAAAGAGAGAAGGTCAATGGATTTAAAACAACAGAACTAAACTATTATTTATTTTGTTATTCTTTGAATACTTAAAAGAGATGAACATAATACAAGCATCAAATACATATTAACTGCATAGTACATTTTCACATTGAGATAAGAGAAAACTACCAATGTTCGTCGTACACAATACATGAATTGCCTTCTTGTTCTCTTACATCCTTTAGACGACTCTCGGTTTTTTTTTACCATATCCAGTCCATGTAAAAGCACGTCACATATCGTATAACTCGTCATTGCTCTCAATTTTTTTTTTATTTAAGAAAGAGAGAATGACATTCGTATGTCTTTATTCAACTTAGAACATGTAATTTGTTGGTCGTTATTAAGCTCTTGATTTTGAATTGTTTTCACAATATAATGAAAATATAGCAGCTTTTGTCAGAAAAGAACGGATGTATATAAAGATTGACACAATACATGGGCGAATTTTAACAAAGAACATAATATAAAATAGATAACTTTTCAAAGACAATTATTAGTGCCGGAGAATGAGAATTTCTTTCAAGTTGATCATCAAATTTAAAGTAAAGCTAAAAGAACTTCAAAGAAATTGTTAAGAATTTAAATATATATTCTATAAGTCTGGCAACATCTACAAGATATTATAATGTCAACAAGATGCATACTATCATCGTTATCATATATATTTTTTGGTTGTTGTCGAAATAGAAAAGAGCGAATGTGTGCATTGACATAACAAGTATAGAGAACATCATTTGAAGGTATATAGGTAAAAATCAAAACAGCATGTTCTCTTTCTCCCTTGTCAACAGATGAAATATTTCAAAAAAAGTAAAAAAGAAAGTTTTTCCATATTGTTAAAATCTATTTAGCATATCTATGGGTAAGATAGAAACGAATAAAGGGAAGAATGTACACGTGCAGCATGTTGTGCTTTCTTATGATTTCTATTTATTAACAACCGAAAAAACCTTTTGCTTTTTCGTCGCGTCTCTCTTGTTCTCTCCCTTTCTTTTGCTCGCTCGTTTGCCTCAATGTATGTGTGTGTGTCTGTGTGTGTGTCCTCTCTTTTATTTTCTCTTGCAAGAAACGAGAGACACAGAGAGCAAGCATTGCTTACTTGCTCGCTCGCGCGTCTTTGCTGCTTCTCTCTCTCTCCCTCTCTCTCCTTCCCTCCACCCACTACTAGACTACTACTACTACTACTACTACTACCATCATATATCGCGTCTTCTTCTCATCATCATCATCATCATCATCCACGTTTTTATCTTTATATATATATATATATAAAGTTTTTTTTGAGAAAAATATTTCCCTAGAAAATGATATTGAACATTCTATTGTATTGTTTACTATAAAATAACTTTTATTCAATTGATAGAAACAAAATAATAGTAATAGATTTGTCTGGACAGTATGCTTATCTTCCTTTCTTTCACTCTCTTGAGCGCAGGCACATATTTTATTCGCCCCTTCTCCATCTATTTGTACGGATAGAAAAATATATAGTCAAAGATTTAGTATGGATGGCGCTAGTTTAGCTTTATGTTCTTTCTTTTGTTTATTTTGAAAAAGAGAGATCGCACTTTCTTTGTTGTTGTTGTTGTTTTTCTCTTCTCTTCCCTTCTCTTCCCTTCTCTTCCCTCTCTCTCTCTCTGTCTTTCTCTCCTTTCTATGTATTGATATCAGTATGTTTTTTTTTCATTCTTTTTTTTTTTCATTTTAATGATAAATAAGATATATGTATATTCGAAAAAAAAGATACAAGAAGACTTTTTCTCTCTTTTTGACCTCGATTGAACATTCGTCGTCGCATAATTATTCTCTTTCGCTCGTTCTCTTCTTCTCAAGTAAGTAAGTAAGCGCGAGCGCGAGCGCGCGAAGCGTTCTATCCTAAAAAAGAGAATGTGTTCTCCCGCTCCTTCTTTTTCTAGGCATACACACAACGCAATGTGATCATCTATCATTGCATTACATACAGAGGGAGAGAGAGAGAGAGAAAAGAACCGTAATGATTGTGTCTCTCCTCTAGCAAGACGCCGGCGACACAAGAAAAAAAAACAACAACAGGCGCGCGCATGTGTGTGTGTGTCTCTCTCTCTCCCTTGCTTTTTACACATAATGTAGTCGAAAAACTTTTTTTTTAGATGATCATCTCACCGATGACAGCAATAAATCGAACATCCCTTTCTCCGTCATTTATTCGTAAAAGAAATTTACCAACTCCTCCTCCTTCTCTATCCGATGTCAACGATTCTTCATCATGTTCGTCAACTTCTTCTTCGTCCTATTCGATTATAACTCCGCCGAATGATAATAATAATTCAACAGTACCGTCATGTGATTTACTAAATATTTTAGCCGATGCTCGTTTTCGTCCAGTATTTCAAGCTATTGATGAAATAAAACGACGTAAATGTCGACCAGATCTTGAACGTATACTTAAATATGTTGCTAAACGATATACAGCAACAAATCTTTCGGATCAACGTAATGAAATACTTTCGATGTTAGATGATTTACTTAAATATGGACTTATAACAAAAGTATTTCATAAAGGTGGTTTTACAATACGAATTAAAAATGAAAAATATGCAAAATTAATTGAAAATATGACTGTATGTTATAATCAAAAAACACCGACAGCTACACCTATGAGTCCACATGAAGCAATGTCAGCAGCTGCTACAGCTCTTGCTGAACAATCGATTCTTAATTCAAATGAAATGAATAATCATCATAAACGTGAAACACCATCACCTGAATTTGCTGTATTTATAACTGGTAAATTCATTTTTTGTGTTTATATAATATTATTGATTATTATGAATATTTTCTCTTCTTGTAGAATCTTTACCACAAATGACAAAAGAGAATAATCTCAGTTCGAATAAAAAACGACGAAATCGAAGTCAAACATTTTCAAATAAAACTAAAAAATCACGTATAATAAAAACATCCGATCCTATTGAACATGTTTTTCGTAAACCATTAATAACACATAATAATTTACCGCCTGTAACTATTGAACAATTACTTGGATTACGTGGTGATATACCTAATGTTCATGATTGGACAACAAATGATTTAAATGAATTTTTTCATCAACAAGGATATGACTATGCATCAATTATATTAAATAAATATCATATAAATGGTGATCAATTATATGAACTTAAACGTGAAGAAGTTTTTAATAAATCAACACTTAAAATTGGTAAAGCACTTAAATTATGGAATGTGATTGAACAAATACAACGAAATAATCTTTCGTCATCTTCTTAATGTTCGAAATAAATTTTCTTCTGTTTTGTTTTCTTTTTCATATGTGTGTGTGCGCGTGTCTATATGTATGTTGCTTAAAGTAAAATACAGATTGGAGTTTTTTTTTTAAATAACAAGTATGAAAATTTAAAAGAAAAAAGAAACCGATTTCGATATAATCATTGTATTATTTATTCACATCATTTGACATTTTAGAAAGAAAAAGAATAGCTCAATTAACATTTTCTTCAATAGTTAAAGATTATTAACGTTTGTTAGATAATCCTAAATTTTATGAACTTTAAGTTTTTCTACATACCATTCTGTTTCGTTTATTTTTCATAAAAAAATATACTGATTGACTGTTTAGTCTAACACATAGAAGCACTTATTACGGTTGATGTTCAACTTGACTGTTAGATACATTTTCTTTTGTATTGTTTACAAGATAAATTTTTTTTCTCTATTCATGTGAATGTTATGTCAAAATATATGATCTTTATTATTGTTGTTTAAATTGAAATGAATCGAAGTAATAATCATCATCTGTCTTATTTCTAACGATTTCTTGTAAAACAAATATAATTGCTTCTTCATATTCTTATTGTACATTGTTTATCCATCGAAGCATATGATAGGTATAAACTTTTTTATGCTCATCAACTGCTTGATCAAGCATGATTTCGCACATTTACTCGGCTTTATTGTACTGATTTTGTTTAATTAATAGGTGATTCAAACATAATAGTATCATCATTCTTTATTTAAGAAGATTTCTTTTTTTTCATATTTTATATAATAAACTATTCTATTCAATAAAACTAATGATCTGTATCATATCTTGATAAATATATATACAATAAAAAGAGAAACATTATTTTAATGCATTTTGCTTAGTAATCTCATATTTAATGCATAGTATTTAACTTACATAAAAGAACAGAACATCGATGAAAATATTATAATTAACAAGGCTATGATTTACTTGTGGTTTTGGAAATAGAGATGTTTTGCATTAGGCAAGAACTTTATTAAACATGTTTAATTTCTTTCGAATTGTCTCAAAGCACATTTATGAAATATAAAAATTTTGTTAGAATTGAAAATTTATCATTTATTTTAATCGATATAAACATTTTTATGTTTAATAGTTTCTTGAATGAACAATATATATATTTACAACATGTGTTTTAAAAAAACAAATAACAACGGCACGTTTTTAAGCCAATTGATTAATTTCTTTCATAAATGTATCATATGCATCATCAGTTGATGGTCCAGGCATTATTAAATGTTGATTTGTCGTACTGGAAGTATTTCCTATTCGTCCTCTCATCGATAGTGGATCATCAAAACGAGATATTGAGTGCATTCCACCGATTTTATCTGTACTTTTTATATTACTATTATTTCCTGTACCACCTCGTCTAACTTTGAGAACAGTTGGAATGAATTTTGTTACATCTTGTCGTGCTCTAGAAAATAAACTATATTTATAGAAAAATTTTATTTCAATAAACATACCTAATTTGAGGTTTAGCTTCAAATGTCATACTAGGTTTGGATGATACTGGAGCTACAGTAGTAGATGGTATAGATGTTTGTGATGGTGGTTTAGTAATAAGACTTGGTGGTGCACTGAATACATTGGGTGGTTGATGACGGACTAGTTTTGAATTATATGATGATGATGATGATAGATTGGGAGGATATGATGCTCGAATATTTGGAGGCATTCGAACATCTAAATAAAAACATATATAATAAACTATGAATAGAAGAATTCGAGTTTATTTACTTGGATTTGCAGCAAAAAATGCAGGTGGAGGTGGTGGAGGTGGTAGTCTCATTCCTAAAAATGAGAATAAACTTAGTTAAGTTTAAAATAAAACTTGAGTAAACAAACCACGAGGTGGTGGTGGAAATGGTGGTGGCATAACGAGAGGTCGTTCCTATAATACAAAGAGAATTGTATAATTTTTAATCATTACCTGTATTAGTCAATAGAAATAAAATAGAAATTAAACATGAACTAACTGTATTATATTGGTGTGGTTGAGAAGTAATAACTGGAGCACCAAATTCAGGTTCTTCATTAGGAATGTTATCACTCCATCGACTAACATTTGCAGTTAGTGGAACGGATGATGATGGATCAGCAAAACGAATACGTCGGCGTTCTTTAAGATAAATAAAATAAGTTTAACAGAAAAAAAGTTATTTTTTGCAAAGGAAATTACCATTTATTTGAGGTGGTTTGGATACGGATGATGTATCTTAAGATAAAAATAATTTATATGAAAATTTAAACTCTAAATAATTACCTTCTTCATCATCACTAATATCTTCATTGTCACTCAAAATTGGTGGTCGACCAGATGGAGCACCTGGTGGTTTTCTTGTGATTAAAATACGTTGCGATGTTTCAGTTGAACTTTAAAAAACAAAATTAGAATACTATTAAATATTTTTTGTAATTTTAATTACTCTTTTTGTTTCAAAATACTCCGTGACATTTCAGGATAATCTGTGGATAATCCACTGACATCTGATGATGCTGGAGGTCCACTAGGTAATTCTGGCATTGGAATTTCATCTATTGTAACACGTTGAGTTTCTTTTACTGATTCTATTAAATATTAAAACAACATGAAAATAAACGAAAATATTTCAATACAATTTTCTCACCGAACCAAGTTATAAGTTGTGCACGTGCTCGTTCATATTCAGCTAATAATGTATCCATTTGGGTTGCTGATTCTGGTTCATCTTTCGACTATAATGAAAGAAAAAAATATATTGAATGTTTATCTTTGAATTATTTAACTCAGTCAATTCTTGTATAAGAGTCCTTTTTCATTTGCTAGAAACTGAAGATCGGTAATTAGTATCGTTTTTAAAAGATTCTTCTTTCACCTGCGCTTATTAAATTCTGATATTGATAATGATTAATAATAAAAATCCAGTCATAACTTAATTATCAGAAAATGACCATCAAGAATACGAGAGATATATGTATAGTGTGGTAATCACTCAAGAGGTCACTTTAGAACTATTCATAGGCATTACCTAGTAGATCTAGGCATTTAATGAGACCATCGGATAGCAGAAACTTCATGTTAAGTAAAATCTCGAACTCTTATTCGAATGGCATGCCAGGAAAACACTCCCAGACCCACATGAATTGAAAAAATTCTTAACAAACTAGGAGAAGAAACTCTTTATTGAAATGTGCTCGGACTGAGACAATCAGATTTTATTGTCGAAAAATGCTTGAATAATACGTCAATCCTACATCGAAGATTCCGAGTATTTTCTATCATATGATCTTTGACCTGATAAGGACAAGATCAAATTGGCATATAACCTCTTCGTTATTTTATCGCTTCCATGAAAGCGAGAGCGAAGTTTTTATTGTATGCTATAATTGTAGACTACAGTACATGCGTCATCCATTAATAAGAAAAGCACTCTCATTCCTCCGCTTCCAGTAGAGGAAGTTTTAAAAACTCTATCAACAATTTTTATTGTACTTTACTATGAATGAGCGAGAAAAAAGAAGTTCGTATTATCTGATAGTTACTTCTTTTTAATTATTTATGTCAATGACTCAAAAAATTCTGATTCTAATCAGATAATGTTGATATTTATTTATTTTTTCTAAGAGGAACTATTTGACAGACTACTTCTGATTGATTTATTAACTTACATACAATCGATGAACTCGATCCCATGTTTCTTTAATTTTTTTTCGTTTTTCCTGTAAAACTTTGATATTATACGGTGCTGGGTTAACTGGATCATATTCCATTCGATCAAGATGTTCCATTTCATTAATAAGACCTCGTGGATTTTTTCCTTTAAGAACACTTTGTCGAACTAATAAGCGTGTCTTTTTATTTTTTCTTAATTCTTTTTTTCGAGCTTCTTTTCCTATAAAATAAAATGAAAAAAAAATTAATTTGTCATATTCAAAAGGAAACATACGAGCTTGATCAGTTGGATTCATAAATTTTCCATTTTTAGTCGTGCTAATATTTCGTCCACCCATTTTTTTGTTCTTCTATGAATTGATCGATGTTTTTTGAAGCAATAATGATTAACCGAACTATTTCGTTTAGTTTTCTATTGTTGGAATTTCTATCCAATGAATAATATTTGCGAGAGTATTTTTCATTGGATGAAATGTTCACGATTGTTATATGTACATCTGTTTTGTTATGTGTCCACGTGTGTTTGTCACTTGATTTCAATACAAAGATTCATTTTAAATAGAAATAATTTACTTGTATGAAAAGAAAAATTTGAAACAAATTCTAAAATGAAAATCTATTAATTTTTAGAGAAAAGAAGTCAATTATCATGAGGAATTAATGCAAAATAGAATATGGATTTTGAATTTCGAGCTCAACAAGATCAAGTTCGTCGTTCAGTAGAAGATCTGTTTGATTTTCAGGGTCGAATGATTGGTCGTGGAACTTATGGAAAAGTTTTCAAAGCGAAAAGAAAAGAGGGGTTAGATTTTTACTTTGATAAATATAAATAAACATATATGTATTCTTATTAATATCAATAGAAACGATTCAACTGATTATGCATTGAAACAGATCGATGGTAATGAGTTAAATAAAAATTTCTATTTCGTTTTTTATTTGATTTTGTCTTCTTCTAGCAACTGGACAATCAATGTCAAATAGTGCCATAAGAGAAATCGCTGTAAATTTATATTTAGAATCTCGTATTATTATTTACTTCTATTTATGTTATAGTTATTGAGAGAACTTAATCATACTAATCTTATTAATTTACAACGTGTATTTTTATCTCATGTTGATCGTCGTGTTTCTTTATTATTTGATTTTGCTGAGCATGATCTTTGGGTATGTAGAATTAAAATATAGACTTATTTCCTTACAGTTAAAGTATATGCTATAAGAGATTTTGAGAGAAATTTGTTGAATGCTTTCAGATATTAACAAGGAAAATTGATAGTAATATGGAAATAAAGTCTTTATTTCGCAAAGTTAAGAAATGTAGACATCGTTTATATGTGATTGTGATAAATTTTCTGAGCCGATTCAAAAGCTAACTGTTTCAGTTATCTGTGTAATGTTTATTCTCTATTGTATATTCCAGCTGGATCCTTGTAGTTTAGTTATGCAATTCTCTAAAGAATCATTTGTATTCATGACTCTGATCTGAATTGTACATTATCACAGCCTCTAAACAATTTTGTTTCGATATAGATTCAATTTCAAAACGATATTTTCTAAAAATAAATTTAATTATTTAGCATATAATTAAATACCATCGAGCTGCAAAAGCATCTAAAAAAATAGTTAATTGTGCACCGGGTATGATTAAATCAATTCTTTATCAAATACTTGCCGGCATTCATTACCTACATGCTAATTGGGTATTACATCGAGATTTAGTAAGTATTCATATATTTATATATAAATTTACTTCAAATTCCTTTGACTATCTATAGAAACCAGCTAATATTTTGTTAATGGGTGATGGTGCTGAACGTGGGCGAGTAAAAATTGGTGATATGGGATTTGCACGATTATTCACAGCACCACTTGTACCTTTAAGTAAAATTGATCCAGTCGTTGTTACACTGTGGTATCGGTCACCGGAACTTCTTCTTGGCAGTCATCATCACACAAAAGCAATAGGTAATACGATTGAATAGCAACTTTATTGTTATATATGGAGAAAAGGAAATACAGTCATTGAACGATTAATATTGAAAAGATTAGATAGCATCAGAACTCTTTACTATCAGAAAGGTTTAATAAGACAGATGGAGTTTTATAATTCTTTTCAATTAAATATTCAATCAATTAATAATCTAATCTTCCTCTTTTTTAAATAGATCTATGGGCTATTGGATGTATTTTATATGAATTACTAACACTTGAACCATTATTTCACTGTAAACAAGATGATATAAAAGCATCATCACCATTTAATCGTGATGCACTTGAAAAAATCTTTCAAGTACTTGGTTATCCATCAGGTAATAATATTCAAACAGAAAGAAAAGCCTTCTTTTTACATAATATACATTTTCTTTTAAGATAATGACTGGCCTGGTATAAAGCAAATGCCTGATCATCCACGATTGAGTAAAGAAGGTTTTCGAGCTATTCAGTAAATATTTTGTTAAAACAAAAAAAAAAGAAGATTTGTTTCTATTTTAATGAATTTGTTTTTAGTTATGGACATTGTAGCATAGAACAATGGATGAAGAAAGTTTTTCCTAATGGACACCCAAGTTTTTCATTAGATTTAATGAAACGTTTTTTAACATTTGATCCAAATAAACGAATAACAGCTGAACAGGCTCTTAATGATCCATTTTTTAAACAAACACCCTTACCACATCATGAGTATGTTTAGAGTATAAAAGAATATTTAATCGAACATTTTTTTTTCTTAGCGCTTTTTATGGTATGGAAATTCCATATGGAAAACGAGAGTTTATTATTGAAGAAGAAGACCAGCAACAGCAACAACAACAGCAGCAGCAACAACAACAACAACCAGCTGTTCAACCCGCCCCTCTAATTGAAGAACCATCAATTCAAGTAACACAAGAAAATTGTCAAGCGCCAGCTCATAAAATGATTGTTCTACAAGAACAACATTCCCACATACATCTTCTTGTAAGAATATAGATTAGAAGAAAAATTTTAAATAATATTATTATCATTTAGGCTATGCAAGAAAATCACGAACCTGTTGCAAAACGGCTTAAAACACAAGAACCACCGTCTTTCTATGCTCAAGTATATGAAAATATTTTTATTATTCAATAATCTAATTGAATTTTATTGATTTTATAGAAACCATTAGTCTCATCACAAATGCTCAGTCTTCATCAGCACCTTCGACGATAGTTTAATCAATTTTGTTCTGCTTTGTGCTCGGTTTCTATTTGTCAGATATTAATAAAAAAAAACCTTAATATATATTCCGGTGAACATAAATCTATGCGCATTTCTTTATTTGTTCTCAAGAATATAATAAATGTTTAAAAGAATACTATTACTAAAACAATGAATTCAATGTATCTATCAATGAATAGGAAAAATTGATTATATTCTAAATCTTGAAAGTATTCCAAAAAAAATTATTAATAAACGATAAATTTCGAAAACAACTAACTATGATCAAATATAAAAGTATATTGAGAGATATCATATTTGAATAGAATTCACCTAAATAACGTCAAAAATGAAAATATAGAAAGCACAAATGATACAAAAGTCGAAAAGTAAATATGTTGAAAACAGTAAAGTTTGAAAGTAGAGATCACTATGACTATCATCTTCATTCTTGCATCCGAAATTGTGTTTTCGATCAAATTTAGATATCTTTGTTATTTCATTTAACTGTATCTGAATAATCAGAAAAACTATCATTTTCAGTCAAAGTACAATAATTTTTCATTCTTTGTGTATTGCCAGAAAAAATATTATGCATTCGTTTGTTCCTTGATTATCTCGATATCCTATAGCAGCTTTCTGTTAATTCATCATCGAAAAAGATTTTAAAATTGTTTAATACGTATAATCCAGTAAAACTCGCCAAACTCTATCTTCCCATATAAGAACATTGAAGAAAAAAACTTAAGTACACTTCATAAGACCACTCGGATAAATAAAAGCTTGATATATTCACCGTTAATTCAAAAAACAAATTATCAATAAAGTTAAATGACATAACAAAGATATCGGAAGAAACTTTTAATAGATTATTTCTGGAGAGACATCCTGTATATATCACAATGATACAATGGGAATATCTATATTCCAAACAATCTGTACTATGTAATGCAAAAATAAATAGTTTGTCTGTACATATTTGGGAAGTAGACATCTGCTAGATAAAGAAGCAGTAGAAAATAGCATACATACATATATATATCGCTACAGAATGAGAAGAATGCTCTCATTTTTTTTGTTCCATGATTAATATCATTAGGACGTGCATTAACTACGATGAATGTTATAAACATTTGATTGAATCTTTCTCCTGAGTAAGATTTTAGCGACAATTATATAATAAACTTATCTTACGTTGGTATTAAATGTTTAGAAATTAATAAATATTTTCTAGATTCTCAAGAGTACACATCTTCAATGAGGATAATACAGAGCAAGCTACAGATCGAACATATTGTAAAGATATTTCTACAGAACGATGAATATTTGTAGCAAAAAGATAAAAAGTTATGCTCGATTATTATCATAATTGTATATATTTTCTAGATAGACAAAAATATGTCTCGTTGTTGTCAATGTTGTCGAAATCTTTGTAAAGAATTTAAAGCGTATGTATTCATTTTCTACTTTATAATCATATATCTTACGTAATGTAATAGGTTTGCTCTTCGCGGAGATTTATTAGATTTAGCAATTGGTATTGTCATTGGTACAGCTTTTGTCAATGTAGTTCAATCGCTTGTCGATGATATTATTACACCACCATTAGGTCTTATTTTAGGTGGTGTTGATTTTGTTAATTTAACAATAAAAATGGCAAATTTTGTCTACAAAGATCAACCACCTGTTGTTATTCGTTATGGCAAATTTATTCAAACAATAATATCATTAATTATTGTGTTATTTGCAATATTTTTTGTTATTAAAGGTATTAATCGATTAAATAAACCATCACTTAAAAAACAACAATCAATCGAAAGTAATACTGAAAAAGTCGTTACTGAAGAAATTAAAGTATTACGTGAAATTCGAGATTTATTATCACGACAAACTATTCACCAAATCAGTTAACATAGACAATAACATTTTGTTTATTCTTTTTTTAATTCTCAATAAAAAATGCCGTAGTGTATTTAGTCTACAATTGATTCAATTGTTAAATTGAAGTATCATAAAAGATTGTATAACACTGTTACATCAGAATAATATTCTATTAGTCTTCATTTATTTGACGTTCATGTCTACTATGAAGAAATCAATACAAAACTAAAATAGACTGTCTACGGTATGAATGAACGAATAAAAAGAGAACGAGAGAAGAAATAGTACGAGTAGTAGTAGTCAATGGGTAGCTTTTCTTTTTCGTTACTCTTTGAATTCATAACGGCAGATTTGTTCAACTGTAGAACAAAATGAATTATCGATTTTAACTAATTAAAATCTCCTAAGCTTTTTCTAATTGTGTACATAAAAGACATAAGTATCATTTCTTACATAATTCAATTAGTGCTATATCGGACTATAAATGACTGACATTGACCTTTATATCATTTCTCCAGTGTATTTTTCTTTCCTTATCATTGATTATATACACAATAAATGAAATCTAAAACTTTAACATACAATCTTTAGGTTCAAACATATGGCTCGTTGTTGTCAAAATTTTTGTAAAGAGTTCAAAGCGTACGTAATCATCTTCTACTTTTTAATCCTTAATTTTTTTTTGTAATTCAATTAGATTTGCCCTTCGTGGCGATGTAATAGATTTAGCAGTTGGTATTGTTATTGGTACAGCTTTTGTGAATTTAGTTCAATCGCTTGTCGATGATATTATTACACCACCATTAGGTCTTATTTTAGGTGGTGTTGATTTTGTTAATTTAACAATAAAAATGAAAAATTTCATCTACAAAAATCAACCACCTGTTGTTATTCGATATGGCAAATTTATTCAAACAATAATATCATTATTTATTGTGTTATTTGCAGTATTTTTTGTTATTAAAGCTATTAATAGATTACATCATATTTCAACAAAAAAGAAACCCAAGCCGGAAAATGAAGAATTAGTACAACTTGAAATAAATCAAGAAGTTAAAGTTTTATGTGAAATACGAGATTTATTAGCAAAACAATCTTCAGTTGTTCGATAGATTAGATTCATTTAGTTGATGTAGATTTTTATAATATAATTTAGAACATTTTTTTTTCATAAATGACTTATAGTATTGCTTTTTTTGAATTCAAAATCACGCAGAATAAAGCAATCTTCAATTAATTATACAGCAAAATTCAATGTGTTTAAAAAAAACATTTATTTATTTTTGTTCAGAGAATATCTACGGCAGAAAGTGATGCTAGTAAACTGTACAAATATATAATCTGCTATAGAAAAACAAAAACAAAGTCACTACAATCAAAAGATAACTCGATGAGATCAAGAGTAAAATAATAGCATAAAACAAACAACAATGAATTAAAACAAAAATTCAGCAATACACAAACATATTAAAGCAGTTAAATAATAATATCGAGTAAAATAGAATAATACAGAAAATGACGAGATTCAAAAGAAAGACACACATTTTAAAATTGCACACAGTAGAGAAGTAAAAAAAATACATATTGAATATGTATATATTGATATTTTTTATTGAATTCTTAATCATTATTTTGTGACTCGAGAACGAACTTTACGTGTAGATTCAGCTAGATGATAGATGAAAAATAATTATAAATACTAACAAAAAAAGATTTTTTTATAATTATCTTTCACCTTGATGTGGACTGTCACTGTCTCGATGCATACCACCACCACCACCTTGCGCAGCTTGATTTGCTAATTTCGAAGCATATAAATTTGCTTCTTCTTGAGCTTTACCAATATTTTTCTTATATCGAATACGTTTATTACCAAACCAATTACTAACCTGAAATAACCGATAAATATGACATTCACTGATCTTAATTATCAATCATTTTTTAGTTTAAGCCTCAGTGGAGATATACAATCGTTACAAAGTACAAACAAATTTGGCAAGATGGAACAACACATTGCATAAGTTTCGTGTAGGGAACCTACGTGATTGATATTCCTTGTTGGTACTCATAGAGAGAAGTTATCGTGTAAATAACAAAATTCATACCATTACGTCTTTTCTCACAACTATGATAGAATTTATACGGAAATTTCCTATTTTAGTAACAGATTTTGTGATTCTAATGATAATATTCTCAAAGTTTTCATTCAAGCGAATCCTTCTCTCCCTAAATATTAAATGCGAAAAATGTATTACCTGTGATACACTAATACCACATTTACGAGCAAGTTCTTCTTTAGCTTCTTCACTTGGATATGGATTTGATAAATGCGAATAGAAATATTCATTAAGAACTTCAGTAGCTGTTTTACTAAAATTCCGACGTTTTCGTCTAATAAAAACAAAAAAAACAAATTATCATATAGAATATTTAATTTCATTATTTATTACCGAGCATCAAGAAATCTTGAACGAAGTATCATTACAGCTTCACATGTACTTTGTTTGAGTTGTAATTGAATTGTTGAAAATTTTTTTCGAATAATTGAAACCATTCGATCAATTTCTCGTGGTGATATTGGTCGAGCACGACTTTGTTCACGTAAAAGATTAATAACATGACTAGTAAAATCATTACATGCTTGTTCCTATATATATGTAAAATTCAATTTTCTTTATCTCAAAAATTTTATTTTTCAACATACATATTTTTCTAATTCACTATGATAAAGTTGTCGAATTTGAGTTAATTTAGCTCGATAATCTCCATGTTCAAGTGCTGAATCATCATTGATACTTGCTGCTGCATTCATACTTGCCGATGATGATGATGAACCACCTAGTCTTTCCGGGCCAGCAATACCTTCAGCTAATAACATATTATCAAGACGCATTAATTGTGAATCAGGTGGATCATCTTCCGGAAAATTTCGAATATTAATTGCTAAAATATAAACATTATAATGAAATATTTTTTGAAACAAAAAACCAATCATACACAAACCTGTTTTTTCTTTTATTTCACATAATACTTGAAAAAATGCAGGTTTAAGTCGACTTTGATTAAATGCATGTTTTCTATCAAAAGGAAATTCAAATTAATTATAAAGAAATTGAATACACTGTATTTTAAACAAACCTTGCTTGAGCTTCGTCAAGACTTTGATCAACAATAGACATTATTTGTTGTAGCATTCCATTAACATCATTAAATGGTTTATTTTCATTAACATTGGTATCATACATGTTATATTTACCATCGGTTGTTAATGGTGGAATCATTGGACTATAATGAGATGGCGGAAGATTTGAAATATATGACGGATCTTGACCATCCATTTTAGTTCGATCAATCACATTGATTTGATGTTTTTTTTATTTCATCCATAGTTTACCCTTGTAATTAACAATGTGATAGGAAATAATTTTCTATTGGTTTATTTAATATGCATTAATGTGTTAATGCAGATTAGTATTTTTTTTAGAAAGGATAGAGTTTTGTATTGTATATTTTATCTAATTGGTTGTTAAACCACAATGATCCTTCGTTGTTCATTTTATTAATAATAACTGATCATCTTCAAATCTATCTGTTACGAACACGAACAATGAACGGTTCATACGGTAATAATAACGGTTTTATTGTACGTCTTCGTGGTTTGCCATGGAATACAACACAAGTTGAAGTACAAAATTTTCTTCAAGGTTTTATAATTAATTTAATGTGTTCATAAAAAGTATATCGTGAAAAATTCTTCTAGGATGTAATGTTCATCAAACAAATTTTGTACTAAATGATCAAGGTCGAGCAACTGGTGAATGCTTTGTAATATTAGAATCACAAGAAGATGTTGATAATGCAAAAAATTTTCATCAAAAAAATATCGGCAGTCGTATGTATTAAAAATCTAGAATTGTAGGAGATAATAGATCTTTAAACAAATAAGATATCATGAGAGTTTGAGTACTATAAGAGTATAGTAGAAAAACCGTTTGATAAGTTTCGATTTTATTGTGAGATAGACCGTTTATATATAATATCGTCTGAAAGATATGATAATTATACAATGAAGTCAACAACTGATGTGTTTTTTCTCATACATATTGATCGATACAAAAACTCCTTCATGCATCAGATGTCTATTTAAAAGCAATTATTTCATAAAATATTTAATGACTAAGTAGCTCATTATTATTTTGATTTGAATCAATCATATCCTAATCTAAATCTAACAATAAGAAATTAAGTCAAACATATATAGACACTGCTAAATATGAAGATCATTTTCAATCATGTTTCTTCAACAATTTTAAATTGACTACATAATGTTGAATTCATTTAATGAAAATTTGAATATTCTTTCAAAATTAAGTTCTGACATCGTTCAATCCAGAAAAGATTAAGTGATCTACTATAAATAGATATTACACATGCGTTGAATAGAGCACTTCTATCTCTGATATTATATGTCAGCACTTCTAATTTCTTCTGATGAGATACGTTAATCAAGAGAAGAATATCTCATTCGTTTTTGTATGTTTTAGGTTATATTGAAGTATTCGAATCTAATTCGGAAGAAATGAATCAAACAGTAAAGAACAATAATAACAATAATAATAATAATAATATTCATCAAAATAATGAAAATAATCCTTCAAATCCAAGTACTGAAAATTGGCGTGAACCAGTCGTTCGTTTGCGTGGTTTACCATATAATTCAAGTAAAGAAGATGTTCAAGGCTTTTTCGAGGGTATGTACATATTCATTTAATAAGGGATGATGAGAATATCGAGTTTTTCAGTTGGAAAATTCCTCTCCGTTATTAAAAAAAAAGAAAAATCTATATTATTTTGTGTTGTTTTTGTCTATTTTTTGGGATTACCTCACCTTGTAGGACTCGACATAGCTCAGAATGGTGTACACATCTCCTCGAGCAAACCAGCAGGCGAGGCTTTCGTCGCTTTTGTGAACATGGACAATGCCCTACGAGCTTTGGAATTCAACCGCATGAATATGGGGCATCGGTACGGTAAACTGAGAGAGAAGAAGAAAAAAAGCAAACCTTATTTTCCTATTATACAAAATAAAACTGATTTTCTTTTGTTTCTTATTTTTTATTTAAATTGATCGAATAGAATTTATTTTGCGTATTATTATCATTATTTTATTTTTGCTTTATAATTTCCTATTCGATCAATTTTGTTTAGAACAAAATTTGTTTTTCTTTTTCTCCACATACCCTAATATATCCAAATTTCATTTCTTTTTGTTTTTGTTTTTCAATCTCCTTAAAATATCTTCTAATGTTTTAATTATATGATTATCATTAAAACAGCTACATTGAAGTATTCAAATCAACATATGCCGAAGCTCGTGCCTCAATTATGAATGATACACAATCTATGGCACGACAACGTGGTGGTAATGGCGGAAATAACGGACCTAATCAAAATTATGGATCTCAACGAGAAGCAAATTTTAGTGGTAATAGTGATAGCATAAGTGGAGATGGATATAATAATAATGTAAATCAATATAATGGTCCACCATCAAATAATTACAACTACTATGGTGGAGGCGGTAATGGTAGTGGTGGTGGTGGTAATTATCCAGCAAATAATCAAATGGGTGGTGGAGGTGGTGGTGGAGTAAAACGTAAGACTTTTTCAAAAGAAAACATGTTTTAATAAAGAAATTTATTATAGGTCCAATGTCAGTATCATTTACAATGAAAATACGTGGTGTACCATTCGAAGCCGGTGAAAAAGAAGTCTTTGAAGTAAGAGAAATAGACAGAAAATTGCGAATGAAGTTTTTCTTCATATACATTTGAGCTTGACAAAGATGTTATACGTAAATAATAGCTAAAATGTTAATAGTAACAGACAGGTACATCACTGTTATGATCAAAGTATTATTACGACTACCTGAGATATACACATATGACATATTTCTAGGGAATTATGAGATAATCTTATAAGAATCCTACGATTTAGATTCAACCTTAGACATTCCGAAGAAGAAAAACCTAGTCAATTTAGAACAGTGAAGATCGAAAAAAACGTCTTTTAAGAGCAACTCCAAAAAATGAATCCACAAATCTAACAACAAATGTTTTCTTTTAGTTCTTCGCTCCAGTTGTACCTATTCGCCTTGAACAAGAAAATACTCCTCGTGGTAAACCACCAATATGGTATGCTGAATTTGGTTCACGTGAAGAAGCAACTGAAGCATTAACGTAAGTTATATAATTTCGCAGAGAAAGAACAAGTATCAGTTGAATATTTCTTTTATTTACTTTTCAGATATCACAAAAAATATATGGGAACACGATATATTGAATTATTACCACTATATGATGATGGCGGCAATCGATCAAAAATGGTTCGCACCTGAAAACAAAATAATAAACATTCTTTATGATTTGTACAAATGAAAAACAGCTTGTGTGCTCTGCGTTTTTTTTTTCTTTTTCCTTTTTACTACAACAAAAGATAACTTCTGAAACAAAAATGTTATTTGATCTATATTGAATTCTTACAAGTTAACAATTGAACGATTGTCATATAGATTAAAATCATTCCAGAAATGAGAAATCGGCGTGTTTTGCCTGTTTGTTATTGTTCTTGTTTCTTTTTCTTTCATATCTCGTCTTGTCTCTTATTTTCTTTTTTTTTGTGCATTCTTATTTGTTGTCATGTTCGCACAAATGAAAAAGAAACTAATAAAATCATTTCAAGATTGATTTATTCGAAAAAGATATGAAAATATTATTATTATTGAATAGTAAAAGAATTTTTCCAGATGGCTGCACCTACACCTGAAGAACTTGATCGAAATCTTGATGAATTTATTGATAAACTTATTGAAGACAAAGATAACCTTCCCAAAGGTCAACTTGATGAAGCTTTTTGGAAAGTAAGATTCATCATAAACTGATGTTTTATTTTCTATATATATGTATATATATTAGGATCTAGAAGGACATCCATTTTTTCTCAAAGAAATGCCAGAAGAAGGTGCTGAACTTCATCCAGCTACGGCAGCTTTACAAGCATTGCAATGGGATGATGACGAAGATACACCATTAGGTAGTGAAATTAATTATTAACTGATATAAATGTTAGATGAGAATGAAAACGGTGCAATAAATTTGACATCTGTCATTTATTTCATGAATAATTCTTTTGCACCAGGTGATACATATATACATCATAGTAATATTCAGGAAAATGAAACGCTTTAGTTAATTCATTGATACCGACAGTCTTAAAAAATAATCTACTGTATGAAGACTCAGTATCAGATATCAAAGATTCTGTATTTAAAGGCAGGCATACAACAAAATTATTATTTAATCAAAGCTCAAGATCGAACGATTTATATTCACGTTTAATGTAGATGTAATAACAGAAGTAAAGTGAATAAGATGGTGTGCTTGCAACAATATAAGGAAACTCACATAGTCGAAAAAATGACATCTATTCTTATAAATTTTAGACAAAGCAACGAAATTTAAAGAAGAAGGCAATAAATATTTTGGATATAAGAAATACCGTAATGCAATACTCGCTTATACAGAAGGTATAAAACAACGTTGCACAGATCCTACAATCAATGCTGTTTTATTTTGTAATCGAGCAGCATCGAATTTTTATTTGGGTAAATTATTAGAAAACAAAAATCATATGAATATCTATTTATAGAAAAATAATATTTCGTTAGGTAATTATCGTTCTGCTTCACGTGATTGTGTATTATCAAGAAAATGTAAACCTGATCATCTCAAAGCTTATATTAAAGGTGCTGAATCATGTATGAAATTAGAAAAATATAAAGATGTTCAAAGTTGGTGTTCATCTGGTTTAACAGTATCCTTTTCGTTTTTAATTAATTTCATTTATTCATATTTAAAATAGCTTTTCTTTCTTTTTCCTTAACATAACTTTTTATTTTCTTATTAAACGTTTTTTAATGATGATGCTAAACTTATTGAAATGCGTGATCGAGCAGCAAAATTACAAGTAATTGCAGAATTATCTTTTACAAAAGAAATTCTTTTGTTTATTAGAAAGAAAAAGAACGTGATGAAAGAAAACAACAAGGTCAAGAACGAAAAAAGAAAAGTGAACAAGATACAGTCCTCAATGTTGTTAAAGTATGTTAAATAATTTAATCAAAATTCGATTAATTATTTTTCTTTTTTAGAGTCGAAATATTCATATACAAGAAGATCCAAGTATTGATATATTTAATATTAGTTCAAATCCCGCGGGAAGTTGTATAAAATTAAATGAATCAGATCAAACATTAACATTCCCAGTTGTCTTTCTCTATCCAGAATATGGACAAACAGATTATATTAAAGAATTTCATGAGGATACAAAGTAATAATAATTACTTAAAATAGAAAATTTCTTTTTCATCTTTTTCTCTTTAGACTTATTGATCAATTAGCTATAATGTTCGGATCACGTGCACCTTGGGATGAAGAAGGAAAATATACACTTGATCGAATGAATGTAAGTCTTATTGATAAATTTTGAAAGCTAAAACAAATTATATTTTAGGTCTATTATGAAGATCAGAAGAGACATGAATTAAAAATCGTTCCATCTGATAAAACATTACTTGAAACACTTCAATTACCAGGGTAGAAATTATCTCTCCTTATTATTTCTAAAATGTTTATTTGATTCTTATATAGATTTGTTGTTCAACTCGGTATGCCAAGCTTAATGATCATGGTACCTAACTCTCCGTTTGCTAAACATTATTTAAAAATGCATGCAACTTTGTGATGATGATGATTATTTTTGTTTTTAAATAAAAACTAAAACTATAAATCCGTTAATAACAAACAAGAATTTCTATATCTTTTTTTTTCTTTTTTCGAAGTATTCATTCTTGTAGAACACAATGAATGTTCAAACATTTTTATATAATGAAAATTTCTACAAAAAACTTGCGTTAACAATAGCTATTATTCGATTAACACCATCACATTTAACACCAAAAGATTATACGATATATTTACAAAATAATTTACGAAAAACTAAAATAAATGAAACTATTCAATATGAACAAACTTTATTAGATGTACATTTTTTACGAAAATCTTTATCGGTAATCATACCAACAAAATCATTTGATTTACTTGAACATCATGGAAAATTTCTTCAACATATTTTAACAATATCAACAGAATTTAATTTTGATATTCAAACAATTATTATCGAAACAATTGATCATATATTTCAATTAATAAAAGAAAACTTTCGTCAAATAAAACAAGAAAAATATGAAGCTCTTTTCAAACATTTAATTAATATTATTCTAAATTTTCATATTATACCAAATATTCAACAACATTCTATTGAACATATACGAAATTTTATTAATTTAATCTTAATGTATATACAAGACACAACAATAACTACTAATGCTCAAATGCTTATTGAACAAATTGGTATTTACTTCATAGCATAATAATATGATGTCCGAGATTTTAAATTCAGTATTTTTTCCTAGAAGCGTGTATATCTATTAAGAGTATGCGTAATAGAAAGATAAAAATCTGCGTCGTGACCATTCCTATAATATAGATTTCTTCAGAAAATGTAAATGATGAACGATTCCATGCATATAGAAAGAAGCAGTTAATTTCCGATGTGAGTAAACACCGACATGACACGTTTGTCATTAATCAAAAACTTTCAAGATGATATGCAGGCATGTTATTATATATATATATATTTCTCTATCGGCAACAGATCGACCTAAATCATTTTCTATGAATAAAAAAAGCAAAACGTGAATAATAGAACATCTATCCTATATATCTCTTGAGAAATTATATTTAATACTGTCAATTGTATTACAATGGGAGAAAATCTTTTTGTTCTTTATTTCTAGGTTGTCATCCATCTTATTTTTTATTAGTATTCGAACGTATACTTATCGAATTATTTCTCAATGTTGATAAAATAAATTCAAATTCAACATATAGTTTACTACTAATCAATATTCTTCAGAAATTAGTAACATTAAATGACAATACGACATTAGAACAAATACTAAATAATGAATCGGTTCGACAACAATTTCATGCATTACTTTATACATGTTTATCTAAGAATAATATTGATATTTCATTAATTGTTTGTCTTTGGAATATTTATGGTCGAATTATATGAAGTAAAAATAGTTAAACATCTGTTGTTCGTATAATTATATATATATTGTGTGTGTGTGTTGTTCATTTTTTTTGTCATTAATTTTACTTGAACAGTTTGTTTTGTTTTCTTTACTAGTAGTAGTTCAGGTATATATAATGAAATCTTTCAATGATAGAAACTAAACGTATTCTTTTTTTGATGATATTATCAGATTACTATAGTATAATACTTATACACTTTTCTTTTTATAGCCAATTATTTACTAAGAGCTTGCTCAATATATAGACTAGAAAGAATACTACTTATTTAGTACAGTCAAGGATATATATGTATATAATATAGAATGTCTACATCCTATCACATATTGTCTACCCTTGATTTCAATGAGCCGTATATATTTGTTAGAATGATTAGTTGATAGGTTTCTCTGACTTATATCTTCATCACTATAGAAAATGACATTCATTCATTAATTGACTAATAATATCTTTTATTGTCAATATAAACAGACATTGATATCTATGTCTTTCCTGTTTCTCATTGAAAAAAAAATCTAAAAAATGAAAAATGATACAGTATGAAATAAAGTACCTCCTGCTGTTGTCGTCTAGCATATGTATATCGGCAACATCTGGTCATCTGCACATACTATTTGTTATTACATCATGATCTTTCTTTCTATATATGTGTATATATGTACATATATATGCCAAATCTATTGAGCAATGAAGCAAGTCATTCACCCACCAAGCTACTAATAAACAACAAAAACGGCATGATTACTAGTCGTCCACTCGCATACTTATGTATATATATATATATATACTCTGCTTCTATTCTTTTTCTTTTACTGTCTAGCCAAAAAAAGATTGATTCGATGAGAACAAAAGAGAAGAAGTAGAAGAAGAAGAAGAAGAAAGATTTGACCGCATATACACCAATGTAACATGATCGATTTTTGTTGAACAATAGAAGCAATTGTGTGTGTTCGTGTGTATGACACAATTTTTCAATTGCAATATTACAAATAGTGACGCTTCGATTTGAAGTAAATGCATACACATGCCAGCACGATAAGAATTGCGCCTTCACTCTTTTCTTTCTTTTTTTTTCTCTTTTCGTTTTATTATACGATATTTACTTATAAGGTCCGCGCGTTAGGGAAAGAGAAAGTAAAGACACTAAATAATTGCATGAGAAAAAGACGAAGCAGAGGAAGAAACAGAAGAAAAAAAAGTGGGTGACCTGAGAGATCACGTCATCTTCATCTTGACTACCAATTTACATCATTATTACTTTTTTCGCTAGTATTTATTAAACAATAACTGAGCTCAACACTTTCGCATCATGACTATAGCAGGTAGTTAACGATTGTATATTTGAATAGGGATGAGGACTATGTTGACGATCGTGTCATATATATATATATATATGCAAACATATATTTTAGATCAGTTGCATGGGATGAATGATGTTTTAGGACAAAAACCATCAACTGAAACCTCGTCAAACGCTGATTTTAATGCCGACGATGAGGACAGGTAAATAATATTAAATTAACCGATTATCCTTGAAATTAATCTATGTTGTTTTTAGTTGGCTCTTTGAAGAATTGAACCGTGAAGAAGCAATTCATACGTTACAAAATCAATTAGATGGTACATTTCTTGTACGCCCCAGTAGTACAATAAAAGGCGATCTTGTTCTTTGTGTTAAGTATGTAAATGAATTATTTTTTATTCAAAGAAAAAAAAAATTTATTTTATTATTTTTTTTTATTAGAGAAGGTTCGAAAGTTAGTCATTATATAATCAATGTATATCATGAAGATATAAAATTAATATATAAAATTGGTGATAAAACATTTTCAAGTATGAAAGATCTTTTAAATTTTTATAAACAACGATTACTTGATACGTCACCACTTACTCGAATTGTAAGTGTGCTAATATTTGATTAATGCTTTTATTCATGTTCGTTACTCTATTCTTTTAGTGTCCAAAACCTCGTGTAAGAACGAAATATAAATTTGAAGGAAAAGTAATAAAATCATTTTTTGCTTTATTCTATTTATATTTTCTATTTCTAGGATGATGAAGATTTACCTTTTAAAAAAGGACAAATTTTAATGATTATTAAAAAAATAGAACCATTATGGTGGTTAGCAAGAAATAGCATAGGAGATAAAGGCATGATTCCAGCTAATTATGTTGAATATATTCGGTAAATGAAAATTTGTTTTTCCTTTAGTCTAGAATTAAATTCTTTTATTTCTTGTAGAGATGATGTTTAATATTTCGCAATAAAATTTCATTTTTAATTTGTTTTCCCTATATCTTCTTATTTTTTTTTTGTGACAAAAAAACACACAGTGACATTTGTTTTTTTCTCGAATGGATTTGTGTAGTGTGCCTTCTTTTTTTTTCTATATAATATGTTTTTCATTATTAAAAGAAATATATAATTGTCATAATGATGTAAGTTTCAATTCGTAAGAAGATATATACTGTATGAAAATATAAATGGCACTGACATTAAGTAGTTCTGACAAATTGCATAGCAATATAATTTAGCTGCACTTTTAGAACATTCCTTTCTTATCAAATTTTATAATACTGATCGAATTATGCACATTCTTAAAAAAATTATCGTCTGCCATATGGAGTAGAAGAACGAACCCTTTTAACCACACCCTCATTCTCACGTTTCGGTATCCTGAAATATTCACTATGTTGATCAAGTGAGAGCACACTTGTTACATAAAATTTGATTTACATTTCAATTTATAGGACGCCCGCACGAAGCGAGCAGTAAAAAAATTTGTCTATAAGACTCATTGAATTATTCCGAAACACAGAAATCTTTAGTAAAAGGCGAAAGATTTTCTTGTGATTGTTCCGGAATCAGAGTTAACTTTTTTACCTACACCGTTTTCATATATAAAGGCAAAGCAAACGCAAAAATTGTGTAGTAGACATTTATGTATGTTAGTGATGACTCATCCTTTTTTCCTCCCTTCTTTTCTTTCATATATACAGATAAACATTCATTGGTGACTCGTTAAATGCAATAAAATTCTTTTAATTTGACAAGCCAACAATAAATTTTTTATTTATATTAATGGTTTTTTCTTGGATAGTGTTATTATTTTCAATAGAAAACAATGATGCGTAGAAGGTGGAGAGATATTAAAGAAAATAAAATAATTAGTATGATGCGAAGCCTTTCGATTTTTTCTTTTCAAGGAAAAACTGAAGACGATAAAACAGTTTATTTATATTCATTTTTAATTAATTAAGAATAAGAATAATTGATCAAAAACTATATTCTAATCAGAAGCCTTATAGGTTGTGTCTTATTAAAATAGATGAATATTTTAAAAGTATTGTATTATGTTACTCAATCATCTTATATATTTTCTCGTTATCATTTCTTGATTAACTCGTTTTTCGGTATTTCCTAATATTTTTTAATCTGTTTTATCAAATGATAAGCTTAATTTATTGTATCCATTGTATTCAATGTGTTATGCTGAATGATATTCAGATATCTATGATTTTTTCAAGACTTATCTGAGCAAAAAACGAATAAAGAAGTGATCATCCGTCTTTCATTATTATTTGAATCGATATCAAAACAATAGAAAACATTGGTAGCTAGACGAAAAATGAATAACAAGTAGGAGTAATGATACAAGAAGAAAGTTGTCCTCCACACTTTTCAACTTTTCTTATATATTGGCTATAAGACATCGACGATGTAACACATAGATTATTTTTCATTTTGTTTTATTTGAAAGCCCGTACGAAACGAGCCGAGAAAAAATTAGTCTATAAGACTCATTGAATTATTCCGAAACACAGAAATCTTTAGTAAAAGGCGAAAGATTTTCTTGTGATTGTTCCGGAATCAGAGTTAACTTTTTTATCCACACTATTTTCATATATAAAGGGTGAACGTATGGAAAAATTGCACAGTAGACATTTCGTGTATGTTAGTGATGACTCTTTTTTCTTCTTTCGTATATATAGATAAATATTCATTGATGACACATACAATGTAATAACATTCTTTCAATCTGACAAGCCATAAATGAATCTTTAATTTAATAGTTAATGTATGATTAAGTATGTAATAATAATCACAAAGAGAAGAATAATGATTTTAGTAAAGAAAAACGAATAAGAGATAAGAGTAATGATAGGAGAAGAAGGTTATTCTGTACATTATTCAATCCCCTTCTCTTGTTTCATTTCATGTTCTAAGATTTCCTTCATATTTCTCAACATACTCCATTGATTATAAAGTATTTCTTGGATATTTCTCGAATCATGTCACTTGCTGTAAGATACTTTCCGAATCATTAATCCTCATCTTGTCATGTGTAAGATCTGTCTGGGCTATTCTCATCGTGTTATATTATTGTGAAAAATTTTTCAACTTTTCTTGTATATTTGCTATAAGACATCGGCGATGTTACACATAGATGATTTTTCGTTTTATTTTATTTGAAAGCCCGTACGAAACGAGCCGAGAAAAAATTGGTCTATAAGACTCATTGAATTATTCCGAAACACAGAAATCTTTAGTAAAAGGCGAAAGATTTTCTTGTGATTGTTCCGGAATCAGAGTTAGCTATTTTACCCACACTATTTTCATATATAAAGGGTGAACGTATAGAAAAAATTGCATAGTAGACATTTCGTACATATTATTGATGACTCTTCTTTCGTATATATAGATAAACATTCATTGGGTAATACATACAATGTAATAAAATTTCTTTCAATTTGCCAAGTCACCAATGAATCTTTAATTTAATAGTAAACGTGTGATTAAGTATGTAATGATAATCACAAAGAGAAGAATAATGATTTTAATAACGAAAAACGAATAACAAGTAGGAGTAATGATACAAGAAGAAAGTTGCTCTCTACACTTTTCAACTTTCCTTATACATTTGCTATAAGACATCAACTATGCTGCACATAGATTATTTTTCATTTTAGTTTATTTGAAAGCCCGCACGAAACGAGCCGAGAAAAAATTGGTCTATAAGACTCATTGAAATATTCCGAAACACAGAAATCTTTAGTAAAAGGCGAAAGATTTTCTTGTGATTGTTCCGGAATGAGAGTTAATTTTTCTACCCACACTGTTTTCATATATAAAGGGTGAACGTATGGAAAAAATTGCATAGTAGACGTTTCGTATATATTATTGATGACTCTTTTTTTTTCCTTTCGTATATACAGATAAACATTCATTGATGACACATAAAATGTAATAAAATTCTTTTAATTTATTAGTAAATGTATGATTAACTATGTAATAATAATGACAAAGACAAGAATAATAAACATAATTGATATTAATGACTTGTTTTTTTGAATAGTTTTATTATTTTCAATAAAAAATAATAATGCGTAGAAGGAGGAGAGATATAAAAGAAAATAATATCATACGATAAGAAACAAACAGATAAATAAATAATTTTTTAATTAAGAACATGAATAATTGATCAAAAAACTGTTTTCTAATCAGTAGTCTATAAGTTACGTCTTATTAAAACAGCTGAATATTTCAAAAGTATTGTTCTATATTAGTCATCCATTGCATGTGTATTCAATCATCTTATATATTTTCTTGTTATTATTTGTTGATTAATTCGTTTTTACAGTCACTACTAGACACAGTATGAAACTGAAAACGAAAGAGAAAAATAAATCTCATTGTGGTTCATATTTTCATGCAATATAACAAGAAATATTTGAACGAACAAAGAAGTGATCATCTTTCTTCCGATATCATCAGGATCGATTTCAACTGACGTAGCTAATTAATACCAACATTTCTTATATATTGGCTATAAGAAATCGACGATGCTGCACATAGATTATTTTCATTTTAGTTTATTTGAAAGCCCGCACGAAACGAGCCGAGAAAAAATTAGTCTATAAGACTCATTGAATTATTCCGAAACACAGAAATCTTTAGTAAAAGGCGAAAGATTTTCTTGTGATTGTTCCGGAATCAGAGTTAACTTTTTTACCCACACTGTTTTCATATATAAAGGGTGAACGTATGGAAAAATTGCACAGTAGACATTTCGTACATATTATTGATGACTCATTTTTTTTCGTTTCTTTCGTATACACAAATAAAAATTTCTTGACGAAGTTAAATGCCTAAAATTTTATTGTTCTTCCTGAATATATATACATATACAAATAGTAGGAAAATTATTTATGATACAAAATTATTTTTGTTTTTCAGTTAAATGTTCTTGCATTTTTGCTAATATATCTTGCATTCGTCGAAGCTAAAGTTGCAATAGTGAAATAATTTATATATTGAAAAAAAGAAAGTTATTTACTTCAATATCTTTCTCTTGAATTAATTTTTTCTGTTTTTCATCATTATCAATAAATTTTTTTAATTGTAATTTATTTGATCGATAATTTTCATAATAAACTTCATGTGTTACTTCTTGTAAATCTTGCATATGTATTCTAAGAAAATAAATTTCTTATATTTTCATTCTATCGAAAAAAAACTTACATTAACATTGATCGAAGTTTAAGAAAATCACTGTAATTATTATTTTCAACTTCAACTAAACCCCATGGATACATTCGTCCTTGAATATGTTTTCCTCCTACTTCATAAGTTCGTTCCGATGAAATTATTGCAAATGGAATGCATTTTTTTAATTCAAGATTTTTTTCTTTTAATTCTTCATCTTCATCAGAATCACAATCAGGTATTTGATAGATTTCAATATGATTATCATGAATTTGTTGAAGAATCTATAATAATAATAATAATAATAAAACTAAATTAATCAAATACTTTTCTTCTTTACAGTTTGTTTCATTCGAATAAGTTCTATAGTTGTTAATGCATCAGCTTTGGCTATTATTGGAACAATATTTACTTTATGATGTAATGCTTTCATACATTCAATATCTAATGGTTTAAGGCTGTATACGAAATAAAAAATAATTTAAAAATGAAATTTCCTTTCAAAACAAACCCTCGTGTAAATGATGAAATAAAATAAAGAAGGCAATGAATACGATTATCGGCTATATTTCGACGATTAAGGCCACTTTCATCTTTTAGATAACGTTCAAATTGATTATCAATATAATTTGATAGTGATTTATAATTCTCAGTACCATTGAGATTATCACCATAACCAAGTGTATCAACAATAGTTAAACGTACTTTAACACCACGTTCTTCAATTTCAACAGTTGATGCATCAATCTTAACCGATTGACGAAGTTTCTCTATTAAAATCGATAAAATAGAAAAATGAGAGAAAATATACCTAATGTTTACCTTGAGCAGTAGGTATATGTCGTTCTGGATAAAGATCAGTTAGAAATAAATTATTGATCAATGTTGCTTTACCAAGTCCACTTTCACCTAGAGACAAAAACTCAAAAATTTACCAATAAAATTCTATCAAATTACCAACAACCATAACAGTAAATTCAAAACCACGTTTAGTTATTTTACGATGAATTTGACTTGGTAAATTAGCAAAACCAACAAAATTTGATTTATCATCCTATATAAATATAACAAAATATACAATCTTCAATCTATTTTATATCTACAAAGTTAGCTATCTTACTGAACTAATTAAATCAAAAGAATATTAGTAATTAACAATAACTATTAAAACTTACTTTCTTCTATGATTTGTTCATAATAGATACCATATCACTTAATATAAAATTACTGATAAAAATGAATATTTTACAAAGTGAAGTCTAAACGAATTTATCTGTCTAAAATCTGCGAAATACACCTTTAGAATTTAATTATTATTTGCCAATTAAGAAAACCCTGGATTTTTCTCTTTTTCATATTCTAGCGAAATTATTTTGTATCAATGGAAAGCGGTAACTTTTTATTAGTTCAAAATTATATTTTTCTTCTTATTTAATAAAAAGAGTATAAGACAATTTTCGATTATTCAACATGCAATCAATTATTTCGCAATATTAATAAATAAATCGAATATTTTTTTATCATAGCTTAATTTCATGGTCAATCGACTCGAATAGAAATGCAAAAAAATTAATAGAAATATTTATCTGTTTTTTTTCGATTGTAAAATATAATTCATATGTGTTAATTGACGAATTTTTCAAAACTCACATTATTATCTTTTTGTCGAGGCCGATTTTCAGTAGTCGGAGTTATATTCATATTGTTCGGTAAATATTACTATAGTTCAATTTGTTCTAATTACTAATAATTTTGTTTATTTATTCGAGACAATTTAATAATAATTAATTTTTCGAAGAAAAAAAAAACAGAAAAGTTATTAATGAAAAATTTGTGTCGATGAACATTTTTATTTATTTTTCTTTCTTTCTTATCTACTGAACATTTCATTGGTCTGTTATGAATCAATCAAAGTTCATCAACAAAATTTAACACACAATGGCAACTGAACAATCTTGTCATTTTCTCCTTTCTTTTTTTTGTGTTCTCTAGCGGAGATTAGAATACATTGAAGGTAAAAATAACTGAAAGTATAGTTAGAAGAAAGACGAAAAAAGAGTTTCATTCAAATAAAAAAAGTCGATCGAATGTATTTAGTTATAGTGTAGAATAAAGAAAAGAATAGATATTCTTATAAAGTTTAGTTTAATCAATAAGTGGAGATTTTTTTTCATTTAGTTCAATCATGCAACAACAACGTCGACGTCCTCCCGTGGCACTCTCACCTGTTGCTTTGAATAATAATTCAAATAGACCTATACGTCAATCTACTCGAAGGTAAATGTCAATTTTGGAAAAAAAATCTGTTTGATTCATATAAATTGTTTAACAGTGAATTAGAGATTACTAGAACATAATTATTCTCTATTTAACCTTATAGTTCTTCTACTATGCCACCGACTGTAAGTCAATGCTTTGGATGTTCTCAACCAATGTACAATCAATTTATATCAAATGTTCTTGATCATCTATGGCATCCTGAGTGTGTTCGATGTTTTGTATGTCGAAGTTTACTTAATGAACAATGCTATTCACGTGAAGGAAAACTTTATTGTAAAGATGATTTTATTAAGTAAATACGATACTTTGATTTTGAAAGAAAAATCAATATTTTTTTTTTAAAACTTCAGAAAATATATTCATCGTTGTTTTGCTTGTCAAAATCTTGTACAATCTCATGAATTAATTCGTCGTATTCGTGCTGGTCGAATTTATCATGCTGAATGTTTTGTTTGTTCAAAATGTAAACGAACATTACAAGATGATGATATAACATCGTTACTTAAAACTGATGGTGCAACATTAAATGATTTGGAGTGTATATGTCAAACATGTGTAAATCCAAATAAATCTTCTGATGAAACAAGTCTTTTACCAAATGGAGATGAAAGTTCGTTTTTAATATTCATTTTAGTTTAATAATAATTGAATTTTTTACTAGATAAAACAAAAGATAATGAAATTTCTAATAAAATTAATGGTAAAGCATCACCTACAACTGATCTACAAGAAGAAAAACCATCAATAAATGGTACAACAGCTGTTAATAATCATACTGATGAACAACAATCAATGGATGTTGATGAACCACCACCACCACCTTCTCTTCCTTCTCTTTCAACAATTAAACCATCCATATCACCTGCTAAAGAACATTCTCCACCACCAGTGACACCACCACCACCACCGCCACCAGCAAAAACTACTGGTCGACAATCAAAAGTTCGTCAAAGTACAAGCAGTAATGGTAGTAAACGTTCACCAGTAAAATCAAAAACAACACCAGTGTCTCGTCAAAAACAGACAACTGCTAATGAAAGAAAAGGTCGTTCGCCAGCAACAAGATCGAAATCAACAGGTGGAGCATCTAATAATACTTCAGCTGCACAAAGACGATCAAGTAATCGTCGTACAACGAAATCAACACGTTATCGTAAACGAAGTTTTTCAAGTGGAAGTGATGAAGATGAAACTGAAGATGATGAAGAAGATGATACTGATTTTAGTGATGAGGTATTCAAATACTTTTTTTTTCGTAAATAGTATTGATTATATAATGTTTTTTTAAAAGGATAATATACCTGATAACGAAAAAGAGACATCTGTTTCACCTGCTATTAAAAATAAATCATCTACAAATCACAACGAGAAAAAATCAGAACCAGAACCTACTCCAGTTCCAGTTCCATCACAACCAGTACCACCTCCACCTCCACCACAAACTGCAACAAATCCATCACTTTTATCACAAGCTAAAATGTCTGAACCATTATCATTACTGAGTGGATTAGCAGCAAATCCTATGTCAATATCATCGATTATGAAACCTGATGCAACACCTAGTTTTATGCCTCCAAATTTCAATCCAGCATTTCCAACTCCATCACAATTTCTACCACCTGGTTTTCCTTTACAACCAAGACTTCCAATGCCACCACCACCATCATCATCGTCGTCGTCGATAACTACCACACAACTGCAATCAGCACCTATACCTGATTCAAATCGTTCATCTCATTCAGCTAATGCTTCAGACACAGATTCACTCGATCGTTCATCAAGTCCTTCACAAATGGATGTATCAACTAATGTTGAACCAGGTACACCAGCACGTCCAGTAACTCCACCAAAAGTACCACGTCAATCAAGTTCATCAGCTAAACCATCAGCTCTTTCTTCATTACTTGAATTTGGTACATTACCACCATCAAGTCTTGGTGATATACGTTCATCTAGTGGACCTACGAATCCATTTCCATTTCCATTTGTTACACCTGGTCCAGGTGTACCATTTTCACCACAAGCAGCGGCAGGTATGGCTACTTTCTATCGTCCACCATTTGGTATTCCACCATCAGCTATGCCACTTGATATGACTCAATCAAATTCGAATTCATCAAAGAAAAAATCAGATACAACAGATAATGAAGAAATTATCTCACAAAATTTACTTGATGATTCATCAACATCAGCACCAGCGAAAAAGAAAGCACGTAAATCTAATTCACGTAGTAAAGCAAAAGCTGCTAAAGTTGATATTGATCCAGAAAATGGTATGGACGAAGATAATACATCAACACCACCGCCGCCAGCACCACCAGTAAATAAAAGGAAGAAAAAACTAAAAGCAGATGTTACAGAAAATGGTAATACGAATGATAGTGATGAAACAAAAATAACAAATGGAAACGGAAATGGAAATAATCATTCACATAATCTTTTTGCTCAAATGGGTCTTATGAATAATTCATTTATGCCTCCACCAATGCCACCATCATCTGCATCAACAACAAATGGTAAATCACCAACACCGAATTCTCAACAAGCTCAACAAGCTCAATTAGCAGCTATGTATAATATGGCACCACATTTTGCAGCTTACAATGCATTTCAAGGTGCATTTAATCCAGCATTTGCTGGTGCTTTTGGTGGTGGTTATCCAGCTCCTTATGGATTTCATCCTGCATTTGGTGCAACAAATCCAGGTCAACCATTTCCATTTATGCCACCAACACCTTCTTCAACAGGATCTCCACTAAACAAGTATGATATTGTATTTTTCAATCTCATATTTTCAAATAATGTTTTTCTATTTTTAGTACATCAACATCAGAAGATAAACCATCATCGATCGTTGTACCTGAAACACGACCACCAAAATCACGAAGTAAAAGTACTACAGGTGGAGAAAAGAAGAAACCAGCAACTCCTCGAGGAAATAAAAAGAAATCATTAGTACCATCTACATCAACAGATCTTCCTGTAGCAACGGAAGGTGAATCAGTTCAACCTCCTCCATCGATTGAATCAATTGCACAAATGGCTACAACACCTGAACCAACATCTACACCTACTAAACGACAAATGAGTGCTACAGATAGTGAAGATTTCGATGATCAACAACATTCACAACCAACAAATGGAAAGTCTGGTAATGAATCTGATGGTTCAATGGGTGATGGAGATCGATCATTGAATACTGCTCCATCAACATCTTCTTCTACAGCACCTGAAAAGAAAGGTGCTCGTACAACAATTAGACCACAGCAATTAGATGTAAGTTTTTAGACAAAAAAAATATCACTGCTTCTTTTGTATTCATATTTTTTTATTAAAGGTTTTATGTAAAGCATATGATTCATGTTCAAAACCAAATAAAGCTCAACGTGAACAATTAGTTGCTGATACTGGTCTTAGTTTACGAGTTATTCAAGTATGTGTGCTTACATTATTTTCAAAACGAAAATTTTTATTATTTTTTTAAAGGTTTGGTTTCAAAATAGACGATCTAAAGAACGTAAAGGAAAACCATCTAAAGAAAGAGAAACAGGATTAGACGATGACGATGAAGCTGGTGACGATTCTCAACCATCATCCCCACCACCACCACCAACTACATCTGAATCAATTCCGGTTAACAACACTACTGAAACATAATGTTAATATGAACTTTTTCTTTCTTTGTTTTTTATGATGATGAATTTGAGAATCAAAATATAATGTAGAATTTGTTTTTTTTTCTTATGAAGACATAGTCTTTTGTATATGTATGTAATCGACTAATATTTGTATTATATACGCTAGTGTAGAAAAAAAAGAAACACTTAAATTTTCATCTCTGTATTGCAATATAATTAGTCACATTTGATCTGATATTGTTTTTTTTCTCAAATAATCAAAATTTTGTCTTCTATTTGTAAATCTATAAGATTTTTGTGGGTTTTTTTTCTTGTTAAATTTATTATAAAACAATATAAGTCTTTTTTTTCTTTTGTTTGATTAATAATCTTTTTCTATAATATGAACTTGATTTGCAGAGCCAAATGATGGAATATCATCCGCTGTTTTACTAGTTCGTCGTTTTGGTGCACTTACATTCGAGAGTGCAAAACGAAAATAACGTGCCATTTCTTTACGTATTGAAGTCTAAGAAATAAAAAGAAATTGAAGATCGTCAAAAACAAATTATTCTAATAGATAATACCTGTCCTCCTTTTCTATTGCGTATTTTAATCGTAAATTCTACTGCAGCAACAATCATCGATAGAACTAATCCAACCGCAAGTATAACAAATACTCCACCAATATTTGCAAAACCTAATTCTGCTGCTAAATCTTTTCTTTTATCTTCTCGATCACATTTTATATTTGCTGCTTCTTTCCACCATTTATTATAATATTTTTGTATAACACCTTCATCTTGTAATTTTAAGATTGTATCACTTAATATATCACGATAAGGTGAATCTAAGAGAATGAACAAAAATGAAAATCTTTGATTATATTTACAAAAAATATTTTACTCTGCGGTACACCAAAACCATAACCTTTCGAATCAAGTAAACCACCAATCGATGTTAATTCACAATTTCTCATTATATTATATTCACTTGTTGTCGATCTATAAGAAATAAAATTATGTATCATTAAATAACATATAGAAAAAAAAATAAGATACTCCATAAGAAAAGCATAATTGCCTTGTAATACTTTAGCAATCCCTTCTTGACTCGATCGAACACTAACAGTTGCTTGATTTGCTAACATATAATTCCACATTCGTTCATAAGTTGGAAATTTAGATTCCTATATTGAAATATAAAATCGAATTATAATCATTTTATTAAAAATTTTCTTTACTCGAAAAAAATTTTCAGTTGAACCACCACGTTGTACACCATAGCTAATTTTAGTTTGTCCTGCTAAATCGTCAGCATTTTCAATAGGCGTTTGCATACGTTGAACAGTTAAAAAAGCCGCTATTATATTTACAAAAAAATATCTTATTAGAAATACTACCAACATATATACTAACCAAGATTAGCTGTATATGATGAAACAAGAATTAAAGTACAAAATGCCCAAAGACAACTCATCATACGTGTTGATGGTGCTACTGGATTTATTTCTGTACCTATTTTTTTCAAACACAAATATTAATAAAATGGAGGAGATATTTTTGTTCATAAATAACCTTGTTGCATAATATTACATATAAGAAACCAAAATGAATTAAATAATGTAAACTGATTTTCTAATACTTCACCATTTCGTTTACATGGATGTGGACTACGCCATTCAAATGGTGATAATCTTCCAGCCAGATAAAGAGCAAAACTAACAACTAATATATACTGAATTTAATTAAGATATATTCAAAGATAATCAACATACCAAAATATGCTGCAATCATATAAAGCCATACATCAACACTTAGTGGTGAAAAAAAACCGAATAATTTTGGTTTAATACGTTTAGCTTTTTTAAATAGAATATTGATGCCAAGTGTTAAAAATGGTTTTGTAAAATCAATTGCCTAGAATATTTTTTATAATGTGATAACAATCGTAGACTTTTATCGTTGTTCATCTCTTATAGTTATGAATTATTAGTACACTGGAGTATGCTTGACATGACAACAAAATGCTAAACAGTCTATCATATTTACTATTGAATTAAGATTTGCTGTTCTTAAAAGACAAGTCGTATTGTATCAAATAAATTGCCCAGAGAATATCGAAATCACGTTTTACGTGAACTGTCTGCAGGAACTCTGATCAGGGGGGAGGGGTCTAGCCCCCGCAAAATTCGAAAAGCTGTCTGTCTTTCTGCCAAAGTTTTTAAAGTTTTGGTCAGAAATCTGTTTTTTATGCTATTTTCGCCATTCTTCCGCCAGAAACACTTTTTTTCGGGTAAAATTCTGCAGAAAGTGTATAGCTTAAGTATTTTCTGCATTATATGCGTCCGAAAGCTATATGACGGCACTTTCTGGACTTTCTGCCAAATTCTATCCCCCCGCACTTTTGAAAGCAATCAGGAACCGTGATTGTGTGAATTCAATAAGAATTAATCTATTGATCTGTTGTACTTTTAACTTGTATATTCAATAAAAATAGATTTATTTAACATGCATATAAGCTCAGTCAAAAACAAGTCCAATTTTGTTTTAATCATCCTTCATTAGACTTAGATTTATTTCGATAGAATAAATACTGAAGAACATGCAACTAATCTAATATTTTCATCTATGAATAGATTAGAGAATATTTTTTCTACCATCAATAGAAGTAAGTAAAATAATCGAAATATCTGTCTCCTTTGATATAACCAAACGAATAAAAATTACCAACCTGTTCTCGTTGATACGTGATCGTTAATCCAGCTAGACCTAAATCGGCTCTCTAATATAATCATTTGATTAATTTTCTAAATCAAAATTTTTTGATTACATACTCGATAGACTAATTCTCCAATAATTCCATTCCATTCTCCTTGTTCATTCTTTTTTCCAAATGTTGCATCTTTAACGATTTCAATTTCAAATGTAAAATTAAGTCTTTCAGCTAAATCAAGTAAAATATCTATACAAAATCCTTCAAATGCTTGCGTAGAATTAGTACCATTTTGATCTAAAAATAAAATGGTTTCGGAAATCATTTTTAAGCAATTATTTCTCACTCCACATAACATAAGGTGGTTCCTAGGAAAATAAATTCTTTACATTAGAAGAAAAAAAACCAAACATTTAACATACAATAACTGATGTTATTTTTAATTTTTGATGTTGTATTTCCTGTTTTCTTGTTTCATAATCTTTTGTAAAATTTCGATGAATTTCAAGTCGATTAGGAGCATTTGCTGACCATCGACCATTCTAGAACAGTATTATTTTTGAATAAAAAAACAAATTTTTAAATGTATACTTTAACAACACCATCGGCACCTAAATCAACAACTTCAAGTGATACATCAGTTCGTACACCATTTTCATCAAATTTGATTTTTCCCGTTATACCATTTGCTTCAAACTAATATCAAAAAATAATATTTTTTCTCAAAAATTCGAATACTCAAATCTTTTTACAGTTTTTAGAAACAAAGCAAATGCTGAACCATGAACCCATGGTTTTTGTGCTTCACAAGTTAATGGTGTAATATTGAATGGACTTTGTTCAACAAATTTACTAAGTGCACGAGCAAAGAAATAAACAGCATCATAAATTAATGCTGCAGATACCTATGAAAAACAATTGTAAATATTATAATATTTATTTAAAGTAAAATCTAACTCGTAATGAACGTTCATTTGCTTTCAAAGGTGCATTTTCGTTCAAAATATTTTTTTCATAAAATTCATCAACTGCTGGATCATCTCGACCAAAAAATTGTAAACCAGTTATATTGACTAATGTATATAAAATAGTACTCCATTTAACAACTGAAATATCCTATAAGAAAATCACTGGATTTTATACAAAATAAAGAATTTTTGTTAATTACTAATGAAGTTAATACAAAATCATAATAGGGTCCAACTAATCCAACAACTTTTGCCTAAATAGTTCAAGTAAGTTATTTGAAGAAAATATATTTTTTCGTACATGTTTAAAAAAATCATCTAAATTATCGATTCTGACATCAACTAAAAATTTTGAAATTCCTGTTTCTCGTAATTGTTCAAGTAATGGATGCCATGTATTATTTCCTGGACGACCTCGTAATTGTCTTACAGTAACTTTCATTTGACTTTGATCGGAAGATAATTTAAGTAAATCTTGTAAATAAAGTAAATCTAAAATAAAATAAAATAAAAATATCAAGTGTTACTTTTTATTATTCTTAATTTACTTTCAGCACGTTCAGTTATTATAGCTAATTCTTCCCATTGTTGAAATTTAATAAGATCACTAAATGCCTGACTAGTTGCTGTATAATGTGGATAAACGTTAATTATATAGTATTCAACTTTTGTTTGTGGATCAGGTGATGATAAAAATAACGGAATATGTAATTGTCGTGTTAATGAACTAATAAATTCTAATGATGGTGTAAGTTGACCAATAAATAAAGCAGCAATACCAGTTTCGATTTGTGCACATACCATTTTATATGCTGAAAAACTATGATATGCATCAACCATATCGATACGATTGACGACAATTTTTGATCGTTTTAAAATTTGAGATTGTAAATTTATTTTTGCTACAGCATATTCAAATGCTTGTCGAGATAATGTATCATGTGTATCAAAAATAGCTCCTATGAACAATATGAAATATATATTTATTTAAGAAAAAAGAAAATTTACCGATTTGAATTTGAGGTGGTAAATCAAAGCATTTATATGAATTAATAAAATAGAAAACAATAATAAATATAGTTACATTTTTCATTGTTTCGTTTCATAAAATTATTCGAAGAGAAATGTCTTTTTTCTCTTTTGACAAATAAATCTTATCTATTCCTCATATATGATTGATTATGAAAAGGAGAGATATTATTTATTTCCTGTCAGTCGAACCAATTTTCTTTCCATAATAATCTCATCTACCAGAAACATGAAATATGTCTCTCTCCATCATTTAACAACATCATAAAATATACTTCCGTTTTTCTCTCTCTCTCTCTCTTCCTCAATATCACATCAATACATTTATAGTGCTCTGGATAATAAAAGAATATTTATACAAATGCATTGATAAATGAGAGAAAATCTTTAACATATTTTGTTCTAATGTACCGCACACAATAAAGCAATGTCACACCATCATTAGTTGTACTTAAATAAACACCAATTACATATTATGTACTTATTGCTAAATATATATAGAAGTCAGTCAATGATTATCTTCTTTGATAATATTACATCCATATTGTCTTTAGATATTTTGTAAAGAACTTTCTTTTCTTAAGAATAAAATAGTAAATTACAAATAATCAATCTATTTTTTTGATTTATTATCAAATAGTAATAGACATCATGATTTATTATCTTAGGTGAAAACTTGATTAACAAAGACATATGTTTGTGTCATATTCAGTATGACGATATATACAAAATTTTTAGATTTTATTCAATTAATTCTTCCTCTTCATCACTGAAATATGACGATTGACAATAACGTTTTCTTTTAGGTTGTATAGTATCCATTGTTGTCGTTGTTTTTGTTTGATGATCCTATAAAATAGAAAGATAAGTAAGTTAAAATAATTCTAACTGGAAATTTAACTTCATTATCTATTCTATTTCATCACTTTTTATCAAAAAGTTTATTTATAACTAGAATCTGTTGAATAATAAATTTTCCGTTTTTAAAATTGTATTACATTATTTATTGTTTCAATAAAAAGATTTTCTTCTATTAGAAACTGATAGTTGCATTGAAAAAGCCGGATGTTTTTCTTCAATTATTTGTATAGAGAAATAGTGCACCCTAGGCAATATTGTCTATCATCTTATATTAATCAATTTATAGTTGTCTTTAACTCTTCACTAAAACTCATTCACAACAGACTCTATCAACTATCAATTAAAATTATGATATACAAATAGTGACTTTGAGTAACTCTTTATTGTTGAATATATTTATTCAGCGATACCCATCAGACAATAAAAGCAAGTTAGTGTGTCAATAATTTCCTAGATGTTATCATTGAAATCAAGGTCAAGAACTCATCGTATTGAAAATGTATTGGCAATAGTACCAAAAGGAAATTTCTACATGTTTACCTGAGACATAATAATTGAAGCTAATGTATCATCGCTGTCATTTGAATCTCTAGAATACATATGAAAGCAAAAAAAAAATATTTTTCTTATTTTTATTTACGGTTCATTTGGAGAGTCGGATCTTATTTTATTTTTGATTTTCTTTCGTTTCTTAACAGGTGGTATTCGATGACCTAGTGTATTTTTTGGACATACATAACTTAAATGACCTGATTCCTAAATTAAAAAGGATAAATTGTAATCGAAAATCTTTATTTTACTTACTCCACATTCAAAACATTTAGTTTTATCTGGATATTCACGTTTACGAATAAATTCTCTTGTACGACCATTATCAACTGCTAAACTACATTTTAATGTTCGTCCTTCTAACTAAAATCGATAGATTTTAAAAAAATCAATAATTCTTTTTATCAATAATAATACTTCTTTGCCATTAAATGCTTCGATTGCTCGAGTAGCTTCATCTTGTGAAAGAAATAGAATAAAAGCTACACCTTTACTCTGACGAGTTTCACGATCTTTAACAATTGTTACTCTAAATAAACGAATGAACCATTAAATTGAGTCATAATACAAATTACAGTGCTTAAAAAGTATACTATCCGATATGAACTTAATCAGTTCTATTCACTAATAGATAAGACAACAATATTTCTGATAGAATACTAATAAAAACTTTTTTTTATTGACTTTGGTTCTCATCTAATAGATGTGAATACTTAAATGTATATTTGGCTAAGAGTTCGCCTTGAAAAATATTTTCATGAGAGTAAGCGTGAGTTTTATATTCATTTTCTTTTCGATCGGTATAAAATTATCTTTCAAATATCTATAAGTAATATCACAAAACTTAGACATCAGTAATAATAGATAGTCAAAGAATCGGCAATCGTGAATAGAAAATCAATCTGGACTCAAAACTCTTCTATATATTTATTTCTTTGAACAATATTAGAATGGAGATTTATCAATTGGCCAGTGTAATAAATAAATAGTCAGTTCATTATGTATCAATAGCAGTAGAAAACATTTTTTGTTCGTATAAAGTATAGTTTAGTAAAACAAAGAGAAATGTAATGAAAGGACCATAGAAATCTGCTGACATCTTAAGTAATTAGTGCTAATAAAAAGAATGAACATTAAACTATTGCAATAATAGAGTTCGTTTAGCTTTCCCTAATCAGCCACGTTTTCTCTTTTCGTTAATTGGAACTGTCGTTGCTACTGGTGGTGATGATTTACAATATTTCAATCGTATACACATTTCGAAAACGTGCTTACATACATAGTTTTTAACAAAAACTGTACAGATTCATTTCGGGGGTGTGAGACACATACAGTGTCACACCCACATCCTCAAGAGACAAAAAAATATCACCTATCATCCGTTGTCATAGTAAAATAGAAGTGAATGATATACACATTCTTTTTCATTTAATTTGCTGGTAATAAATTTTATCTACTGATCATTTAAATAATAGCCTATTAAACTACAATAATTCATATTTCTAAGCTATGTACAATTTAATGAGCAATTATGTTCGTTAAACTGTCAAATTAAATCGTACTTAACAACTTTGCCAAATTCATCAAATAATTTATGTATATCATTATTTGTTAAATTAAATGGAATATTTGATAAATATACAGTCGATTGACTTGGAGCAAGTTTAATTTCTTCTGAAGTCATCAAAACTAACTGGTTTAACTTTATCCAATCAAAAAATATGATTCATCTAAAACAAAAAAATTCTGTCTAATCATGTTTAGTTTTTTTCTAATATTGTTTTTATTTATAAGAATAAAAATAAACATTCGTTAAAATAAACCAATGAATATCATTGATGAGTCATATAGAATGACGACGTGTGAAAAGTATTGTATTGTTTTGATTACTATCTAAAAAAAAAAGTATCACTTGTCAATGGCAGTTCGAAATCGTAACGAAAGTCAACCAATCGAAACAGAAGCATTGATTGAAGAAAGAGATACAAGTGATACACCTCCATCTGAATCCGATAATGAAATGTTAGATATTCATCCATCTGTATTAACACAAAACAATTGGAAAAAAGATCAATGGAATATAGGTCTACTATTATTCCTTTATCTATTACAAGGTATACCACTTGGTATGGCAGCATCAATTCCACTTATAATTCAAACTTATGGTGCAAGTTGGTCTCAACAGGCAACATTTTCATTTGCTTTTTGGCCATTTAGTCTTAAACTTCTTTGGGCACCGATTGTTGATTCATTATATTCAAAAAGATTTGGTAGAAGAAAAACTTGGCTTATACCAGTGCAATATGCTATTGGATTTGTTATGATAATACTTTCATTTTATATTAAAGATATATTACGTGAACCAGCAGCTGCGACAGCTACTCAACATCCACGTATATATATCTATTTCGAATTAATAATACTTAGAATTTACTTTTCTTTCAATCATAGATATTTATCTTTTAACAATAATATTTTTTGGTTTATCATTTTTGGCTGCAACTCAAGATATATGTGTCGATGGTTGGGCTCTTTCAATGCTTTCTAGGTATAATGAAAAAGAATTTACATTTGAATTAATTAATATTTTATTTATTTAGAGAAAATGTAGGTTGGGCAAGTACATGTAATTCAGTTGGTCAAACAGCTGGATACTTTCTAGGAAATGTTGTTTTTCTTGCACTTGAATCAAAAGATTTTGCTAATGTTTATATACGTGCACCATTACATATGGAATTACAATCAACCGGATTAATTACATTACCTGGTAATATTTCTTCGAAGAATATTTTCCATTTAAAGATAAAAAATATATTTTTCGTTTTCTTAAAGGTTTTCTTGTATTCTGGGGTGTTATTTTTACAATGTCAACAACATTAGTTGCCTTATTAAAACATGAAACAGACGAAAGATATGATCCTAGTGAACCTCATTTTGGTCTTATTCAAACCTATAGAGTTCTACTTAAAGTTCTTCGTTTACCAGCCGTTCGAAGTATGGCAGTGGTTTTATTAACAGTCAAAGTATGATTTTTATAAATATATGTATTTTATTATTTTTATTTTCTTATCTTCTAGATAGGTTTTGCTGCAGTAGATTCTATGACTGGATTAGAATTAATTGAACGTGGTGTTAGAAAAGATACATTGGCTTTATTAGCTATTCCATTAATACCATTAGAAATTTTTCTACCATTTTATATATCGAGATATACAACCGGAACAAAACCATTGAATTTATTTATTAAATCACATCCATTCAGGTTATTTCATTTTTTGTTTAATATTAAATCAAATTATTGTCTTTTTTTGTCTTTAATAGATTACTCATTGGTCTTGTTATGGCTTTTTATGTTTATATGACACCATCATTTCAAAATTATGATAAAACATTTCCTTGGTATTATTATTTTATAGCTGTTATTATATATGGTATTCATCAAGTATTTATATACAATATGTTTGTTTCACAAATGGCATTTTTTGCACATGTTAGTGATCCAAAAATAGGTGGAACATATATGACATTACTGAATACGTTATCAAATCTTGGTAAAATCATTTGTTTTAAAGATTGAAAAAACACGAAATGAAAATCTATTTTTCTAGGTAGTAGTTGGGCTTCTACAGGTGTTTTATATTTGGCTGATTTTTTAACATGGAAAACTTGTTCATTAGGTGGTGGTAAATGTGAAACAGCAGCTGAAGAAAAAAATTGTGGAATGTTAGGTGGGGCATGTCGACCTTCTATTGACCCATATTATATTATAGTAACAATATGTACAATACTTGGATTTATTTGGCTTATTTGGAAATATCGAACTATAATGAATCTACAAAGTTTACCAATGAGTGCATGGCAAGTACGAAGTGATAATCCGAAATATAAACAATTAGAAAATGAAGAATAATAATTATTATTTAAAATAATCATTTCAAGAAAAACTAAACAAGAGCAAAACTTCGTTATTAGGTTAATTACATAATATATAAATACGGTGATGGGTATTTGTTGTGATGTCAAAAAAAATTATATTATCAAAAAAAAATGATGAGAGCTTCGTTTTCCGTTTTCTTGTTTATTGTATTTCCATTTCGTGTTTTGCTTTTGTAATTGGTCACATTGTTTTTAGTATATTTTTGTTAAATGAAAATTGATGGCAACACATTATTTTTTATTTTATTCATGTAAACAAACAGACAGAATGTGTCAAAAACGTTGTCTTGGACAATAGTTTTATTAAACGGATGATAAATGAAATAGATAGAAAGTTGTTTCAATGTTTTAAATAAACCTACTCTTATTGTTTAAGAATGTTTATTTTTGAATTGAAGAATGTACAATACCTGAGCAATAGGTAGAATATGTCGAGCCTTGTATTAGAAAACATCTAGTATGTTTATTAACAATGAACGACTATTTTTGTCCTTAATAATGGTGTACTATTACAATCAAGTTTGTTGTTTCTTCGAGAATTATTATAATAGAGCGCCGTTATTATGAGCACTATTGTTAACATGCTGATTTCCTTTTTTATGTTATACAAAAGAGAAAAAGTCAAGGATTATGTATGAAATAGTTCCGCAGCGATGCAAACAACGTTCGACAATCTTTCATTCTTGTAATCAATGACACTGATTGTAGAAGCATAATGTTATACCAGACATATATAGATTTATGATTTGCCTACCAGAATTTCGTAATAACAATCATCAAAACTGTTTTGAAGCGTGTACGACAATTAGTAGTCTCAATGATAATCGTCTAAAATGTTTCTTTAATAAAGCATGAACAACTCTTAGCGATCAAGTTAATCATATTTTAACCTATAAACTTATTTTCTCAAGAATGAAATGTTGCAAACTATTCTTTACTGATTAAATACTATCTCGAACAATAAAAACTAAAGATTTCATACATAAATATATATGTCGTTACTTTCTCATTAAAATAGATTCTTAATTTTGATAAATATAAGCACGAGATGAACATAATGAATTAGCCTTTGGTACAACACATTTTAAACGTACCCCCTAGACAATCAAAGTAATTAATTCAATATGCATTTTACAAGTCTGATTTATTTCTAGATGTGACTATTACGAGTTTTAATAAAATTATCGAAGTATCTATTTATCAGTAATGATATATATATTGAAAAAACAGAACATACAATAAAAATTATTTTACATAATTGTGTAAATAACAAAACAGATACGATGACTAAATATTTTACTAAATCAATTAAAATATATTATAGAACGAATGATCTTTTTCTATCAATTTTACTATTTCAAAAAAAAAATAAGAAATAAAATGATAGAATTAATGATGATATGTGGAAGTATAAGCTTTTATATTTTTACGTTGAGTAGTGTTCGTTGTAAATGAATATCTTCGTCGTTCTTTAGCAATTCGTTTGATATGATTGATTTTAATACCTGTTTTACTTTTATGGAATTGAGCAGGTTTAGCATGTTGTTGTTGTTTTGATTTTGTATTACGTATACGACGTTCTGGATTAATCATATCATGATGATGTTCATTATTATTGTTATGAAATATTCGGGTATTATTAGTCGTTTTTCGTTTCGTTAATAATGATTGAGATAAAATTTTTCGAAATTCTAAATCATCATGTTGTTGTTCATGATGACTATGTTTATCAGTTGTATATTTATTTGATATAGCAGTATTTATAGCAAAATCAAATGCTAGATAAATAGTTAGAACAGTAATAATAAAAAGAAGAGATGCAAGCATTTGTGTAATACGTTTCATCATTGTATATCTCATAATTGCAATATATACGTATAAAAACGACCGATTAATAATATAGATGAAAATAGATGATAATTAAATATAATAGTATCCATATGAAAAACTAAAATAAAATATATTATGATATGAATATGTGTGAAATGATTGATTTTTTTATTCTCAAATGAATGATGAAATGTCATCGATTGTAGAACTAACTGATCTTAGATAAAATGTAGACGATGTGAGATCGGTCATTCATGCTCAATTTTATTCTATACTCTTTCTTCTTCGTAGTGTCGACATACTGATGCAGTAGTAGCTCCACTTCCATTTCTTCTCAACATAACCTAATAAGCAAAAGAACGAAGAAAAAGAAAAAAAGCATTGCAGTTTCGTTCTTTTTTTCTTTCTTTGTTCTGTGCGACATACTCCACTATGCTTGCTTTTACACAGCCTGTCAAAATTCTTCTTCTTCTTCTTATTCTCCTATCAACACACATACATTATATACCGTTGGTTGCTGTCGCTATTGCCTCTATCTAAAAGAATTCTTTACGTTAGCAACTGATTATATATATATTCAATTTTCTTTTTTCTTTTTGAAGATTATCCTATCAAAAATTAATAATGCGTCGAGAAGAAAATTTAGCTTATATTACATCAAATCGTCCTGTAAAATCTCTTGGTCTTCTTCCGAAAAATCGTCTATATACAGATGAACAAATGCATGGTGCATTGATATTTTCGGATTCTGATTCACGTCGACAAATAACTGTTTCTGGTACGGGAGAATTTTCTTTACCACCCGATCGAATTAAATTAGTTGTTGTTATAACAAGTACAAAATCAAGTGTTAATGAAGCTAAAACAAGTGTTCTACGTCGATTAAAATATATTGAACAAACATTCCGAAATTATGGTGTTAAAGATCAAGATAAATCATTTGTTCAATCAATAACACGTCGTGATACTATGTATGAAGTAACTGCCGAATTAACAGCAATATTTATTGATATTCAACGTTATCAACTTTGTCATAATCAACTTGTAGAAAAACTTGATGCACCTATTGTACGAGTTCTTGATCCTGTATTTTTTCATTCATCACTTCGTCTAGAAAATTTAAAGTAAAATAAAATTATTTCGATTATTTTATTATTATTATTATTATTCTAGACGTCAAGCAAGTGTTCAAGCCGTACGCAATGCTAAACATACAGCGGAAGATATAGCTCGAACTGTTGGTCTTCATGTTGCAAAAGCTGTACATATTGTTGAAGAAACTTATCAAGAAAAAGAAGGAATATTATCTGCAACAGGCCAACCCGCATCATTTCAAAATTTACTCGATGCAAAAACGATTACTGTACATGTTACAGTAAATGTTACATTCGATTTAAAAGCAAAAGACAGACAACATAAAAAGGATGAGAGAAAAAAATAATCAAATTCATTAATTGCTAATCTTTTAGTCCGTCCAATTGTTTTTTTTTATACTAGAAGATTTTTTTATTTAAATAATATTATGAATTAGGATATATGTAATAATTGTACATTCTTTTTTAGTCAAATTTTAATTGATTTTTTTATGCATTCGCGCATATGTGAATTCATATCAATGCTAGAAATCTTGACTTTTGATTGTGTTAGATTACAGATTAAGTGCTTTGATATTTAAAATAATTCTTCTCATGAGCACTCAGGTGAGTCTTTTGTACAAGGACAAAATATTTGATTTGAGTCTGCAAGAAGTTCCGTGCGTGTGTCTAACACAAGAATTTAAACGAAGCCTAAAAAATCTTCTAGACTTTACTAGAGATTCTATGATAATAATTTAAATGTATCGAAATACAATGGTATTCACCAAATGATCGTATATTAGAGTCTAACCTACATTTTGTCCTATTTCATTCTATCTATGAATATTATGAACGAGACATCTGTTACTATCTTGATAGATTTATCGATTGCATAATTTGAATGATACTTGAAAATCTGATTCTGTTCGTCAATGATAGAATGAAAAGATGAATTCATTGATCAGCAGTATGACAATATATTATTATCTTTTCAACTTCTAGTTCATATGAATGTATTAAAAAACGTTGTTAAATTTTACGATTACAGTAATTAATACAGTCATAAAATATAAAACCTTGATAAATTTTATGTTAGACTTGTTTTTTTCGACATACGTGTTCATTAATTCGCACTATAAATCAAATTTAATGATTACTTAATATAGATTGTCTATTGCGTCTTCTATATTGCAATGAAAATAATTAGACAAACACATTTTCACCTTAAATTTCACGCCAAAGTATTTGATTCAACAATTAACCATTGAATGAATGTCTTTCTTCTTTACTAATAACATAAATATTTTCACGTATGTATTTTGATTCAAAACAATATTATTACATCAATAATATACATTTCAATTAATCTAAAATTAGAAAACTTAATTGATTATTTAAGTTTAACTAATAAAACTATCATAATATATTATGTTAATTTCTTTGACAAAATAAACTTGAGAATAAACAAAAAAAAAAGGTTATATATAATTTCTAATATTATTTGTAATAATCAATTTGAATACCTATCAAAAATTAATCGAAATCATATGCCTTGAAATCAAGTTTTTTCTAAATCATTGCATTTTTTTTGCCTGTCTCTCTTATACAAAAATGATTTTTTGCATTGATTATCGGCAAATAAAAGCTTTGCTAGGCTTTCATATATATATGTATATACACATATATACATCAGATAAATCCTTGTTTGTCTCATTTGATATACACGCATGTCTTTATATACGACCTTTGTCCATCATTTTACACTTACTTTTTGCCGTTTTCATGTTTAATTACTTTCGTATATATACCATCAAAATACTCAACCATTTTCTTTTCTTTTCTTCACTATATCTCATACTTTGTTGGTCCGATCGCTGCTTTATATATACACATATATATATATACTCACGCAAACACTCGAACACCCATTCATTTTCGTCTATCCTCACGTCATAATATCACTTCGACAGTTCATATTATTAGTGTTATTACAATTAATAACTCGTTATTTTCTTTTTGTTCATGTGTGTTAATATCGACATTCTTTTATTTTTCTCTAATCTTAATTTATTATTTTTCAGACAAATATTTCATTGAAAACAAATATAGACAAATATCTTGACACATTCTTATTGTTTGATACAAATCACACTTTGATCTTGATATCATTTCATTGAACATTTTTTTTTCTATTCTGTCAAATATCAAATCAACTAGTCATGAATAATCCAATGAATTTCTCTAGTTAAATATTATTCATATTGAAAACAAAACTATACAGGTGAGTAATATCATATTATTCTGATCAGGTCTCGTCTTTTTTTGACTCTTTCCCTTTCACTTATCTACACATTTAAAACTCATTTCATGGTTCATTTGCATAGAAAGTACAAGGCCACCCACACATACAGATATACTCATAAAAACCAGCTGCTTCAATTCATTTAAACGAAATCAATTTTTTTCTTTACATAAAAAAGAAATCTGTTAAATATTCGAATATTAGACAATAGCTTTTTTTTTCTTCTTAAGACTACACAGTAATTAGGCAATAGTAGTGACTAATGACTTGCAATATGGATAGTTGTAATGTTTGAGTATAATTAAGCAATAATATTCTTCTCCTCTTTCTTTTGTATGCTGCGTCACATCATGGTGATATTTTTGTTTTGTCGCATTTTTTTTTTTCGTTTTCTTCGACGTTAAGAAAAAATGAGATAAGACCTTAACAGCATAGTATCATTTCGTTTTGTTTATCACACTAACGACTCGACTCTACCTTTACTACACGTTTTGATTTTTTTTGCTCCTGCTCCTGTCGACGCATGTACAATACGACTTAGCTTATTTATGTACGATCGTGTTCTACATTAACCTTCAATAGATAAATTTTTGTACAACGATAAACAACAACAACATGTCTGATATAGTCAAATTCAAGGTACCACAATTTGTTTGCATCTACTATTGTTTATCATTAAATAGTATTCTTTCTTTTTTGTTTTGAAAAACGATATTATATGTATAGTATATATCGAATGTGTTATCGTTCTTTCCATACATAATACATCATAAACACAATTTTTCTTGTTGACATAAACGATTTTCAATTATGTGAAGCTAAGTGATGAGGGAATTGAAGTAACTATTCATTGCTTTTCTTTTTCGTCAGGCGATAGTCTCTTTCTTCATATATATATATATATATATGCATCTTATATGTACTCTTTTTTTTTCAATGAACATTTGAGAGATTTTGAATATGCATGATTAAAGTACGAAGGTTGAATTATTAAGCAATAGACGATCGAGAGTGAGATGTAGTCCAGAACTTGAAGATTATCAAATTATTTATTATTTAGCAAATGAATATATTATAATGAACGAAAGAAAAAAATATGAAGATTGTTTAGCAATTAGTATAACGATTACTAATGTTATCTTTTTTTCTTCTTTTGCTTTCTCTCTCTCTCTATTCTCCTTGTATTTACTATATAGGTCGACGATGGGTGCTTGCACATCAGCCGCAAGACATCACAAGAAGCACCATCGACAACTGCATAAACGAACACCAACAAAGAATCCGTTTGTCCTTGATAATAAACAAGCTTCATCCTCACCATTAACTGTACACTCAAATCAACAATCCCAACGTCTTCATTCTTCACAAACTAAAATTAATGTACAGTCATCTTCTTCAATAGAACCTATCCTATATAAAACTGAAACAAATAGTTTAATACAATTTTATTCTTCAAATTCAAATAATAATAATTCGAATAGAAATAGTTATATGTCATCATCATCATCTTCGACATCACAGGCACAATCCCGTATTCCTGTACCAAAATCTCGATTTCCTATTTATCGACCACAATCTTCATCATCAACAAGATCTACAAGATCAAAAAATGTAACTACAACAGTTGATACAACTATTACGACAGGTAAAATATCCTACTGAAATTATTATTTGAATTTATTTTTAAGTAATACAACTGTATATCGCTTCTATTGATGTGGAAAATCATAAAAACATTCTTGCTTATGTTTCTCGTGGAGAAAAAGAAAAAAAACGCATAGTGTGCGTACTAAACTGAGCGTCCTCTATGGAACTAGTCTATGACTCATGAAAAGGAAAAAATGAATCCTTCTTTTTGTCATCGACAACCACAAGCTTTTCTTTCTTTTTTTTCCTTTTTTTCTTATTCTATATTGAGTCTTTCTTTTTTTCTGTTGTCTTCATTCCTCCGTCTATTCCTTTGCATCCTCACTGAATAACGGTGACATACAGAGAAGAAAAAAAAACAAGAATGAATGTAAATGTAAATGTTTACAAAATCGATGATTTTTTCTTTTCTTGACTATAACTTACTTTCTAACTTTTTTTCTTCAATAAAATTGTTTTTAATGAATTTTCTAGGTACTTCCGTACCAATGTCTCTAACAAATCGTTCATCAGGTTCATCATCTTCACAACCTCGCCATGGTGGTATACCTCGACCAATAGTATCTGGATCGCAACAAACACCCGTATCATCATTTGTAGCACGTAGTCGTTCGATAAGTCCATTATCAACAATTAGTGCTAATTCTTCATCATCATCATTACCTACTCAACATTTTACAAAAACTGAAACAATATCCAGTAGATCGAAAATTACTAATACAACGAAATCGAAAATACCACCTTCTTCTTCTCGTATTAATAAAGAATTAACAACAGCAACAACAACAACAACAACTAATCGTCCACGTTTAAATACACCTTCACGACCTTCAAATTCATCTGCATTACCAACGACTTCTTCTTTTCAACTAACAAAAGCTGATATTGAGGCTGTTCGTGATTATTATAAAGCTCCAAAACGTATGAGTTTTTTTACTCGACGTCCTCTAAATACAAGTTCACTGAAACCTTCTTCTCTTGATACACCCATTATTTTAGAAGAAAAAAATGAGCAATCATCTCTTGATGAACAACAAATAGATGCTCAAATTGATAGTCAAGTAAAGATAAAAAATATGAAAAAAATTTAATTTATTATTTTTGTTTTTGTCATAGCATGATCATTTTACAACTGAATTCGTTCAACATGGTGATTCTGCATATGCAAGTACAGAATCACAGTCAAATATTCCTTCATCTGTACTACGTTCTCAGGCGAATCGACAACGAAATCGAACTCCAAGTATTTTATCTTCATCATCCGTTCTATCCAACGTACTTAATCAAGATGGATTAATTGATGATGATAATTGTAGTTTAAAATCCGATGATTTAATATGTGATTATGATGATACACTTACGTTAGATTCTGCAACAAAAACGTAAGATTCGAATTTTAATTTTCTCTTTTACAAAAAAATATTAATATATTTTAGTAGTCGAACAGATTCAAGTTCATCAAATTCATTATCACTTGATAGTAATAAAAAATCTCCAATGATATCATCTTCTATGACAACAAAAACAAATATATCATCAAATGATCATCGTTCTGGTACTCCAGCCAAAAGTCCAACATCTGATAAATCATCTGGAAATCTTCGAGAATCACTTGATGAATTAACTCGATTGAGTAGTAGAATGGAAAATATTATCGATAATGAACATCATAAGTAAGATAAATGAATGTTTCATTTAATTTCAATATCTAATAATTAATCCTCTTAGAAGATTATTAACACGATCAGTTTCATTAAAACCACCACCAACTTCTTTACCACCACGTGAAGATGCCGAACAAATAACAATGGATATTGAATCTTATCGACAAGTAATGAAAGATGTTATGGTTGTTAAAACAATTCTTCATCAACTTGATCGATTACTAAAACATTCCGACGGTGCAAATATGACAGTAAGAAATTTTCTTTTTTTATATCTTAAAAAACAAATTTTATAGGATTCAATGATTGGTTCATTTCATGAATCTATGATAAGTTCAAGACATCATTCATTAAGTGGCGGTGGTGATATTAATCTTCGAAATAATTCAATTGATGAAAATTCTTCCTATGATGACTTAGCTAGAGTAAATAAAGAACTAAATTTTTCTTTTCTAACTTTTTTTTTCAATTTCAAGGAACTTATGATACTACGTAAAGAAAGAGAACAAGATAAACAAACAATCAAATTGTTACAAGAGCAAATGGTTTGTTTCTCCACTTATTTTTTTTTCCTCAAAATTAAATAAAATTTTTATTTTAGTATAAATACTCCAGTCAAGCAAATGTTCAATAATTTACATTCCAATCTTAATTTTTGTTGTAAATTATTTGTTGTCAGTAATTTTATTTTTTAATTACTAATAATAAAAAAAAAGAGAAAAAGCAAAAATTTTTATCTATGCCTATACTTAATTTATCTGTCAAGTTGAAGAAGAGAAAAATGAAATTATAGTTCATTTAGTTGAATAGGTATTTAGATTTTTAGCAAGAAAATCTTTCATTTTATTCTCATATTTCTAAAGAATGAACTTTTTTACTGGAAGAATAAAAAAGACCTTGTCATTAAGTTTTAATGTGAAATTCTAATCGATCGTCGCCTTTTCTCTTTTAACCCTTTTAGGTGACAAGTAAAAAACTTTTTTCTTTATATTAAACTTTCACACGTTTCCGTCTCTTATTCTAACATAGTACGTCACTTATTCCAATTACGGGCAAGTAAGCAATGCTTTTTTAGGCATGTTCTCTCTCTCTCTCGTCACTCTTCGCTTCTTTTCCTTTTTTTCCGTCAACATAGGTAAACATTCAATTGAATATTCCGGCTCAATCACAAACGACATTAGTCTATTCTTCCTAGTAATAATGGGTAATACAACATCAGAAGTAGCTTCGGGTGTTAAAGCTCAAATAAATTCCAATGGTCAAGGTCCTGAACTATATCGATTTGTTAATCTTAAAGTAAAAAATAATACTAATAGAATATAATTATAAGAGATTATTTAGGGTGGTGGAGAACTTATTGATGTTATGCGTTTAGCTAATCGAACAAAAGATTATACACATATTGATGCACTTATTCATGAACATATTCCAAAATTTCTTTATAATGAAGGCGAGGGAAAATTGGTAAAAAGTTATTTATACAAAAAGTAAAATGTTGAAGATTTTGATTTCAGGTTACAATAAGTGAAATTGTTAAACGACGAAATAATACTTTTAGTAAAGTAAAAAATCTTGTTCCAGCTCCAAGACCTACTGAAGAAGAACAACAAATAAATGGTTGGTTTATATGATCGAGAAATAAAAAATTGAATATATTTTATATTGAAAATTTAGGTGAAGATACGAAACTTGTTTGTTGGGATTTAGATTTACGAGGTGGTGTTGGAGAACATATTCTTCATATTTGTTTTCTTTCATCAAGTCCTGTTCATTCAGCTTTAGCTAAACGACTTTTAAGATATTATCCTAGACTTATTGATGATTTATATATGGGTGATGAATATTATGGTTAGAAAAAATAAATTCTATTTCAAATATTTCATTTTTAAAAATTTTAAGGAGAAAATGTTCTTCATATTGCTATTGTCAATGAAGAACCAGCAACAGTTAAATTTTTACTCGATGCCGGTGTTGATTTTCAACAAAGATGTTGTGGAAAATTTTTTTGTCCAGAAGATCAAAAATCAAGTCGGTAAGATAAACAGAAAAAAGAGAAAATAAAATAATATTTCTTTAAATATTTTATTAGAGTAGATAATGTAACAAAAGAATGTCCAGAAGTAAGTATTGCAACAAATTATGATGGTTATTGTTATTTTGGTGAATATCCACTTTCATTTGCGGCTGTTTTACAACAAGAAGAATCAGTTAGATTATTAGTTGCTAAAGGTGCTGATACGAATTGTCAAGATTCAAATGGAAATACTGCCTTACATATGTGTGTTATTTATAATCGAATTGTTAGTTTTTGTCATTCTTTTTTATTCTCTAATATGATTTATTTTATTTTTTAATAGGCTATGGTAGATTTACTTTATGAATTAGGTGCATCATTAGATATTAAAAATCGACAAGGTTTAACACCTTTAACACTTGCTGCTGTTAAAGCACGTAAAGAAGTAAGCATTTTTATTCTTATTTGAATAGACAACAACAACATAGAAAATTTGATTAGATGTTTGATCATATATTACAAAAAATTCGTACAGTTTATTGGCAATATGGCAATGTAACATGTGCTGGTTATCCATTAGATGATATTGATACTATTGGAAAAAATGATGGCTCTCTAAATGATACAAGTGCATTAAATATTATTGTTCGTGGTGTAAGTTCAAATGTATAATTGAGACTAAAGTATATAAAACAAGAATACTTTCATTAGTCGACTAGTCTTTTTTTGCTAAACAATGAGTTACAACTACTTCTTCGGTAATATTAAATCTATTTATATAGGAATCTGCTGGTCATTTGGATATGATGGATGGTTTAATTGTCCAGTTATTAAATGAAAAATGGCGTACATTTATTAAATTCAAGTAAATCTGTCGTTTTCTTCATATATAGTTTCTTTCTTAATTTATTCTCTTGTAGATTCTTTCAACGTATGGCAATATTTACTCTTTATTTTGGTATATGTTTATTTGGATTACTTGTACGTGGTTATTATCGTGTACCAGAAACATGTTTATATCAAGAAATCATTGATAAAAATGAAAATACCTATAAATCAATAATACTTATTAATCGAACTGAATGTAAATGTCATTATGCAAATGTTTTATGGCATAAACCACATTATTATAATAATAATCAAACTAATATGAATACTAGTTTAAAAATCAATAAATATGATGATAATGATGATGATGATGATGATGGTGATAATGCTAAACAAATATTTGAACCATTGGGTTTAGTAAGTCTATATTTGAATGAATAACAAATAAAAGATAGATTTTTATTTTATTTTTAAGTTGCTTAATGTTGCTGATGGTTTAAGTGTTTTTGGTGCAATAATGTATTTATTACTTACTGTACAAGAACTTTCTTATCAAAATTTTCAATTAGATTCATTTATATATGTTAATGATCCATCAAGAGTTTTATTTCTTTTTTCTTGTATGTTAACAATAGGAATGCTACCAGCTCGACTTACTTGTTCAATAGCTGCTGATGATATTCTTTGTGTATTTGCAATACTTACACGAGCACCTTATTTTTTCTTTTTTTGCCGGTAAAAATTCTATTCATTATAATTAATTATTTCCTTTATTTTTTTTCTTTTGTTCATTTACATTTAAAGTGGTTTTCGAACAACAGGTCCATTTGTTGTCATGATATATACAATGATTCGTGGTGATTTATTAAGATTTTGTTTGATATTTCTTGTTTTTATGTGTGGTTTTACACAAGCACTTCATGTTTTATTCGTTCGAATTGATTGTGAAAACGATTTTGCTACTGTTATTGAAACATTTTTTCATATGTTTTGTGTTACACTTCAACAAGTAACGGATGCATATGAAAATGTTAATCGACATCCAATTGCTGCTATTCGAATTATCGGAAAAGTAAGTAAAAGTTTGATTAGTTTCAAAAAA